TTCTCCAACGTGGAGCTGTATGACACACACAATGTCTGATGAATCCGATGTTATTTTTCAGGAGAAAGATAATGCAGGAATGTTTAAATCTTTTAACCAATTAAAGTAATACTGCAGTAATATAAACATACATAATAAAGTTATGGGATTCAAAAGCCTGTTCATGGCCAAGTATAAAAGTACGAATTCCCTAGTATAATGAAAAAAAACTAAAAGTAACACAGTAATCGTGAGCAGATTGTTTGATGGTGTTCTTCAGTGTGAGTCTTGTGCAAAACAAGAACACAAAGTTGTTGACCTTTTCAACATATTTAAACAAGCAAGCGTTTAATCCTCTTTGAAACAATGCCGACAGAAGGTGATATGCTCATATGACACTTTCAGTTTATATTTTCTGGTAATATTTGTTGTTCAAATTTCCCAAAAGTTTTTTCAAATCATCCATTTACGATGCTGTACAAATTTGACCTGCAGGGAACGAGTACCAGGACAAGATAGCATAAGATAAGATAAGATAAGACAAATGAATTTTTTGGCTGAGACAGTTTCTCAGAAGAAGAACCTCATGCTAGCTGTAAAGCATGAAGGTGAAAATGTGATGATGTGAGGCTACTCTGCTTCTTTGGAGGTTGAGCAACTTGTAGTTATTGATTCTGAATTACGCATCATATCAAAGAGTTGGTAAAGATGAAGAGAGGACATCTGAATGAAAATGAAAGCTTTAAACAGGATAATGTTCCTAAGTAAACTAGAAAATCCACCAAGGACTGACTCAAAAAAAGAGAAATGGAGTCTTATGGACTGGTCTCATCAAAGCCCAGACTGGAGTCCCATTTTAAATCTCCCTAAAGACAAATGCAAAAAGAAATCGTACAACTGAAGGAAATTTTCAGGAAATAGGGGTCAAAATTGCACTGAACCGATGTCAGAGGCTGGTGGATAATGATGCACCTACAAGAAGTTTTCACTACCAGAGAAATACTAGCTTCATATGTCTTGTGTAGTTTCTTTTTCACAGAAGAATATTAGATCTGTAATATTTTCGTTGTATAATTGACTGTGATGTGGTGTCCTTATGACGTTGTTCAAATGTACCTGTAGGCAGTGAATCAAAGAGGACCAAATGTTTGCTTTTGACTAAATGTCCAAAAGCAAACAAAACTTTTCAGTGCAGAATATTTCATCCTGTTTTTACTGCAGTGCAGTAAAAAGTGCAGTGCTTTTGTAGTGTAATGGAGTAGAAGTGTAACATGGTACAAAGCAGAAGAAAACATCAAGACAGGTGACTTGAGTATTTGAGTAAATGTGGTCTTCTTCCACCACTGGCTGTGTTCTCTGAGCAGGTTGATCCTCCAGATGGTGTTTCCTACGCCTCCATCCGCTACAAGAAGAAGACCAACAGTAAAGGACGGGTAAGCTCTCCTACTGGTTCTTTAGTGTTGTCATCAGTCAGCACTGTAGTGTCAGCCTCCAGCACATTCTTGCTCTCCGACGGATGAATCCTACTGTTTTGTCAGTGTATCAGTTGTATTTCTTTGTTTGTCTCCCAGGTTCATCATGAAGACCACAGAGATGACACAGTGACCTACAGCACTCTCAACATTTTCTCCACCTCTGCTGGAGCCTCCGCTGATCCCAGGAACCTCTACGCCACCGTCAACAAGACCAACATGTAGGAGCCCACAGTGTAGTTACATCTCTAGTCAATACAGAGATTATACATCGATAAACGATCAGTTCAAGCTTCGGATTTCTTCTTAATAATGTTGCATCTCAAACCTTGTAAAATGTATTTTAGCTTAATAATCAGCTATTCACAATGTTTACTGCTTGAAACATGAAGAGGAACTCCGACATTTAAGTTACTTTCTGTTGTACTGCTGTAAATTTTACTTTGTTTTCCTTTATATGAATGCATTTATGAATATTTTGTTAATTGCTGTAAAGTCTTGTTTCCTAGAAGGAGGTGTCGTAGATTCAACGTATCAAACTCTTGAAAGTAAATTCATGTGACAGCTTACTTCTTCTTATCATTACCTTTAGCTTAAACACACCTCTGTTATTGTTTGTGATGAATTAAGTTCTTGATGAGGTACACAAGTGTGTAAACTCTGCAGAAGCGTGATGTCACTTCCTTGTAGTTGGTTGTTCCCTCGAGAGTCATTTATTCAGCAGTTAAAAAGGGAACTGATGATTTATCGTACAGTTTTCATTCTGCTTTCAGATGCATTTAGAAATCATTTATGTTTGGAGCAGTTTGTGTAAGAGAATGAGTGTTGTAAATGAAATGAAATCAATAAAGATAAATCAGTACTCTGCATGCTGGTGTTTTAGTTTTAAACTCTTCTCTGTCCCACAGTTTTCACTATTTATACACTAAGACTTCTCTTGCTTCAATTGAAGGTATTTCACAGGAGGCAGTTCACACTCTACAGCCTTATTGTATTTAACTGAAGGAAAATCACAAAGATAATGTTGTTCCACTCCTTTAATAAACGTCTGGTGTACAAATCAAACTAATGTTCCCATCATATTTTCATCATCCATCTATCATCTACACACTGCTTAATCCTCACTAGGGTCATGGGGGGCTGGAGTCTATCCCAGCTGACTCAGGGTGAAGGCAGGGGACACCCTGGACAGGTCACCAGTCTATCACAGGGCTACACTTAGAGACAGACAACCAAGCACACTCACATTCACATGCAGACTCCACTCAGAAAGATCCAGGGTGTCCAGGTTAATTAGAGTCAATAAATTAATCAGAAAATTTAATTAACATAGTATAAAAGTCTATAATGAATACCAACAAATATTTTGCACACATTCTTTCTTGGGGTCCAGTAGACCCCGAAAAACCGTCTATGGCAACATGAAAGTCCTGAATAGGGCTAAGCATGAAAGAGTAACGTTTCCTTAAAAGGTGGCGTTTAAGCAGCTGAGCAGCAGACATCATCTGTGTGTCTTTCAAAATAAAACACATCAGCAAGTAATGAATGTGTCTTTGAATGTGTCAGAAATATCAGTCATATCTACAAAGAGTTGCTCCCACCGTAGAGAAACACGTCTTTAAAGACAACGTTCCTGTGGGGTTGGCACTGTGACCACAAAACAGAAGTGCATGTGTGAAACTAGTCTGACTCCTTCCTCTTTATATTATCAAGCATGGAGCAGTGAAGTTGCCTCTGAGTTGTGTTATTTTGCAAACTACATACTGTTAACATTGTCTATTAAACAATGAAAGACTAGATTTGTGGTGTTCTGTTTTCTAACCTCCGTCACTGCAGCCTGCGTGTACACAACCATTTATAGAGAAACACAGAAACTGTTACTGGTTCACTAACAATATATGTCTATGGAGATAAAATTAATTTCATCCTCATCAGTGGTGAAAAGTTTCCCCCTGGTCCCCTGAAAGGACTTGCATTGAAAATGTAGTGCGAATTAATGCACACGTCTGCTGCGGTGACTAATGTGTGAATTCCTGTCATGAAGTCAACTTTTCTTATCCAGAAATAGTAAATGTTCTGCATGTACGGTGGTACTGTGGTAAACACAGAAACTATTAGTAATTCACAGCTGCACCAGAGTTCAGATCAACTTCTGATGGTTAGCTTGAAGTATCACATCCCTCCTCATGCTTTTTGACACACTTTTGACATTTTTTTTCTGACATGTTTTTGTATATTATAGAGATGAAACACATTTTCTCATTTACCCATTCACATATAATGGTGAATGAGCTACCATCCAGAGTGTTCTGTTCTTTTTCAGAATTTATTACAGTTTTACTTGTTTGTTTTAGACTTTACCTTCCCTCTGTGAAAAGAAACCATCATGTCCGTTGAATGTGATCAGTCACATTCAACAGACATCCCATTCAACGTGGTCCTGGAGGCCCTGGTGCAGAACTGCCACCCTGGTCAAGTGCTGCCTGCTCTGCTGAATGCACGACTGAGATAAGACCACAGGGGAGGAGCAGAGTCTGTGTATATGTGGAGTAGCAGCAGTTAAAGGAAGTGAAGTCAGACTTAGAGAGTGAGTTTCTTTGTCCTTCCTCAGCCACTTGAGCGCTGCAGTGAGGACCAGCAGCTTCACCTGCTGGCTGACAGACTGACAGCAGCTGCAGTCCTGACAGCAGGGCAGATCTTCACCCAGCACTTCCTCACTTTTGCCAGCAAAATGTCCTTGGATGCTGCTGCAGAAATCAGGTCGATTATTACTGTATTTGGGTCACAAAATTCAGAATTGGACATGAAAAAGTGGTCAATCTTGTGCTTATAAGCACTGAACTGCTAAATAAGAAACATGTATCTCTGTAGGCCCCATAGATGCAGGATCCTACAGAAGCTCTTCCTTCACAGGGACTTTCTGAAGCTGTGGCAGACGACTGTGAGGGAAAAGGATTAAGTGTTACTTTTTTTGCTCTGGTAATAAATGTGGAGTTTTTTTGGGGTTTTTTTGATTAAAGAATTCTTTAGACGTTTTGTGTTATGATGATGATGATGACGATGACGATGATGATGATGATGATGATGATGATGATGATGATGATGATGACGATGATGATGATGATGATGATGATGATGACGATGACGATGACGATGACGACGATGACGATGACGATGATGATGATGATGATGATGATGATGATGATGACGATGACGATGATGATGATGATGATGATACTATCCTTGACTTCACATCAGATTCAGCAATGTTGCAAGGTTTTGTAAAAAGTGAAAATCAGAAGAGTCAAGATGCAACAGTTTCTGAAGCCTGAGGGTCGCAGGTCAAACAGCTGGTGTCCAGGATACGAGGTTTGTCAGAAAAGTTCCAGGACTGGTGTCACAAAAAATATATTTCAAACTCAAACTACAAACTACCAGTTTTCCCCTTCAGACGATCAACCAGCACGTCTACAAAGAGATCCTGTGGCGTTTGCTTCGTTCAGTGCGTGAGAAGAGGTGAGAGTTGTGGCAGGACGAATCATGGCTGCTTCACCATGACAACACGCCTGCTCACAATGCCCTGAGCATCCAACAGTTCCTGGCTGAGAAGAACATCACCGTGCTGGAGCAACCTCCCTACTCACCCCACCTGGCTCCATGTGGTTTTTTCCTCTTCCCCATGCTTAATGGGGTCATCAAGGGGACCCGTTTAGAAGACGTGGACGACATCAAGGTGGCTGTGACGACAGAGCTGTGGAGGATCCCAGAAGAATCCTTCCAGGAGTGCATGGGGCCGTGACAGAGAAGGCTGGGAAAGTGTGTTAGACTTATAGGTTTGATATGACACAATATTTCGACATGATTGTGTTCCTTTCCACTGACATGTACTTTACTCCAGCAAAGCCTCAGCCTTCCTCCCTGTGTGGACCTCAAGCTACTGGCTAAGGTGATGCTGCCCTTCTTTTAGAGGGAGCAGTAATGAGTGTGAGATGTTCTGGTGCAGCATTTTACTGCAGAGATTTTGATAAAAAATGTTATATTTGCAAGAGTAACTGACACATGGGTTGGCACAGCCTTTTAAAGGTATTGTGGACATAAATGATATAAAATTTAAAAATTAGTTGCTTGGCGATTCCGTTCCATGGGCAAAGGAAAGTTAATTTCTCGGAAATCAAGCGTCCTGAAATAGTTTTGTATGAAACTGGGCTGCACAAATACACTTGAAACTAAAGCAGCAGCAGGTAGAACACACTCAAAGCTTCAGGAAGCCCTGAAACAGCAGATTGTCCAAACTTCTCTTGAGCCTCCAGCAACAGAACAAGAATGGCTCTTTCATGTGACTTAATGGGTCAAGGGACATCTTTTTCTACTCACAGTTTTATCTGTAAATTTTCCCTTTTGTTTCACGTTAATTTCATTTGGCAGTGTTTCATCTGTTTCTTCCTCACGGGTTCGTTTAAATATTAAAGTAATGAACTGATACTGAAATGCTGTATTCGTTGCAGCCCTGGACTGTTTCCATCTGTGCAGCTTCATGTATCTGTTATGAAATAGCTTTCATCAAAACTTTCATCAGGCTGTGATTGGACAAAGCATCTGACTGTAAGTAATTGTAGAGACTTCTAAACTACAGGGTCCACAGCTTGTTCCTCACACAACCCATTACATAAATCACTGATATGTACATTTTACAATATAATTACTGCAAAAAACTGCAGGAACACACAGCTGCTGTTCGTCCACACACGGTGTTAAAGGTGCATGGTGAAAATGTCAACATGTTTATCCTCTTCAGTAAAGTCTCCTTGATGCACAGAACCAGATATCCCCTTTGTAACCTGAAACAGCAAACTTTATGGGGAATATGGTCTTGATTTTTAGATTCATGGGTACTATGATACTTCTGCTGTTAAACAGCAAAGTCTCTTAGATTTATAGTAGTTACACATGAAGATTAAATTGGTGTATGTAAATGTTTTGAGTTTCGTCTGAGCAGCAGAAGTCCCAGTGTCCTTTTCTTTGGTCCCTGAAGCGTCTTTAATCTAATTTCCACTCCGCAGGATAAAGGGCATGTGCATGCAGTTTAGGGTTTGTTTCTAATGACGTTCTGTCATACAGTTAAAAAATATATAAAAATGACATCATGCCCCGATATGTTTTGAATTTGGCCACCATCAAAGGTTGTGTCTCCGTTCTGTGCGACGTTCAGGGAGGAACATCAAAGCTGCTGATAAACTCGACTCCTCAGAGGAGACAAGGCCGCTCCCTCCTCCTCATCCCGTTCCGATTAAAGCACCGGAGGTTTCTGATTGAAAACAGCACAGACGACAATTTCTGCAGCGCTTCTTTTCCTTTTTTCAAATGCTTTACTAGATTTCTGTTTTCTGACTCAACAAGTGAAGAAAATATGTGCGCTGCTGTTTAGTCTTGAGCTTTTCCCTTCTCTCTGTCATTCACTAGAAAACCTCCATGCCTCTGCACACTGTTGAAGCATCTAAATGTCTTATTTAAGAAGTGAGAAGCAGCAAATGATCTTTTTGTTAAGAAAATGTCTGATCAATAATCAGAATAGTTGCTAATAATGGCGCAGTTGGTTAGCATCGCTGCCTCGCAGCAAGAAGGTCGCCGGTTCGCATCCCGGTGGGGGCACCGGAATCTTTCTACGTGGAGTTTGCATGTTCTCCCCGTGCAGCGTGGGTTCTCTCCGGGTTCTCCGGCTTCCTCCCACACAGTCCAAAAACATGTTGAGGTTAATTGGTGATTCTAAATTGTCTGTAGGTGTGAATGTGAGTGTGCTTGGTTGTCTGTCTCTAAATGTGGCCCTGTGATAGACTGGTTACCTGTCCAGGGTGTCTCCTGCCTTCACTCTAAGGCGGCTGGGATAGACTCCAGCCCCCCCATGACCCAAATGAATATTAAGCGGTGTACAGATGATAGATGGTTGGATGGTGACTAATAATGTTCTTTCTATCAATGAAGCATCATTCAGTGACAGTTACACCATACTTCCATCTTTCAGTGACTAAACTAGTACCTGAGGGCACAAATCATTCAAGTAGAACTGGTAAAGCAATACCGGATTTCAAAAAACTGAGTGCAGATGTGAAGCTAAGGTCGGTGGGTATTTTTCATTTTTCCTTTCTGATAATCTAAACTGTCTTCATGGGATCAATGTGTTGAAACTGGTAGCTCCAGATGAGTCACGCTCGAGTAGAGATGAACTCATCTGAGCAGTCGATCACCGATGATGAGGTGTTTCCATGGCGGAGATCTGATGTTTACAGCTTATAGATGATTAGTACGTCTCACTCATGTGCTTGGCTATTAGGCTTTATGTTTGTGGCAGTGATTCAGAGGGAAAATATCTGGGGAGAAAACAGCAGCGAACAATTCAGGCCAGTGAAGATTAACCGAGTTCTGAACAGCTCCCAGCTTTGGAGTCATAAAAAAAAGAAGAAAAAAAAAAAGAGGTGAACGTTCAAAGAGGTGGAGGAGTAAAGCACTCGAAGACACTTTCCCCGATTTCCTGACTGTTGTATTTATGCCGGCATTTCCAAGTTTCCACTCAGGGATGGAGGTCTTTCCCCTCAGAGAAATGAAGCTGTGCAAATGTGCAGATGGGTTCGGGATAGAGCAGCTCTGACTGCTGACCTTTTTAAAAACTTCTACTTAACCGGGGTCTGTCTGCGTTCATTGAACCAGCCTGGAGCCTGTAAGCTTCATTTACCACTAATGTATATGCAGATGGGGCTGTTCCTCTGTACTCTGCCCCAGTGGCCCTAATTACCCCTCTGTTTACCCAAATGCTCCTCTAGTTTGTACAAGTTTCCCTCTAGTTTGAATGACTAGGGTGTCACTCCAATCGGCCTCAATTCCCAGGTTTGCTACAAGCCACCAAGTTCTCCTCTAATTGGTTTCTGCCCCACTGAGGTGCCTCTAGTTGGTCTGAGTGCATATGAAGTAAACCTCTAGTCATACCAGAGTTTCCTTCAAGTCTGTCCGTCAAGTCTTCTTGATGGTCCAGATACTCCTCTGTTAACCCAAATGCTCCTTTTATCTGCATGACTAGAGTGCCAGTCTAACTGACCCATATGCCCTTCTAGTTTGACCACGTGGCCTTCAAGTCCACCTAAGGATCCTAGGGTGCCCTTCTTGCTTGCCATTGTCCCACTCGTGAGCCAAAGTCCTTCCTTGTTGGTGTAATGCCCTTCTGGTTATTCCAGATGTCCTTAAAGTGAACCTCTAGTTAGCTCCACTAGTTGTCCTGGTGCTCCTGTGGTTCGTCCAGATGTGTTTATAGTTAGTGTTTCTCTCGTTGATCTCCGTCTGGTTGGCCTATGTAGCCTACTGACTGTCAATGTGACTGTCTGGTGTAGTTAGTCCAAGTGCAGTTCTAGTTGGCTTTTGAAGTGCAACAAAAACATGAAGTCTTTTTGCCCTCCAGTCTGCCCTAGAGGCTCAAATGCCCACTCATGACTGTTGTAGTCAGCCATGTTGAGCTGCAAGTTCTTGCTGCTGCTCTTGTTGACTCAAGGTGCCCTTCTAGTTAGTCGGTGCCCCAGTATCTGGCCAAAGTGCACTTGAAGAGTTCATGTGCAAAAATATAAAACTCCATCTTCACAAACCTTCAGAAAACCCACTTTTCCATCATCTACCTGAGACAATATCAAACCGAAGTTATCTCTGTTTGTCAGGTCATTTCCACCAAGTCAAATCCACTCAACTTCAGTTTGATTGATTTTATCCCAAGCAAACAACAAAAAATAAGTTTTCTGAAAATCTGCAAAAATGGACAAATCTGTTTTTGAAAATGAACTCTTCATTTCTAATTGGCCTAAGTGCTCCTGATTGGTCGATGTGCCTTTCAAGTAAACCTCTAGTCAAAACCAGTTTTCTTCAAGTGTCCATCTAGTAAATTACTCCCCTCCCTAAGTGCTCTTCTTGATGGCCTAAGTGCTCCTCTCGATCCAACATCTGATCCAGCCCCTCTCTTGAGTCTAAGTGCCTGAACAGTCAACCCAAGTCCTGCTTAAACATCTCTTGAATGCCCGTCTGCTTAGTCCACTCTGGTGTGATGTAAACCCTTCCTCCTTCGTTTTAGCTCCTGTAGTCTGATCAGACCCCCGAGACTCTCAGAAACCACACAGGTGTAGATTTTCAGTAGTTTTATTGAAAAATGCCTCTTCTGTTCTCAGAAATAAATAAGAAAATAAGGCTGTGGAATTCACAATCTGCAGTTAAAACATGAAGCAGCAATACCATTTCCATAGTGTTGCACACAGGCTTCCACTGCATTCGATACTGAGAAAATGACAAGAATGACAACAACTATATTCTGGTTAAAACAAAATGAAATGTAACAAAACATGTACTAAATATACACCACAGACATGCAATTCCACCGATGGTAAAATTAGCTGTGACGGAATAAAGGAAAACTGATAAATATTAAGTCTAGAGATACAAAATGAAAGCGGTGTTTAACTGCCATAATGAAACTGAGCCGACAAAACTGAACTGAATGCAAAGGGTTATATTCAACATACTGGATCAACTGTGACAGAAAAAAAAATCTCATTTCTCATCTGATGTCCTGAAACTGTGAACAGTTTTTCTTTCCTGCGCTACCATCGCTACGTTTGTTACAATGAGTGCACTGGTCAACACTGCTGGTCAATACAAAGTCGATGCAAATATGTTACAAGCAAAAGACACAAGTGGAAAAGGAAAGCTCACAGGTTTTCATCGATTACTTTTTTTTTTCTTCAATTTTTCAAAATTTGCTCAACAACCACCCCAAAACTCCCTCCTTCCCTCCCTCTGTCCGTCCATCTAAACCCTTCACCTGCCACAAAAAGGAATATTCACATACATTTGAAGGCATTTAAAGGTATTTTCCAATAAATCTGAGGTGTCAAACCCCATTTTTTTTTTGTGTATACTTCCAACGACAAACACAGGTTGAACAAGGAAAAAAAAACAGAAAAAGAGGGCATGGCTTGTCTTATGATGTTAGCCTGTTGGATGCCTTTCTTGATAGTGATCTCTTTCGACGCTGGTTTTGCAACACCTCCTCCTCGGGGACTGGGACTACTCGGGTGTCAGGTTCAGGTGGATATCGGCCTGCTCGGAGATAGTGTTTTGGCCAGTTGAGCGTGAGTTGGCAAATTTCCTCTCAGTTTGTCTCAGCATGCACAAGAAGAACTGGTTAATGTGGAGTTTCTGTCTGGCTGATAGCTCAAGCACTGACACAGGTGGTTAGTAAAGAGCAGGGACGTGGCCACAGGGTTTCTCAGGGGGTTTCTTGTGACACAGCAGGTGGTACAGTACAATTTATTCCTGTTTGGAATACAGTTTGATCAATGGTCATCACCCATAACTGGAAGTGATGACCTTTGTGGTCCTAAGTGCCATAAAAAGTCAAAATACAACAACTAGAAATGTGACCAAATTGACTTTTTTTTTTTTTTTACGTCATATGTTGCTTCAAAGTATTGGTGAGAAAAAAAACCTGAAAATGTCACAAGAAGTAAAAAACTAGCTGCTCAGTTAGTTGTACTCACTCTAGCTAAGGGTAACTGTTAGCCTTAGCTAAAGCTGGTCACTGTTCCTATTTGTCTAACTCAGTTTGGATGCTCCTTAAGAGTTGAAGTTGTGCTATTAAAACAAGATCTGAATCTTAAAGGACAAAAAAATGCAACACCAGCTAAAGTCTGTGTAGATACTCAGTCATCAAAGTCATGGTAATCCTAAATGTTCCAGTAGAAGGCAGCTGAGCTTCTCTTTTTTTGGTTCTTGAAGACAGTTTACCTCTTGTTCAAGAGGCTTTCTCAGTTCTAAGTGACTGATGGGGAGTCTCATGTGTTCTCACTCCTAACTCCGAAGGCTCATGGCCAGGTTCTAACCCAAGACTCCCATGTCTGCACAACACTATGGGGTCTTTCACACCACTTATCGGGTACTTAGAACACAGTCCTGAGATCCCTGCCCAGACAGTTTCACCAGCATTAACACCTTGAGTCATTCCTCATGGGGCAGCGGGACAAGCATTCAGAAAGCAGGACAAATGAATCTTGGGTTGTTAAAAAACAATGAGCCTGGTGCATTGGGGGTTAGAATTCGAACCAGGGACTCCCCATCAGTCAGCTGGAACTAAGGGAAGCCTCCTTGATGAGATGAAACATCTGTCGTCTACTGGAACACAATATAAACTAGTCCTGATGAAAGCTGACTAGGCTACTTCTGGCCCTGGAGAACCTAAGAGGGTTGTTAAACCTGCAGTGTGGAACTGAAAGATTTACCTGGAGCCAATAAACGTAATTACTAGTGCGTTAACTTGCTTGTTTTCAATGTAACTATACTTTAAAAGTTCCACACTCCAGCTTTAAATCAGTATTGTCAGTTTAAAGTACACGTTAAGTGATGAGTCGATCTCAGGTTTTGATTGAATTAATCAATCAAATGTTCAAGTCATTTTTTACAACAAAAAAAAGTTAAATATTAATTTAACTTCCTGCTTCTCAACAGTGAAAATTTGCTTTTTTTTTGTACTCATTTCATAGGGAACAATTAGGAAATTTTCACTCTTCAATAACAACTGGGCAAACTCCATCTGCTATCACGCTACCAGATGGAGTTCTTGGTAATATTTTCTCAAAACTACAGAATTTCTCAAGCATGCATCTTATAGACTGTTATTGGTTGGGCCACCACCAAATCAGATTTAGTGACTGTGGGATCAGGTCACCCAAGGCCCCCTTGGACACGCCCCTGGTGACATTGCAGTTCATTAATGTTCTCTCTTTGTACTGATGTTAAAAGTTCAGGTGTTAGTCTGATTACAGAGTCAGGTGACTTTACAACACAGGAAATACCAACACTGCCATTTCTCCACAAATCTTTCATTTACAAATTAAAACAAAACATTTCTACATAAAGATCAAGTACGAGTTCTTCTACCATCAACCTGGAGAGACTTCTTTGGGATTGCATTGTTAGCAGTTTATACCATACAGAAACGGTATAGGTGGTTTGGGGAGAAATGTCAAATAAAACCAATAAAAAAGGAAAGTGAATTGTTTTTTTGTTTTTTACATAAAGTGGTAAATCTAAAACTCCAGGGTCACATGTGCAGAAGTGGTTCAGTATGGCCCTGAGCAGTTTAAAACAGCTACAGACACATGGGCAGGAAAATAAAAAATAATAAAAAAAGGCGGTTTTGTTGGCATTCGGCAAGCAGCAGGTTGTTGTTTGCAAGGCACAAGCTTTAAAACTACAGATGTTAAAGAGTGGATTTAGTGGACTGGATTCAAACATCATTTACAAGGCACACATTAGTTTATTTACATGTCACATGGAGAGAAATGCTGTTAACAGAGTTGTTGTTGCTGCTGCTGCTGTTGCTGGTGATGCTGCGGTGGCTGCACTGGTTTCTCTGTTACAAATCCACCTTTGTTAGTATTTGTTTGGGTTGTTTGTTGTTGTTGTTTGGTGCATGCTCCTCCACTCAACTCAAGGTTTCTTTGTTTGGTCTTTGGCTTCAAGATGCAAACAGGCCACTAAACAGGTCGGTGCCATCACCGCTGCTGCTGGTGCTGTTTTGTTCTACTGGCTGTGAGTCGTTGTTAGTACTGGTTCCCTCTTTGTTGTTGTTGTTTTTCAGCACAGTTTGTTAATTGTTTCCTTTGGCGGTTATCCTTTAAACAGCTCTAGAGTGTGTGAGCAAGTGTTTCAGTTACAGGACTTTTGTTTTTTTCAGGAAGTCAGTGAAAGCAGCACAGGTGGCATAACAAGTCTACTATGGTGAACCTGAAACAGGCCAAAGAGGATGGAAGGTGTCAGTCAGGTCAAAGCAGGAGACAGTGGATAAACAACTTCTACGTGTCTCTAATGATTAGTGACTACAAGTTTCATACATGCATTACACCTCAGACATTTTGGGAAATACACATCTTCCTGTGTAAACCAGAGTCAGATGAGTTTCAGTTTCTTTTGTGTCCACTGCAGACACAGGAGGTCCACGATGTGTTAGCCAAGCTTAGCAAAAACCCTGGAAGTAGTTTCAAACTGAATGTGAACGTCTCTTTGCTGCTGCCATCTGAACTCGTGATCACTTTTCACTGTTGTTGTCGGCCAGCTGCTGCAACCGCTCACTCTTCAAAAGCACCTTTGAGCCCTGATTACACTTCTGTGCGAAGAAGCACATGGACAGCTGTGGACACGATGGACACCGAGATGTTGCTAATATACAGGTTGCTACTCCATGGGAGTCTGGTTGGAGATTTCTGTTGCAGTAGGTCCATACGTGTACAGTACTGTACAGCATGCACACTGAAATGCACACAACGTGTCTGCAAGCAGCTTTACCTCAGTCAAAGGTAATTTAGGTACCGATAAAAAATGAAATCTAGCGTTAAAGGAATCTTACTTTCTGTCAGTTTGTTCCAGCTTTCTGATTTAATGTGGCGGTACATGAAAGTTGTTGTATCGTGTGTATTTTACCTTCACTGTGTACCTTTGAGGAATATAAAGTTTAGTTTCCTGTAAAACTTTCCAGTTTAATTAAACAAAAGAAATGTGTTAATAAAGTTGTCATATGTTAAATGTTGTATCAACAGCTGTCCATGAACTTTACCACCATGAAACAGTCATAAGGCCAAACGAAAATTTCAAGCGTTAATCTAAATAAACTTGTGTATTCTGTGTACAAATCGATGCCACCCTACATACAGACCTCACAGTGACTGTCAAAGTGGTAAGTAGCTGGTTAGTTCATCAGACATCAGGCAGCTTTGGATGTATTAAGTACTTCTCTTTTGATAAACTTCCTGTTTTTGTTATGCTAAGTTAATCACGTCCTGGACCCAAACTCATCTGATTCAGGGGAGAACAGAAAAAAGTGCATCTCCTAAAATGTGATATTTTTGATCCCAGATTAGAAACAGTAGTTGTACAGTTCTGTTTACGTACCTCCGTATCCTTGCCCATTGTAAGGAATACCAACACACTGAGAAGAGTCGCAGTATCCAGCAGGTCCAGGAGGCCCGCGGATTCCAGCGTAGCCTGGACGTCCAGGTGGACCGCGAGGTCCAGCAGAGCCTGGTGTTCCTGGGGATCCTGTCCTGCTTTCTCCTGGTGGACCTGGAGGAAAAAAAAAAAAAAGATAGAAATGATGCAGTTACATGTGTGTTTAATTGTCAGTATGTCGTCTGTGAAGATATCATGACTTCTCTAAATGCTAACATGAAGGAACTGGACTTTCTTAAAGAAGCTTCAGCTGTCATCTGAAAGGCTTCTTCAGGTCTGAGACTTGTTTAAGTCACATGTGATTAGGGTTAATTAGGGTCAACTGAGTTGGTCTCATTGCTGCATTGAAGTGAGGACGCTACATTACTCTCCTTATGCCTGTTTGTCCTCAGGGTGGATGTATACATCAGCATGATCCATCGCAAACTATCAAACTATATCAATAAAGGTTGCTCACACTGAGTGTGATTTTTTTCATTTTATCACATTCTTCAGAGCTTTTCATCTTTTTTCTTCCTTTTTTAAGCAAAAATACAAAAAATGGATGCTTTCCTGTGTGACATGATACCAAACGGAATATCTCTGGATTATGGAATGTTGGCTAGGTAACGCTGAATGTCATCTCCATGAGGTTTAGGAAACTACTATTATTTTCTGACATTTTACAGACAGACGGATTAATGGAGAGACAACATTAATCAAGAAGGATTAATGCAGACAAGAGAGGATCGATAATGAAAATAGCAGCTGTATCTCTGTATTCTACAACCCCAACTTGTAGCAGGAACCCAAACTAAAGGAGAACTGCTTAAAATACATCGAGCAGATATAAAGATTAATTTGTTGAAATGGTGCAGAGCGAACTGATGCAGACAGAAACACACTTTGACATTTTATCAGGTGTAGAAGCTTTAACGGAGCACCGAGGCTCAACGTGGCCGTACTCCATGTGGTTCAGTGTTTTTATCATTCCAACTATAGAAACCTGTTTATGACTCTTGTTATTTGATTAATTTAGAGAGATGAATTCATTTTATTATATTGTTGTAAAACTGCCTCCGTAAAAACTCCAGGCAGTGTTTTATGATCTTTGAACTAAACAGATAATTATGGCTCAGTATTATCGCGGCGCTCAACTCCAGCTGGAAACATAACAAATGTAGCTGCTGCTGACAGTCTCGGGCACAACGTTTGGAACAGAAAAATAAAAAGTAAACTATGAGGGGAAAAAGAAGCAGGATTTGCTGATCCTTTTTCCTCCTCTGCGTTATGTCTAGACTTGGACAAAGCCGGCTTGGAAAGTTTCCTGACCGGCTGTCTCCTCCTCACCCTCCTCAGCATGTGTTGTGAATGAGGATCTTCCTCCTTTTCCAACTCCGACCTGTTAGACTCACACAACGGACTTTTCTTCTGCTTCTGTCCGACAGGCTGGATTGTTTTAGAGTTGGGAGGTTGTAGTTGGAGTGCTGGATTACAGAAGGACTGGATGATAAGTAATTAGATGGACATGGTGACTTTGGGTTTTGTGCTTGTCGAGTTTTGGAATTGACATCCTGATAGTTTTTTAAGGTTGCATTTAACTTTAACTCTGTTCTGAACATTAAAGGTACAGCCACACAGCTCCATCTGGTTGAGTCACCCTTTAAAGAGTAACTACACCTTCAAAGTCTACAAGAAGCCTCCTACACAGCTGCTAATCCACAATAATATAAATCATAGCCATTTTAACTATTTCTAACCAACAATGAAACTTTATTTGGTGAAACCACATTAGACAGGAATTGTAACTCCATGTCTGGGTTTGGGTTTAGACCTTTAAAGAAATGAAGCAGAAAAGAGGGTGCATGTTGGCCGGACACATGGAGCTGATATTCAGAGCCAGCAGCCAAGTGAAGCTGCTAGAAAGAGTCTGATGGAGCTTTGACAATCTGTGTATCATTTGTTCTTTGGAAACTGAAAAAAACATTTGTTATTATGTTATTCATTTATAAATCCAAAATAAAAACCCCCATAAAAGCTTGTTTTTCATACTTTTGATTTTATGCTCTCGTCAAAAATACAAAATAGAGAAATGGGTCACAGACGATATTTATTCTGACTAAAAGTTGCTGACTTCTTTGCGTGCAGCAATAAGCTGGGACGATCACGCTGCTTGACTTAATATAGTGAATATAAGCTTGAATGCTTTATGAGTATTTTGTGAAATGCCACATTTAAAGTCTTTACTTGTGTGAACATACTTAACATAACTTTTATAAGAAACAGGGAGTTTAATGCTGCCATGAGACAGACTGTGGGCAGCGACACAAACAATCGAGTTTCACGTGTGTTAAGATGTTATCGGTCATCTTACAACAAGGTCCAAACTGAAGTCATAACAACAGAGTTCTTGTTATATCTTCAATAATAACACACTTCTTACTTTGTTATAGCGTGAAATGTATCATATTACAATGTGATAACTTAAAAATGCAGATAAAGGACAAATTGAGGAAAATTGATCATTTACACACTTTGATGAACATCTACTTCATGTCTGGATTGAGACATAACAAGATGATATTGTTTTAAGTCAGTGAGGAGTCAGCTGGACACCGACCTCCAGAGGGTCAGACTCATTCTTCTTCTATAGTAGCCGCCTGTATTGTAACAGTCTTTGTCGAGTAATCAAGTTTTGTACAGGAGCAGTGATACAATGGCTTAATATAATGGCTGCCATAGTCAGAGGTTAACGTATGAAGCAGACTGCAGAGTCATGCCTATTTCATAGTTAGGGAACGACAAGAGGATTCACCTGAACTCATTTTGTTTTTACAGAGTTACTATATTAACATATGTGATTATGCTTGTAGCACTAAAAACAAGAGTGTGCAGCTCCTTTTTATACGTCTTCAGAATAACTTTTTAATAACCCGTATTTGTTAGTTGATTATCTCTTGCTTCTGTTCTGTGGCAAGTTTATCAAGTCGCTTTATAGAAGACATGACAAATTGATTATTGAGTAAAAGCTACATGTAGTGCTTTGATTTCTAAACTTCATATTTTCTGTCAGCCTGCAGTCCTGGATCGGACCAACCGTTTTTTAGGTTTTTAGTTTATATCTTGACTTGAGACGTACCTGCAGGCCCCCTTGGTCCTTTCTGTCCGAGTCCTGAAGTTCCTCGATCACCTTTCTCTCCTGCGGGACCTGAAGGTAAAACACAGAATCAATAATGCTGTAGTTACTGATCAAAATGTTTTCTACCAGTTTAGCCCCTAAATGAACACGAGGTACTCCTTAACCATTGTGATCAGAGGCCAAATTTAAAATCAGGTTGAGCTGCTCACGACTGAGCCTAAAGGCTTCTTTTTGACTAAAAAAAAGATTAAAAATGTAGCTTATACAGACTTCAGAGTTTAGCAGTGAAACTCATGAACAGCTGGATGGATATCACAGGACTGACTTGTCCAACTAAGAACACTTGGCCTTAAAACCTCCTGTGGGTGCTTCCTCTGTACGGTAAGTGTCATTGTTCTGCTGCACTGTATATAAAGAGACAGACACTGTTCATCTACCCTAAAGCTCGAGCTGAGACTCGATACTACAAACACTTTTCTCCTCTAATCCACTGCACTACAGCACAAAGCCAAAACAATAAAAAACATGTCACTTACAGCTAGAAAGCATCAGCAGCACTGTAAGTGTCAGATGTTGGTATTTGTCTGCACAAACTCCAGCGTGTTTACTGCTGTTGGCAACGAGCACTTGTTCTTATCCTTGAAGTGCAGTAATGGTTTTCTAGTGGTGTCAGTGATGTGAAGTATCTGAGCTCCTACTTCAGATCAGCCTCCATCTCTAGTATAGGCTGGCGTTGTCTTGGGAACATGTCCTCTCTCAACCGTTACTGTTACTAGCAGCAAAACATGACTACATATTTTTGCTCCCTCTCTTTTCATGTCATTTTATAATATTGTACTTTATACAGCGGACATAAATATTGCATACTTTATAATTCAAAACAAGAGTTTATAGAATACGGTGCTAAGTAGGCTAATTGATCACCAAACTATTTGGATATGATTTAGTTCAGTTTTCAAGAGAAAATGTCAAACATTTCATAGAACCAGCCTAATGACTTAACTTTATTTTTTAATAAAGTTGAGGTTTGAACTGCTCAGTGACTACATTTGTCATTATTTTCTGAATTCTTACAAAGCAATGAACTCACTCTTCAAGAAAACAATATGCAGGCTAATGTTTAAGATCAAGCCTTAAATAAATAAAGAATCATCAGTCGCAGCAGTTTATTAGATAGTTAAAAATGATCTCCATCTACACCTGCTTTTAAATGACTGCTTAAGAAACTGGTTGGTTCTTTTGCTCATTCTTGAAGTACATTTCTACTGAAGGACTTCTAGAACTTGGAGCAGATTTGCATTATGGTACTGGCACCTTCTGCCTCAATCAGGAGTGAAAATCAGAGATGAGTGATGGAGGCCAGCCTCTTTAACATCTTGTGATGGTTTAGTGCATTTTAAACAAACCTGCAGCAGAACAAATAATCACTGTTTGGCTGCCTGTGTTTCACTTGTAGAAATCATTTGAGTCAAGGTTTATTTAACTCCCTGCATTGATAATGTGAGTCCATTTACTATGTAGCACATAGAAAGGGTCGTACCTCTCTCTCCCTGCTGGCCTGGTAATCCAGGACTTCCAGGGAAACCGTTCCTTCCTGCGGCGCCCACCTCTCCACGGGGTCCCTGCCTGCCGGGAGGTCCGGGAGGCCCTGCAGGGCCCGGGCTATTGCTGCGGTACATGCCGTTGGGGATCTGGTTCAGTAATGTGTTGACGCGAGTCATTTGTTCTGAAACATCAGAGAGCAAAAAGGAGCATTACAACAAACGCACACAGTCAGTGGCACACTTACTGAGTCATGAAAGACGAGGTGCAGTTTACAGTCTGGCTGCCAGAACAACCTCCAAATTAAGTTCAGGGAAAAAAAACAAAATCTGCTTCTTTTAACCATGCATATTTGTATTGTTGATCCTGAGTCTCAAATGGAAAGAACTTTGGGTGAACTTGCTTTAAATGTGCTGTATAAATAAAGGTGACTTACCATTGACTAACTGCACACACACTTGTCTGGCAATGGATCGCATCATGTTCTGAGGAGCAAAGTCGCCCTGAGTGCAGAGAAGGAGGGTTCAAAATTAATTTACATAAATGGTTTTATTCCAGAGTGCTAGTTTTTAGGAAACTGTTGCCTGACGTTCTTCAACTCTATGAAACATTCCTGTAAAGCTTAGTAGCTCCGAATAAAGCTACTAATGTAGTTTACTCAACTCCCCTTATCATGCATTTCCAATATTTTTATTCCCCACTTGCTTTCTGTATTAATGTGTCCATCTGTTCAGCTTCACATGTATCTGGACAATTCTGAACTTTATTTCCCATGAGTACTAGCATAAAAAAACACAGGTGTACCCTATCTGGTGTTGTAATAACCCCTTAGGTTTCCTTCAGTCAAACATTTGCCCTGATAAAGGATGGACAACTTTGCTCTTTGATGAAATACTGAAAAAAACATTTTATGATTTAGACATCCAGCAATGTATCATGAGTGCAGTGACCCTTGTAAATATAAATACAGCAGGTCATCAGGCTCAATGTTGAGTCACAGAATCTTATTTTCTCAATAATTTAACACAATCTGTGACATCTGTTTTGTTTCAAATCAGCTGAACTCATTTCTAGAAAATTCATGAAACACAGGAGACTGCAGTGTGGAGATCTTTTCCTGTTTTCATCAGCCTGACTGCCTCGTTAATATATTTTGCAGCATTGTTGCCAAAGTGAGTTAAGAATACTTCATGTCTACTCACTCTCTCTCCTTTGTCTCCCTTGGGACCTAGAGCACCCTGAAACAAGAAAAACAGAACTGTGGACACCATTCAACCACAACATGCTGCTGACTAAACACACATTTGTGCCCTGAAAGCAAAGACACTTACAGGGACTCCAGAGTCGCCGGGATTTCCTGGTTTTCCTGCAGGACCTGGTATTCCAGGAGATCCTGGAGGTCCCTGCAAGGAAATAAAGAAAACCAGTCAAACATCAGAAAACAGTAGCACTGGACCAGAAGACTAATTAAGAAAAGCTTTTTCTCATGATTCTCAAAAAAGTCAAAGCCCTTTGATCTGTATGATCGTCTGTGGTGATATATCTGAAGTTAAAGAATCCTTTTTGTGATCAGTGAATATGTGCCACCAGCTTGTTAATCTGAGTGGAAAACATTCCCTCCTTTGTAAAACTGCTGCCAGTTTGACCTTGAGCAGGACACTGAAGATGAAACTGTTCAGGTTTACGTGCCGTGCAGCTCCCAGGTGTACATATTTGACACCATTAAAAGTCTTACCATGGGCCCTGCGGGGCCTCTGGGTCCGGCCGGTCCTTCCTTTCCTTGTGGACCCTGGAAATACAAGATCGGGATTGAAAACCTGAACCAATCCTGTTCATGTTTAAAGAATTCAGAATGCATGGTTGCCATTAATACCAGCCTGTGTGCACTCACCCTCACTCCAGCTGCTCCAATGGGGCCGACAGCACCAGGAGGACCCGATGAACCCTGCAAACGCAGGACAACATCCCAAATCAAAGCCTGTCATACTTTCTGTCTCCTGCAGCACAGAGATCCCCCTTCTGCTCCGATCGACCAACTCGAACTGGTTTGTTTCAGCGCCGGATTTCTGCGTGTTGACCAGTAAATCTCATTTTTTTCGCTCATTTGCTCAGAAACCCTGCTCACTATTTTTATTGTCAGTCCTCTCTGGTCTTTGATGCCTTGGCATAAGATTTACAAGGAACAAAATATATTCCAGATCCGTTTTATTGGCCATTATAAACCAGGGCCCGCGTGGTCTGCAAGTCATTAAATGCATGTTGCCATAGCATCTGCTCCAACATGGTCACCTGCAGCCCGTTGCTCCATCAACACCTTCCACGTGGAGATACACTCAGCAGCTTTGTTTTACTGGAATAAAGTGCTGATTAGCCACTCTCAGTCATGAGCGTGCAGCTTTGTGGGGCCTTGCATGAAGGCTGCAGCTGCTCTGTAACTGAAAGGTCACAGGTTTGATTCCCACAACACGTTCCAGTGTCCTTGAGCAAAATCTGCTTGATGAGCAGGAAGTTAAATTGCTCCAGTCTGTTAACAGGTTGAGCTTTAACGGGTGGAAACATTTGTTGTAGAAACTAGCTGAGTAAAACTTGGTGGGTGGCACCGGAAAAATGCCGATGATTAGGTCAAATAGCCAGTATCCCTTATCAGTAGTCAGTAAATGTGTTATTTCAGTTAATAGTTAATTTATTTTTATTTTTTTTGGGAGAAAAAAAACATTTAATTCTAGATTTCAGCTTTTTACTTTTGAATATATTCTGGTTACTTCCATACACTTTAACAGTAAACTGAATATCTCTGAGTTGTGGACAAAACAAGGCATTTGAGGACGTCATCCTGGGCTTTTGGAAAAACTGATGGACATTTTTCACTTTTTTCTGACACTGTATAGGCCAAACAACGAATCGATTATGAGAGAAAACAATTCATAGATGAATCAGCAATGAAAGTGATCGTGAGCTGTAGCCCTAATATTAGCAGAGATGCTCTCTTTTTAACAACATGTCACCAGCCCTTATTCTTTGGCCGGTCTATCAGTTAGCTAACCTGCGCTCTGAAAACCTGTGACTCTTCTGTCTCGCCCACCGACCAGCTGCCTCCGCCGCAGCTCTTCTTCTGAGGAACTTCTGTGCAGTTAAAACTGTAACCTGAAGCACTGAAAGCTGTCTCCGCATTAGAGAGGGCAATTCTTTTGAAATCCTCTAAAGGTCGAACTCGAAGATGCAAACAAACAGTAATTTACAGGTCAGCCGAGGGCACCAGCAAGGCTCAGTATTTGCTTGTCCCTATGAACAGCTTTCACAGATTGTCTCTCCACACAAAGATCACTGGACTCTGAGTGACAGAAAACGCTGAAGGCCTGGAGGAACCTGATCATAGGTTTTAAGGTGTTTTAGGCGTCGTCTGCCCTGTTATGATCTCAGCTGCAGTCTAATCTTAATGTGATCAGACCTTTAACCTTTGCTCTGTGTCATCACTCTTAACCTTATGTGTTCTTACCCTGCACAAATAATGAGTTGTCTTCTTTATCGTGCTGTAATGACGCTGCAGTATTCATCATTAAGGCATCAGTTAAAGAGACCAGCTTTGACATAAATGGATTAAACTCTGACTTCTACCTTCTTTTCACCTCATAAAACTTACATATGAGGTGCTTCATTCCAGAGAGATATGAAAGCGCTACCTGATATTTGTAACTCAATATCTCAAAAACACAGACAGTTTCATTCTGTTCTGAGCTCTCAGGATGACTCAGAGCTCCAACGGTGACCCGTGATGTTCTTTGTTTTGTGCCAACGAAGCTTAGGTGTCATTTTCTTCTTCCAGTTCCTTATGTATTCCCAGATAAAACAAACTGCATTAAGAGTAGGATGTAGCATCTGACCGGGGGCCGACACTTAACCAGCGCCATTAATCAAGGCGACTTGTTCTTGGCTCCCTCCGTGCAGAAATTTAATTTAAAAGTAATATTCAGAAACCTGCTGCCTCTTTTTACTCTCTGGATCCTCCCCAGCTGGAATAGCAGCGTGCAGCCACATGGCCACACAGCAGAGCGGTAGTCAAAACTGGAATTATCCCCGTTTCCTGTTTTAAATACACAAACAGAAATCTTTTTTTTTTCTTCTTCTTTTTAAAGCGAGAGCTGCACTTACTTTCTGTCCAGGTAAGCCTGAGTCACCAGGGTCTCCCTTTGGTCCAGGACGGCCCTGAAGGCAGAAAACAACATGAATGAATGAACACCATGGATGACAGCAACAGAACATTTAGAGAACAGACACTGGAAAAGACTGGCGGTAATATAAACACACAGATGGAGCTGTGATAAATGCAGGATTGGATTTATTCACTGGTGGCACGAGGACTTAAATGCACTAAAAAATGCATTTGATCACAGAGTTTGATCCATTTTGGATCTGGTCACTGCTTGGCAAGAACACCAGAATAGTAAAGCACAAATTAAGAATGACTGAAACAGTTTTAAACCAATATGAAGGTGTACATATGAACATAAGTTTGCTGTAAGTTTGTCTCCTGTTCATACTGGCTGCTCTAATGCAGTTTCGGTGTCAATGATAGGGAACAAAATTCACAGTCTTTTGCTTTGTGGAAAAATATTGATTATCTGAAGTTAGTGTGAGGCTTTGGCAGTCTGGGATCAAGGGAGTATCTTTCCAAAATACAGTATTCTGTCTGCAGTGGAAGGAATCTGACACTAACAGCTGGATTAGGGTCTCCCAGAATCTGACCCAGAATGTGTTTGTAGACGATCCGAACAGCCGCACTAGAAGTTGGAACGGATAGTTGGCTGTTGCAGACGTTGAGGGAAGGAGGAAGCATGATGTTGTTTAAAAATGGGGATAACGCCACATATTTTTTTCTCCAGGGAGACTCTGAGAGTGTTGTACTGAGCTGTTCGCATATAAAGTTGAGTAACAAACGCCGCTCTCTAACCTCCACACTGCTGGCCAATCACAGAAGTAGTACATGTTCGATCATCACTTTCACAAAGTCAGAGGTAAAAGGCGACACTGAACCCCGAGTCCAAACCTCAGAAATATGTGGAGGAGGTTTCCAATGCCATCAGCCCATCTGATATTCACTTTAGATATGCCATCAATCTAGATTAAAGACTTTGGAAGATACTTTAGGAAAATTTGTTTAACTGACAAATCTCTACTTGGACTTATTTGTCTTCCCTGTTTTTTTTTTTCTTCAGCAAATCAGCAAAGAACAAATTTCTGGTCACTACTGGCCAGCAGTGACTTGCTTCCTCAAAGTGATAAACATCGTAAATGAAGGCTAATCTTGTGTCAGATGTCAGATTAATGTGCTGTCTGCGGGCAAAACATCTTTTCTAGAGTGAAAAGCAACAATAACCATGTGACTGGCTGTTTTTTTTTTTTAAATCAGTGTGAGTCTTTCCCACAGAAATAATTTAGTGGTTTGAGCCATGTCAGTCCTCCAGTTAAACTTTGATTTGTGTCTTATCAATGGTTAAATGTATCTACTGCACAAATCTGAATTCAGCTGTCTAAATAAAACAGCTTATATGAAAAAGAAGGTGTAAATTCATTCAGCTAGTGTTTCACATCTTCTGCTGCTCATCTCATTTAAACATCATGAACATCATGACTACAGATCTTTGAACTGAGGGCTGAAATAATTTAATCAGCTGATCAGAGATTTAAATTTGTTTTATCCTAGATGATTCAGATTTGACAAAAATCTAACAAGCTCCAACCTATCTTAGTTTTTGCTCCCCAAAATCTCTCTAAAAATCCAGCTGTCAAAATCTAGATGACAGAACATCTGAGGTGACAAAATATGCTCATGTGTTTTACCTTCATTTATTCCTGTACGCTTAGTAGTAAGTAGACTTTACATGCCAGTTATTTTGTGTGGCTTTTTTTTTGCCCGGCATTTTGCCTCCAAGACATAAATGATGATAATCTGGAGACAAGCTTCATCAATCAGACTTTTTAGGCGAAAATATGAATTTGTAAACTATACAGTGACTTACAGTCAGTAAGCAACTCAAACAATACAATCAAACTAAGATCAAGCAGAGGACTTTTTAAAGTCTATTAATATTCATTTTCTAGGAATAAATATGGAAGATTTTTTCGTTATTAAAGACACAAATGCTGGAGCTACCATAAAACTGTTTATCAGCAGAATTGTGCTCCCTCAGCCTCTTAAAACCAAACCTACAGCCTTGACCAATCAGACGTTTTAAAACCTTAATCTGCAAAGTAACTGGGAAGAACAGCTGTCAGACAAATGGAGTAAGAAGCAGCAGAAAATGTACAGGACTTATGCACTTAGTTACTTTCCATGAGTGTCTATCTGGTGTAACCTATCTGGAGACAGAAGGAGGGAACATCTCAGTTTAATCCGGGTACATCTCCTCTCCGAGATGGAAATCCAAGCGGAGATTTATTACCATTCAATGATATGACGGCTTTGGGTCTTCTTGGTATCGCTTCTTTCCCTCAGACATGAAAGAATGTGAGTCTCTGCCACAGATACTCCCCAGCTTGTAAATTCCCTCACTGATAAATCGCCAAATAATCCCGACATGACTGTGTGTGTGTGTGTGTGTGGGTGTTCGTGTTAGGTGTGTTTAGACGTACAGCCTCTCCTGGAATCGACATCCCGCTTGGTCCTTGAGGTCCGGGAAGACCCATGGGCCCAGGTGGTCCGATATCTCCTCGCAGCCCCATTGGTCCCTGTGAAATACAAAAAGAAGGTCAGATAAGAAATATTTAAACACAGGAGGAGTTTGTTGTTGATATGTGCTGATAGCTCTCGTCCCAGTTCAAGTATGCTACTGTTGCAATCTGTGGAAAAGGCCGGCAGGAGTCGAGGAATGCTGATCGAACCGAACCTCCCCTCCATATCAGGGAGAAAGAGCGAAAGCACTCAGTCAATAAGTGGAATCAGATGTGCTTACTCTCTTCAAAGCTTTTGTACTTTAAACAATCTTTTGTTTTCATCGAGGCCAGATAGCTGAAGACAGAACAAAAATGTGTTGCGGATTTTCTTCTTTTCGGTGGTAATCTAAAGGTGAAGCAGCAGGACGATGGTAGAGGGTTTTCTAAAGGTACTTACAGCTGAACCGGCCTCTCCTCTTTCACCTCGGGGGCCTTTGCTGCCAGGTGCACCCTGAGGAGGGAGGAACAATCGTCATGTTAACACAACAGAGACAAGTGGAGATTAAAGGTGAGGAAAGCATCCACCAGGTTTCAGATCATTGAACATTTATGATGAAAACATGTTCAGGTATTATTTAGTGATTTAGCATTACTGTACAGAATCAAGATGAACAGAAAAAAAGATCAGAAGGATCATCTTTTTATATTCCATACAATCTCCCTCGTCTAAACCTATTGCCTACATTACCCACAATGCAATATGGCAAATTCAGGTGAGTTATACTAGCAGCAGCACAGACCAGGAGCAGCTGCAGACGTCTGGTCAGCTCTCTTCTGTCTAACTGTCAACAGATGTTATTACTTTTCAAATAGCCCTTGACTGAAGAGACATTTATCACTTCACACAGCTCCCTCTAACACGAAACTCTGTTTTTTTAGTGGACCCTGATATGTAAGTTCCACTCAAAGAAAGAAAATATGGCTTTGGTCAAACATGAAAAGTGTTGACTGTTTTGACATTTAACTGAGTGCTCTGAGTTGCCTAAGCAGAACCATGAAATGTTATTCGTACTTGAGTTACAATTATTGTAGAAAAAGAAATTAAATGCAGCGACGGTTAATGTTTTGCAGATTTGTAAACCTTTTGTGCCTTTGCAGATGCATTTCAAAAGAATGCTTCCTTGTGAGGTTGATAAGAAACACATTCTGGGTGGCAATGAGTCTCTTTTAAAGTTTTTTTTTTTCTTAGTACGATATAAACTAACTAGATTTAGCAGCTTCAGTGTGGATCCAGGTTTTACATTCAACTTTATATAAATGAATGCACTTCCAAAATGTGAACTTCACAGTGAGCATGAAAATCAGCCTGATTTCTGTTCGATGACACATTATGGAACAGATTCTAGCGAACTTGCAGAAAAGTATTTAATCGGTAATTTGCAGATTTTCATGCTTTTAGCTTGTTTATTTCCAATTTTAGTGATTCAGTGTTCTGACAGTCCACACATGTTCCGCTTTGAGCTGGTTCACTTTTTTAACTTGACCGAGTTTTTGCCCTTGAAAGCTGTTTTCCTGAGCAAAGTAATGCAGCAGTTTTATTTGTAATGGAACACTTTTTCATTGTGATATTTCTGCTACCTAATGCATAGGTAAAAGCTCTCCCACGTCTGGATATTTATGGTTATTTAAATACTGTATGTTGTACAAGGGAGAATACTGCGCCCTGAGGCACATTAACCACGGGAAACCTCTTTGCAATGCCTCATAAAGTCTTTAAAGAGAGGGGAGAAGGTAAACTGTGGTGCCTGTCTGACAGTTGATGGATGAACCTCCAACCTCCTTCTCCTCCCTCTGACTGCAATAATGTAAGGATAAAGCTGCTGTTAAGTACTTTTAAACTGAACTACAGTAGCAGGATGTACAGTACTTTGGTTGATGCCAAAATTCTAAAAACCTGATGCCACCTATAGATGTTGCAGGTGTTGAGATACTGGACAACAACAACACATGTTGAGGCTGCAGCAGGTGGAGAAACAGGTCTGTTGACTGACTTAAAAACCAGAATGCAAACTGTGTTACAAAGGAGGAAACATTTCAAACTTATCTAAGTGGCTCAAAGACAGACATCCAGATCTGTTCGCAGCATTTAAGCTGAGAGCGTTTCAGTTCTTACTTAATGCTACCAACAATGTTGTCATAGTTGCTACTGTTTCTGGACTGTAACAGCTGCATCTGTTGTAGTAATGCTCCACACACAGCATTTACAAAGGGTAACATTTGCTAGTTTAGTCACAGTACGTACGAGTGCTGAACAATTTGGGGAAAATATTTCATTGTGGTTTTTTAAAAAAATATTCAAGTTTTGATTTGATATCACTTTTTAAAGTCAGGTTTTAGTGCGATATTTACGGTGTGATGGATTTAAAACATGAAGGAGCGTCTACTATCAAAAGCATGACTTGCACACAAGGACAGTGTGAATTTGTAAAACCTTTGGCACAACAGTTTAAATCCTGTTTCAGATATGCTGCATCACGTATAGTCTTTAGATTTTAAACTGATTCATTGTTCATTTGTAAGTCATTAACCTTGAGTCTGTCATAATACATCACTGAGCATGTGATAGCACTGCGTCTGTGCAGCATATGTTGAAATACATTAATGTGATTGTTTTTTGCATCAAATTTAGCAGCAAGAATTGTAGCATTTCAGTAGTTCTGGTACTAACTACCACATTTCTGTTACATCCGTGTTGTAAAATAAAGTAGCTTCAGTTAAACTAGAAAAAATCATTGCCAATAAACATAATCCAATCAGAGTTATGCATCCTGCTGTATGTTAGCATAGGAGACAAGTTTGAGCTCCTAGATGAATGTAGTTTAAGTCCAGAAAGTCTTTACAATGCGGGAAATAAATGAATTTAGAGATACATAGAGAAATACAGAGGCTAAAGGTAGATAGAGGTGACTCTCACCACTGGTCCCTGAGGCCCCGGCACCCCGGTGGCCTCTGAGGTGCAGATGCAGGAGTTGGGAAGAGAGGGACACTTCAGCTCATCTCTCTGTTGGAAAAGAAAACAGACAATTCAAAAGTCAAACAACAACAGAAAGAGAAAGATGAGACACCAAGTGAAGTGAATCATACTGAATCAAAGACGATCCAAGTTCCAGCTCATTAAACTTGGGCAGGAGTTCACATCTAATAGTGTCCGTGTCGCTTCATTTGCAGCAGATGATTCTTACAGTCATGGTTCAGGACATCAGGCTTTACCAGTCACTGTCTTAAACTGAGTGAGCATCACAAAAAGATGTCTAGCTCCACAACAAAAAGTAGAACTGCTGTTTCCTGAAGCACATTTTGTCCTTGTGTGCCCCTGAAAAATATTTCCCAAAGCTGGATGCACCTCCAGACTCCAGACAGCGAATCTGTAGGTGAAACTCTTACACAAGACGAACAGCAGAGCCAAGATTGTGATCTGCAATGCCCTGCAGTGACGTTTACTGGAGCCGCTCCACCGACAAAGAAAACCAGAACAAATCTGTGGGCACAGTGACAGCACCCTGGGTGATTTTCCAGGAGGAGGTACATTTTCTGCTTCAGAGTTTTCAGCACGACAATGAAATTAAGGATTTTCGAAAGTAAAACCATAGTAAAACTGTTTTAAGAACCCAAAACTCCTTAAAGCCTCCTGAACTGAGTGCAGAGGAGGAAAAAGGACTTTTTAAGAAGGCACAAGCATTAAAAAAAAAAATCCACCAAGTCCAGGTGCAAGGGACAATATGTCATCTAGTGCAGCAACATGAGCTGATTAATCAACTGACAACAATTTTTAAAAACAAAAAAGCCAAACATTTCCAAGTTACTTAAAAGTGATGATGTGATGCCTCTTTGTTTGGACTGATAGCTGGACAAAACAAGATGTTTGAGGAGACAATTAAGATCACCACAGACCAATTGAATTAAAAAACTGAAAAAAGAATTAGCAGATGAATTCATAAATAGAACTTTTTTTGTAGTCATAATCCTGTCAAATACAGAACTATTAGCAGCACTTCAATATGAAGAGCTCCTGAAAATCTCACATCTGCTTCTTTATGGTTCACTTTGAGATCATCGATAAATCACTGGCTAAATGTTAACAGGAGCTTTATAGGTGTTGCTCGGCTGATTTTTCACCTTTAGACAGGCTCGTGGTTTCTCCCTGCCACCAGTCGTTATGCTACAGAAATCCGTCTTAATTCATATTTAACACACAGACATGACAACTGGTTTTTATCTTTTCACATTAGCATACCTCCCAAAATGTCACTTTTTTCTTAAGTAGCTGCTATCTGTTGTTGCTCAGTTCTTTAGTTCATTTTTGCTGTTATAAAACCTCATTGTTGTTTAAGCACAGAATAAATGCGGCACAAGCAGAGGACTCTACACCAAACTGAGCACATTTGTATACTGTATACCTGTTTTTGGGCGGCATCCAACCTCTCATATCCGATAACTCTTGTCCTACTTGGCTAGTGTCGCCTGTGAAAGAGCCCTAAAATGACTTTACATTAATTGTACCAACTATAAACTCTATATGTACAATCTTTACTGAGGCTTTAGTGATTAAATAAAGTTCTGGCTGTTGGTCTTTTAGTTACTGTTGCTCATCTTTACTGTAGATTTTTCCATTCACACAGGACAGTTACTTCACATGGATGTGAAACTCCTGCAGACTGGGTGGGTATTTCCACTGAGTCCACACTGATCCGTTCACTTTGGATCATTTGTAACCGTCAGCACAACAGCCCAATCAAGCAGCTGTCCCTGTTCTGCTGCAATTGAGATAATAATCCACCAGTTGAATTCTTTTCAGAATGTTTTGGACGTCCAACTGGAGACGTGCTGTGCTCAGACAAAGCTTTATTTGTTACGCCGTCTCTGGAGATCTCTGCTGGGACTGAAGTGAGAAACCTTCACGTTGAGAAACGCCAGAGTCCAGTCACTGAACAACAGCCTGAACTGTGCTGCATCTAAAAGTCTCATACTGTAGCTGTTGCTGATGTCCAAACGTTTAACTGCCTTAAAACAAATGTTCCTCTCTTTTAGCCCCAAGGAGATCCTGACAAAGACCAGGATGCATTTTCACAGGAGTTAATGTTTAAATCTGCCATGAATAGTTATTGTAAATATGTTGCTGTGTGTTTTTTATGTTCCCTACAAATCCTGAACGATATCTATTAAACTTTGATATTTCATTTATATTTGCATTGCCTTAAAGGTCTGCATAAAGCTGCAACTAACTAAATTAGAGAATCTATCTTTCTTTCAGGGTTTTAGGTCTTGAAGCTGTTGCCATCATTCATGTCTTTCATGATAACAGCATCCTCGCCAGATTGTTTGTTCATATCAGATATAGCAACACCATCAGCCAGCACCTTAAAGAGGATTTAAAGCTGCACCAATACATATTTTTAGATTTACACTAAACCAAATGGTTACATCCACAGAAAAAAATATCTCCTGCCTTTTAAGACCTCCTCGTCTCTATCGATAGTTATAGGATCTTCCTGCTCTCTTGAAGAGTTTTACAGCCAACAAGTCCCACACAGTTAAAGACGAGCTGGTGAACATAGCAAAGCATTTAAGACTAAAGATCCAAAAATTTTCCTTGCGAGATAGTAGAGACCAAAAACAGAGGTAAAATAGACCTAAATCTCAAAACGCAAATATGACTCTGACTGAGCTTTCAGCTAAATATAGAGGAACTGTAGAAAGGAAAAACTAATGAATTAAGGGTATAGATACAGAGTATTATGTCTAATGTAATTTAATTACATTCCTATTTAAACCAAATCAGTTTATAATCTAAGAATGAGGGAATCGGGGCTGCATGGTGGCTTGGTGGTTAGCACTGTTGCCTCACAGCAAGAAAGTCGCTGGTTTGCATCTCGGTGAGAACACCTGGGATCTTTCTACGTGGAGTTTGCATGTTCTCCCCGTGCAGCGTGGGTTCTCTCCGGGTTCTCCGGCTTCCTCCCACACAGTCCAAAAACATGTTGAGGTTAATTGGTGATTCTAAATTGTTTGTAGGTGTGAATGTGAGTGTGCTTGGTTGTCTGTCTCTAAGTGTAGCCCTGTGATAGACTGGTGACCTGTCCAGGGTGTCCCCTGCCTTCACCCTGAGTCAGCTGGGATAGACTCCAGCCCCCCACGACCCTAGCGAGGACTAAGCGGTGCATAGATAATGGATGGATGGAATGAGGAAATCGCCACACATGAACCAATGTGTAGCTGAAACTTGTATCTCAACATAGAGGACACAGACAGACAGCATCTCTCATGAGTCCGAAAGCTTTTCGAACAATGCAGCGACAAACACGTTGATGTAAAGGATTAATTCTTGGTGTTAAGTTGCTGCATCTCATTTAAACAACCTCTGTGATGGCATGTCATCTCATCTGTTGTAATATTTGGTTTTAAGAACTCATGTGAGGATTAAAGGTGAGTCACTGGCATGTAAAACTGCACAGCAACAGAAATGACAGCAGGCTGCTCGTGTCTATGTTGCATCTAGTTCACCGTCCAGATCTTAGCTCTGAAGCTGGTGGATAAAATGTAGTCACACTGTTAATGTAACTGACAGAAAAGGCGACCCCAGCTGAGAAAATGTCATCGGTTGTAAAAGCTTTCTTTAGTGCTTGCTTCAGAATGCTTCACAAAACGCTGCTGAATTTATGATTCTAAGCTGCTTTTCGAGTTCTGAAAGACGTCTTGTGTTTTGTGTCATATATCACGCTGCATTGTTCTTTCGTCAGATGTATCAGCTGGCTCACACTCGCACTATGTATCATATATACGCTGTTTATTTTTCTCTGTGATTTGAGCCGGTTCTGATTTTGATTATGAGTCCTGTGCTTTGATCTGCTGCAGAGTCTAAAAATCAAGGACACACTCTGCCCGCTGACAGCTGAGAGTTACGCTACAAACACACTCATCTGGGTTTTACTATCAGGATGCTGTAATTACTTAGTGCAACAAAACGCTCCGTTAAACATTTTTGCACTGTCTTATAGCCTGGTTACTTTAATGCAAAAGTCAGAGAAAAAATAGGTTCTTTAAGACGATGATCAACATCCACAAGATGCAGCGCAGATGTAGACACAAACAGCAACATATGCACGTATGAACAAGCAGATGGGAGGTTTTGAGATTTTGGGGGTGTTTCTCTTGGACGCAGAGATCATGTCAGGACAGTGTGTATAAAGTTAAATGTCGCCTTGTGTTTTATTTGAGCCTCACTTGTCAAGATGACTTCACTATAGCTGGAACCAACATTTTCTTTACTCTAAGATAGAAAAAAAAAAAAAAAAGTATCGAAAGCATACGTCTAATCAGAACTATAAAAAATCCACATAATCTTTTTCACTTATTTATAGCTTTTTGTTTAAGGTTGAATTCAGAATCTGTCACTCTGCAGGTCAAAAACTCCATTACTCTTTTCTATAATGCGCAATCCAACTGGATTTCAAAGCAGAGAAGATGCGCCCCAGAACAGTTGTTTATCTGGACGGTAAAGCTGAAGCTACAGCCTGTTTATTACCATCATTCAGCTGTTGGCTGCAGGTTAAAGAAGTGAGACGGCACTAGAAGACTCCTAAGGGCTGGTGAACAGCGGAAAAACAAACATAAAGAGCCTTTGTGAGGTTTTGGAGCGCCACAAGCTCCCAGTGCAGCATCAGTGCCCCTTGGAATTGATGCTATAAATCTCTGTAACTCTACTGGAGGGATGAACACCATTTTTCCAAACGATATTCTGATGTTTGGTGTTTTGGTGATGGTGGTGGAGAGGGCTAGCCAACACACTGATCAAAAATATCATAGCTGTTTAACCTGCTGTGGTCAGTGCGAAGGCCATATCATATGATTCAGATTATTTTAATCAAATCATTCAGTGACCCCCCGTGCCCTCTGGATGGAACATTGTCCTCCTGGAATACACCATTCCCATAAGGATAGAAAAGTTTCATCATAGGGTAAAGGTAATCACTCAGAACAGCTTTCTATTAATTTGCAATGACTCGTTCCTCTAAGGAGACAAGTGGACCCAAACCCTGGCAGCAAAATGACCCTCACAGTGCAGCAGAACCACCAGATCCCCTCGCTGTAGCCGTCTGGGGTTCAGTTCGTCCTTTAGTTTGTGAACTGCCTATAGCTTGAAGTTCCCCAGTTTCCTGGAGGTTCCCTTACCATTGATGGGAGGTCACAACATCTGTCCCTGCTGGTCCAAGCCAAGCTGCAGACAATGTCGAACATCTGGAGCTGGAACTGTAGAGAAGGGGGAGAGAAAAAAAAAACATGGAAATGGTGTTGTGGTACACGTGTCTCTGATACGCCCTTCACAGCTCCCAGAGGACAAACAGGAAAAAACAGCAGAGAATGCAGCACAGCCGAGTCCCATCAGCCGCGGGGAGAGCAGGAACAGCTCGAGTTACAACCACACTGATGGCCTCACATGCGGTGCCATGTAAAATAGCCTCATTTTAGCGTCTGTTTGAATTTAGTCCAACCAATCATTCTGTTAGTGTCCCAGAAACCTCAAATTATCTCCAAACTTGCTGCTGATGTTATGAAATGCTGTCGACTGCGTTCAGCTTTAAACCTTAACAGAGAGCTGAGACTGAGCTTTAAAAGGCTTTCTTTGAAGTGAGCGTACAGTAATTTCAGTTGATAAACAACATTTTGCCTCTCATACTAATAAAATTCACCTGTATGTACGACCAGCGGCTAATCTTAGTCAGTCGTGTGAGATACTGAGTGACTTTAGATTCTTCTCTAATTATGTTGCCGTTATATTCAACAGATAAACATTTAAATAATGTTGCTACAAAACACGTTAGGTTGATCAGTCTCTGTGTGAAGCTGAGAAGAGACGATATTCTGCTAATCTACTGAACCATAACATTGAAACATAATGCCTGCAAAAAGTACACTCCTGCTATTATGCATTTGTTAAAAATACAGATGCAAATTTCAATATGCAACCTATTTTCTTAACTGTTAGTTTGTGAATCAAACGCATCCTTGTATACACAGGTTAACTGTTTTTAAGTACAAAATTAGAGACCATAATGATTTTGAAGAAGAGATCATCATAAATCTAACATTGCAAAATTATGACATCATTTAAAGTTGTGGAGCTTCAATCCGTCGCTGTGCAAAATTCTAAGTATTAAAAATAAAGCAGCTGCACTGAATGTCATCTCTGAGTGCAACTCGATTATTACTCGCTATTTATGAAGAGGTTATAATCTGATTATAAGTGCTGGGTTTAATGATCAGCAAATCAAGAAAGTAATGACAAGTAGCTGAATGATTTAGGGAAAATGTCCAACTGTAATTTCTCTGTGGTTGTGATTGCAATTTGATCTGGGACATGCTTTTGTAAAGTCAAGCCTCAGTCCAATATGAACTGTGTAATAGACTTAAAACATGTGGTGGAACATTACCAAGAGGTATCTTCAAAACTCTGACTGTCACACAAGGAAGACTGCAGGAATTCGTAGGGTCACTGACATGAGAGTTTACTCCCTGGGTCAGACATGCTGCGTAATATACTAATAATATTAGTAGTATATACTGCAGTCTTCACAATTTGCTAATTGATTTGTTTCACATTACGATTTGAAATTGTGCATCCATTTTAAACCAGTCAATCCCAATAACAAGGTTAATCTAGACTGAAAATCATGTGGTTGTCTAGTTTTATTAACACCTGAGCAGTCACTCTGTCCAGAAATAGCAGCTCCATGCTAACACTGTATCACACCCTGTTTTGAATAGCTGTAAATGTTACTGTTGTTGTGTTGTTGCTACTGTACAACAACACAAAGGAGAGATACAGGATGCCCCAACAATTTGCTTCCAGAAGCTTGTGATAAACAAAACTTTGAATGGCATTCCTCACTGCTGGACAGTCAGGCAGCAGCTGAGCTTGTGGGGGTTTTACTCTGTAAAAATCATATTTCTCTTCACCACATTTAACTGTTGTTGTTAGGTTTTTGCACCGTTTGCAGATTACAAACAAAAAAAATTAAAGTTTAAAGTCCGTGTCCACTCAAAGGTGAAGCTTTTTCCCTGTCTCCTTTGTGAAGAGCTAACTTACAGTTGCTGATTGTCCTTTGGAGCCGATAGACTTGGACATCTTGCCCAGAACCTGGTAGCCATCGCTGGATGTGTTTCCAGCGGCCTTGATCTCCTTCTCAGCCACTTCTTGGCAGTCGATGTTGAGTTTGACGCCGGTGGATGAAACCAGGATATGGAGCTACAGGGAGAAAAAGAAAAGAAGAAGAAATTTTATTGGCACATTCTTTGTTCTGTGACCAACTCTTGTATCTGGTTTTTATCCTTGTGGCCTGCAAATTATTAGGTTATGTCAGGTCTGGATTTAGAGGCTGAGCTGAGGGTGGACGTGCACGATTGTCTTCACTGTAGTTCTGTTTATTGAAACTCGGATGGAATGTACGAGCGCACACTCGGGAGGAAAACCAGTACTTCCTCTCCATTCATTCAAAAAGAAGGAGTGCTCCATTAGAGCTACATCACTGCTGCACAAAGCAAGATATTAAAGACCAGATCAAAGGATTGATTGTATAGAAGTTCATGCACTGGTTTAAATTTGACCTTCCAGTTGATTCTGTGCAAATATGAGTAATTCAGAATGAAATCATCACTTCTTCATTTCCCAAGTTGTTATGTGATATATTCATTTAAAGATGCCAAATGTCCCAACAACTACACTTTTATTACATTGCTAAGGTTTCTGGAAAACAGTACAGGGATGTTTGAAGAGAACGGCTTCTATTGCAACTGCATTAGCTAAACTCAGGAAACCTGCCAGCAATAAACTTAAATTGATGCTATTGTCACCAAAAATGTAAAATCTATACAATGCTGCTCCACTGTATGAAATTCACTAACAGGAAAACATCTCAATCATCATTCTTTCTTATGTCATTCTTTCATATTCTTTTTTTTCTGACTTGAGGATGGACACAGCATCACACTCATTTTATAGATAGCACAACACACTGCTGGTGAGTCAGAGCTGATGCTGTGCTCATCCTGCTGAGTCAGCAGGATAGCTGAGGCAAAAAACTTCCACTTAATTACACTTAAGTCCCCTTATTACATGCTTCTCAATAAAAACAAACTGCTAAAGAGCTCCACTGTGTTTTGTTGACTCTAGTTGCTAAGAAGATAAATGTTTCTTGAGCTTCTGTGTGCTACCAGGCTTCCCTGTGGAGTTTTGTTAAGTCACTCACGGGCACACAGTTACTACTAAGGCAGTGTGAGGGCTCGCTCAGAGCCGGTGCCGCATCCTGAAACAGCTCTTTACATTTCGAGCAAATCTTTGCTGGTCAGGAACTGAGAACTGCTCACATCAGTGGCCAGAAGCCAATAAGATCAACTAAAAAAACAGAGCTCGTATGTCTAATCCAAAAAGGAAGAAGAACCAGAGCTTCAGCTTGCACGTGAAATCGAAGCAGCAGTGTGTGGAAAGCCAATTAGGTCATATTTCCTCTCTTTTTTTTTGCTTTATTATTGCCAACTGGTGTTCTTAAATGCTTTTGCAAACACCAATGTATAAACCATTTGCAAACAGCGTTCATAAACTCAGACTGGCAACATCAAAACATCAAACGGCAGGAAAAATGAAACGAATAATTATGTCAGTAGGTTTCCAGCAGTGGTCTGAGGGAAAGACAAACTGTCTCCTTGCACTGTGGTCCTCGACAGAAGTTGAGAACAAACTGGGGGAAGCTTCAGTAATGAAGCTGCTGTTCAAACAGACCTACACAATGCTGTACTGATGTGGCTCTATAGCAGCTCTCAAGACTGTGGAGAAGCAAACCGGCTCTTAGAAAGTTCAGTGGTTGAACTAAGTCTGAACTAGAACTAGAACCTGGTTATTGTTTTTAAGAAGTGGGTAAGTGGGAATTCTTTAACTTTAACATAGGTGTAGTTTCTTTTTTCACATAAAACACTTGCAAGGTAGATACTAAACTATTTTAAAGGCTACACTTTTTACTCCCATGTTGACTGACTTCTTCTTTCTTCTCTTTTATTGGCACTTTGCAGCATCTCAGCATGTAAATGCCACTTGTTCATCAGTTCAAGAGCCCCATGGTTACCAAAGATTTAAAATTTTTAGAAATGCAATGATTTAGGACGACTTCCACACTAAAGGTTTTAAAAAAGTACTTTCATAAAAGTAAATTCTTGGTTAGGAATGCACCAGTATCACATGCTGGTTTGGTAGCAGTGCACGGACACAAGACTTCTGGGCTGATGTCAGTGCAGAAACCCAGGATCTCTGCCAGTATGACCTGAAACTCAACCCTCGTTATGCTATGATGGATATCTATCCACGTTGAATACAGATGTCACTTTCCTTATAAAAGTCAATGTGTCAGCTATTAGTATCATTTATGCGCTGCAGAATCTTGAATTTAGTCCCAGAGCAACGCTGACCTTGAATTACCTTACATAAAAATATTCCCAGTGCTTCCACACATGGAGTTTACGGGTTTACAATTTTGAGGAAAACAGCGCTGATATCAGATTGGTATGCTGAGCTGAGCTGAGCGAGTGGAATCAGTGGAAAGAAAGAAAATGTGTTAATTTTAGTCATCTGTGAGTGGCACTGTCTGCACATTCAACATCACAGTAATTCAGTATTTCAATTCTGTTTTTTTAATTAAGGAGCTTATTGTGAAACACATGCAACAAATGAAGGCAGGGTTTCAGCAGACGTTTTACAGAAATAAAAGAAAACTCATGTCTGGCTGATCCACTGAATAAGGTCATCGTCAGCACCGATACTATTTCAAAGAACCACATCAGAGCGCTATTTCAGTTAATGTAAAACAAATCCATTTAGGAGGTTTTTGAATGAACTGTTTCCTCATCTACTCTGATATTCTGCTCACATCTCAATGATTCCTCTATTTAAACCAGCAATCCACTTTCAGCTGGAAATGTATCACCCTCCAGAGTCCAAATCTCACCAAAATTCCTTCCTTCCACCTCATTGATGGACATCTTACAACTCCAAACTGCAAAATAACTGAGGCAGCTCTGTTGTACACACAATACCGCAATTTGCATTTCTCCTTACTCAGATCTCCCTCACCACATCGCCTCATGTCGTCATTTTGAGGTGAGGCATGAGTGCCGCCTTTTCCTCGAAGCCGGCCCCTGTGAGGCAGCGGCCTGTCGAAGCGAGTCCAGCTGTAAGGAGGGAAAACGTGGCCTCTACAAAGCCACGGAGCGGCCGCTGGCAGCCCCAGCAGCCACAGCTTGCTACTTGTGGTCAGTCAGTGGCGGAAATGCAGAGGCATGTTTAACAGACCGCAGAGACACCGAGACGTCCAAGAAGGACTTCAGGGAGGGAAGCACAGCACTGTTTCCATTTACACTTTGGATTTCAGACATTCAACTGATGCTCAGCAGCTTTCATGAAGTCAGCAGGTACCGTTAAAGCTTCAGCGTGTCGCTCTCAACACTTCAGCAGGATGCGCTCGTCTGTAGACGCTGGACTTCAGGAGATATGGATTTTAAAAGCCAGTAACAACACCGATATAGTCACACTGAAGCTGCCAATATTTGAAAGCGAACACGTTCCTGCCAAAGCTGAAAGCATTCAGCACTTTTATTCTCGTCAGGCTGGAAAATCCTCTGCGATTTAGAGGAATCTGTGATGCATTGTTCCTGTAATACACAAACTGACGTATCAATCTCATGTGGATGTCTGTCCCTGCTGAGGATAATATCATTTAATACAGGCATCAATCTGCCAAAACAAAGGCGGTGCTGCATACAGAACTTCATTCATGTTTAAAGTAGCTTTTTTTTTTCCAACGACGAAAAACCTTTGAGAATCTGGATTTGATTAAACAATCAGCTTTAACATCAAAGAGATGTGAAGTTTAAACTTTCACTTTGTGCAATGACTTTGAATCAGTGAATCTCACGTTGAAAACTCATGGAAGGAATACAGTTTCAAAGTAAAGTAAAGATCTGCTATTTGTTAAAGGTTACATTATTAAAATGATGTGACTTGTATATTCTGCATTTTACATTGCTGTGGTTGTATCCTAAGCCTGACAGAATACAAATGCACTATTACCTCTGTCTTAAGAAACACTGACCTTTGAGTGCACTATCTGGAATTTTTGGGAAATTATTAGACATTTTTTCAAATAAACAAGACATTTGTGAGTTACTTTTAAAGATGTATATCTTGTCTTCAGTAGGAGAGCCTGTCCATGGGTCAAGATTGGTGTTATTGTTTAAAAATACTACTTTTTAAAGTGTGGCTACAGCAAAAAAGTCATAGTAATGGTCAGACATAAAACAAGGTAGTCTTCCACTGAGCTTCTACTGTAAGGAAAAGAGGATCTGAATACAATCTGTGTTTTACAGGCTCGTCAGCCACTTTTGGAATGTCCCTTTAACCATTCAGATGGACGTCTGCATGTAACATTGAGCTACAAGCTGTTACAGAAGGATGAAAATGGTCATCTGTGCTGAGGTCATACATGACCTCACTGCAGATGGAAGATTTCATTTGCCCTCAGGTCAGCAGGACGAGTTTCACGCTTACCTGCTGTGACTCAACCTGAATTTATTTCAGTCAAACTGAGTGACATTAAATCTCAACCTTTTAAGTTTTGAGCTTTCAGGAATGTAATCCAAGGATGTAAAGAAGGAATTTAGAAGGGTCCTTGTGCAAATGGTTTCAATGGAGCTGCTCAGAACAATAGATCAGGTCTGTTGTTGTATTGAGCAGCTTTCATGTCTAAATGTGTGTAAATGTGTTCAAAGTGCAAAAAAAACTTGGTTAAAATAAATAAAAATAGATTCCAGTTCTGAGTTCTAACAGTCGACGACTAAATTAATATTCAAAACCAGACAGTTAGGTGGGAACAGAGTGCAGGTGTCTAGTGATCTGACAAGAGAAGAATATGACATTGTTTTTACTTATTTTAACAACGCAAATATAAAACTCTCTGACTCTATAAAACATCTGCCTGAAGTGATAAATAGGCCGCTTTAAATAGCTGCGGTAAAGAGGAAAAAAATAGTCCAATGTATCAACCAAAACTGAGCAAAATGTTCCTTACGCAGCCTAAATCCTGTTCCCACTTTTTATTTCTGTTCTCTCTTTGCCTTTACCACAAATTAAACTGTAAAATCATCTGAATTAAGAAGCGTTATTTTATTCAGTCTGGAAATTTCTCTTCTGTTTGATCAACAACCTTCAAGACGTTTCCATTAGTCAGAGCATCTTTATTTTTTGTTGTGTCTTGCTCTCTGAGTTACAGCTACTGGCAGGATGGTTAATCTATTTTTCTGCAGTTGGCGCAGATTGGTTGACGTTGGCTGATTATTACCACAGATCTTCAGTCGCTCACATAATCCTTGTTTGGTCCTGTAGGACCACTGAGACGCTCAGAAACCTTTCAGGTATCCACAACAGAGCTGACTCACTGATCACTGCTGTTAAACGCATCTGAGGGAGGATTTCAGGGATCCATCCAGTGGTGAGTTAGCCGGTTGGTAAAGTGCCGTGAGGGGAAGGGATTAGTGGAGTTGGAGAGTGGTGATGTGGCGAATCCTGACATCTTTCACTGACAACAGCTCAGTAAATCTGATGCAACAGCTGCAGTCAGGTTTAAGTAAACTTTCTCAGTTGTGTTTGTTTCTGCAATGTCAGCTGAAGAGTTCTGTCAGCTCATAAATCCTTAAACGCTCTTTCAGTTTAGCTGTTTTTATTATTTTGGGAGTTGCTAGAGAGCCTGGTGACACTAAAATGTGTCCACCCTGCTGCAGTGCCCTTGAGTAAGAAACCGAAGTCCTAGCAGCTACCGGGGTTTATGGCCAAGCCTGACCTCTGATCTCTGTGGGAGAAAAGGGAAGAATTTTACCTCAGGGATCAATTCTGTACCACTTTCTCCCTGAAGGTCATGGAGAGTTTTATCACATCTGAAACACTTAACAGGTACAGGTCATTCTGATTTGGTGAACCTGCATTGTACAATAAATCATTTTATGTCTGGTGTGAAAGAAAAATCCAGTCTACAGACCTGAGTGCAAAGGTGCTAAACTCTCATTGTATGTACTTGGTCCCAGTGTAGGAAAACTCTGGAGCGATGTATTTAAGCACTACAGAAACCAAACCCACATTTGCAGATGTAACTAAATGTGATGCTCTGGCTTTTGCCTGTAATCCTGCTAGGCGAGTGGTGGTGTTAATATGGAAAGCAGCTGCCTCTCCTACACATTCTCCTTCACTTCAGAGCGCAATGTCTTGTCGGAAGCTTGAGAAAATTCACTTTTCGCTATGATAAATCTTTTACAAGGTTTGGGGTCCTTTAAGAGCTGCATGTGTTGTTAGTACGCAAGGTCTTAGTCTAGACTCTCACAAAAAGCAGAAACATCTGATATATATTTGTCTTTGTATCCACTGTAATCACACGTGTCACCACCTTTTCATTCATTACGTTGGTTACGGTGCAGATTTTTAAAAGAACATTTACGCCAAGGTGCCACTTTAGATTCAGCAATTGCATCCATTTTTCTGCCAGAGGGAAAAGAGAAGTTGCAGGAGCAAAAGACACTCAATGCCAAAAATGAATTATGGCTGAAACTACCCAGAGGAGCAGAATTATCAGGGGGCAGCAGCCATCAAAGTACAGCAGGTAATTTGCAGACTGAAAAACTCTGCACTATTATTACGAGCTGTTCAGTGAGAGACGCTGACACTGACATCTCGCCCTGCAGACCCAGCTTTCAGAGGCACGCTGGGAGGTAAAACCACAGAATTGCGAGAATTCCTCTGCGGTCGGCTACCAGAAGAGGCAAGACCAAGCTCTGCCTCCCCAAACAGCTCCTGAGCCGGGAGGAGAGGAAGCTGCAGGGAGAGGTGGGTGAGGAGAGGTCCCACCTCCCTGCTGGCGCTCCTCAGTTACTCTGATGTAATTGTTTAATAGCAATCGCAGTGACCCAATATTTTCCAGGCGAGCGTCCCAGCAGGGAGTGCAGTGCATTTTTAATGGTCTCCTGCTCTCAGAAGAGCTTATGAAAGCTTGTGATATTGTTGCACGGCTGTCCACACTGCTTCTCCCAGTAGTGCGTCTCGTAAATGAGTGTCAATATCAGCATCATGACTTTGACCTACTCTAGAGTATATAACAGAGTTCCCCTGAGTGGAAACTGGCCTTGAACCCAGAGCTTCAACACAAAGTTTGTGCCTCAAACTAAATCTCTCTTAATCACATCAGGCCAAAGAAAAGGAAAGTCTTTTTCAGGAAATAAGAACAGTTAGCTTGTTTTATGACCCGTGCACCAACTACTGTTTATTCTTCCAATGTTGGCTTTAGCGTAACGTAAAGGTGCTGCCAAAACACTAAATTAAATCTCTGCAGATAATCCAGCTTAAATAACAATAAAAACTGTATGTAATAGCTTTCATTTACAGAACTAAATTCACATTCCTCAAAAGCTTTTCTATGATGCTGCGTAAAGCTACAACTAATGTTTAGTGTAATCACTGAATAATTGTTTGATTTATAATAATCTATAATAACAACAGGTTCCTCAGAATCCAGGATCTTCACATGGTTTGTCCACCAGTCAGAAACCCACTGACACCAACTACACAATCATGAATGACAAAGAACAACACTGAACTCTCACACTGACTGAGTGGGAACCAGGGATATGTGTCTGTTAGGACTGCCTTCGATCAAACATTTTTCTAGTTGACTACATTAATTTAATTATTTAATTCTTTATGTATTTTCTGGGGGCATCATTAAATAGTTCAGTTCCAGGGCTGAGGGACAATGTTGTAAGTAGCATTGTTAACACTGTGCTACTATACAGTGAAATACAAAACCGCAGCGGATAATGAGCCTTTAAAATATACAATTTACAAGCACATGCACAAAGAGAGCTGCAGCAACACCAACGGAATTGGCAATGATTCTGAATGTGTCCAAGAAACAAGCAAGGAGACAAAACATTTTGTTTTCAAGTCGAATTGTGCGTATTTATCTATTTATCTAACTTTAGGATGAGTGACTAACCCACAGTTTGAATTGTTCTGCCGACATAATTAATCACTATCCGTGTAACGTATAAAGTCTGTTACCTCGTTTGGGCTTTTTTTGTTCCTGCTACCAATTGGCCAATCAAAACTTAGGCAACAAACACTGATATATTTACTCTTAAAATGACAAACTGATTATTTAATTATCCAAATGCAGCTCTACCACTAATACAAAAACACATGGTTGAAAGCTTCAGGAAATCTCAGCAAGTGGACATTGTCATAAAAAAGCTTTTGACAAACTGTAATTGAACAACGAACATTAACATTTAAGAGAATATTCTGTTTGCTGTTGAGCTGAGCTGATTTGCTGTTGACAAATTAATTAAATAACAGAAAATTATTGGGCGGCCATTTTTAAAACACAAATATTTCTTTGGTTTCAGCATTTTGTGTGATTGTTTGCTGGTTTTCTCTGTTTTGCATCATTGCGAAATGAGTCCCTGAGTTTTTGACTGCTGGTTAGACAAAACAAGACCTGGTTTTGTTTATCACCAACTGAACCGTCCATGGGACAAACGGCAATATGAATGCTGACATGTAAAATACATATTTACAGATCAGACTGGTATTTTTGGTCTTTTCGTATTTTGGTATTTTCATGAACGATGCCCTGTTGTAGAAATACTTTAGGGACAACACACCGTGTCCCTGACTTCAAAATAGTGACAGTCAAGAACGTCATAAATAAATGAAAAAGTCGACGTCCAAATGTATGACAGGAGTCTAACAGATTTTTTGATTTTTAGATTTTAACAAAAAACGTTCCCAAAAATTCCAGGAATTTCTTGCTTTAAAACAAGCTGATCACAAAAACCTCAAGAACTGTATGTATTTATACTGACATTCTATCCTGATAGTCTAAAAGTGATATTTTTAGCACAACAATTGGCCTCAAACATTTACTGTCTTCAAGATAAGGAAATTAAGGCACCCATTGTAAAATGTAATAAAAACATATCTTAGTCCCATTAGTGTGGTTTTTTTAAAGTTTGGTTTGAGAACAAGTGGCTGCTATGTGTCAAAGGTGCTGAAACATCTCAAAAAGGGATTGAATGAATTGAAACAAACAGGAACTAATTTTAAACACCTTCAAAGGCTTTTTAAAGAGACCTTCAACTCCTACAGGTGACACAATAATTATTCCCCTTAACAGGAATGTGTCCGGCTGTCTACTGGTCATTTTATAACATGACCACCTCCATCAAGTCCAAGATGCAGGTTTGAACTGCATGTAATCAATAATTGAGAAGCCTCAGCCTCAACCTGCAGCACTCGTGGCCCTGCGTTTTACAACCTGCAGAGGACCATCTGTTTGTCTGAGCTGACATAACTCTTCAGCAACACGTCTGTAGTTGCGTGTGAGGTGCTCTGCCTATAATATACAACACATTTGGAATCTCAGGCATCTGCAGTATCTGTATGACCTCGGGACGTCCAGCGAGAACAAAGAGGAGCGATTCGATTGATGTGTCATTCCCCAGTCACGCCTTGGCCCGAAAAAAAAGTTACATAATTCAACATAAAAGACATATTTGACTTCAGCTTCGTTCTCTTCAACTTAAATATGATTCAAACCCAAAACGCACATATGGACTTCGACCACTGCTCAGACAAATGTTGCCCTACGCTTTAAACATCGCTGCTGGGTTAAGTATGCAGTCTTTTCTGCACTATTAATGATGTCGGGTTACATTTTTGTTCTGCTTTAATCCAGTTTTGATGAATGACGAGGAGTCTTGTCTGTGCTTACCTTGTGGAAGCTTCCATGGAACATCTTCTTCACTTCGCTGTTGTCAAATGTGACTCTCTGGATCTCGCCGCGTTCGTCTTTGTTGTAGAAGGACAACGTCTGGCTGGAGGCTGAGCAGAGAAAAAGGGATAAAGCACATCAGTCTCTGCAGTTATACCAATACACAGGCTCAGTTTTAAAGGCAATATCTTGAGAGTAAATCTGTGGCTTTAGCTGAATGTGTTAAAGCTTTTTTTTTTTTTTTAAATCTGCGACTCAAGTATAATCATGTAAACATGGAAAACATTGAATTTTTACTATCTTTGCCATAAAAAGAGAAAACGTCAGCAGCAATCAAACAGGGCTGACCAGCTAACAACCCCTTCATCATAATAGCTTTTTAGAGTTTATTATAGCTGATTCAGACGTTTGATAACTGGACATGTCAGAGTTGCCTCGCTTTGGGTGATAAAGGGCTAAACTCCTGCAACAAAGCCATAATCCTGCAGTACTTTTCATTCAACCACATGTTAGCAGTATTTGAGAACATTAGAGGTAGAAAGTGTTTCAAGGTGCTGGTAAGTAAAGTGTATTTTCATTTTGCGTTTCGACATGTACAAATAAAGCTAAATTAAGCAGCAAATGTAGATTTATATATACTAATATATATCAGGGTTTAAATAGCTTATCTGAGTCTGTTGCAAGTACAAATCAAGACATGCAAGTGCAGTTTGACACATTTATTGTGCCATATCATCCAGCCCTGCGATTATATGACTGTATGTTGTTTCTTCCACACAGTTAAAAAAACTTGCAAGAGAGAGATTAAAGCAAGGCTGGGAGGAACTAAAGCAGAACATGGCAACACATTCTAACTCTTAACACACTGGATCCACCCCCTTCCGCAGTGCAAGTCGACTTTTATTAAACTCTTACTGCTAGATACATGCTCTGATCTTTCTGATTCTACAAACATTATGACAAAGGTGCCCCTTCAAAACCAAACTAAATGTGTTTTATATATACATGAAGAGTATGACCAAAAAATGGGGCACAGTTCGCTGCACTCAACAAATGCAAACACAAAATATTATAAGAGCACAAATCACCCAGCCGAACCTCCCATCTTAAAGCAGATGCTGACATTTTTAGAAGAGGGCTTGTTCTAGCAGAGAGTTACAGGGTTTTTCAATTAGCCCTCAGTAGTATTGTCCTTACACCAATATTGTTATGACATGTGTTTCCACTGTCGCCTCACTTCAAAGGACGAGCACCCAAACTAAGCTGGACCTCCTTAAAGTCTCTGTGTGATCAGGTCTCAGTAACTTAATGGCTTCGTCCTGATTGTCTGTCTGTTTCTACCCCCAGATCTCACCATATTTCACTGTTTACTGTCCGTTCTCAGCCATAACAGAGCTGTGTTCATTTACTGCTGATGAAACCTTGATGCTTTCTACCAGAAGCTGTCTACTAAAAGCTGTAAAAGCGTTTTAGAACACTCAATGTGTTGATCACAAAGTTAGTGCAGGTTCACTCAGGTGAGCTACTTCACCTTCATGATGTGACTGACCAACACGTTTGTCAGTTAAATACAAAACTGGATTTAAGCTACGGTTAGCTCAGCTTAGCAACAGGACTGGGAACATGGAGAAACAGCTTTCTGTTTGTCAGTCTTCTCGCGCCAAAAAGCATTTTCTGACGATGTCAAACTATGCCTTTAATCATGCAGTGCTCTCTTCTCTCTGTAGAGGATCTGAGGCCTGACGTCATCCAGCAGTTATTATTCAAGTCGACAAGTGTTCGTCACTGGAGCCCAGCGGAGAGCCCTGCTGACAGACTAAAACTGTGGCTTTACGAGAGCCAGCTGAGCTCGATGACATGACACTCCTGTGGTGAAGGGGAGGGCTTGGGTTATCAGCTGAGACCGAAGCAGCCGGAGGGCACAGCTGGCTCATTACACCCCACTCAGCTCACTTCAAGATCAGATACTGCACAATACGGCGCAGCTGCTCCACACAACACGTTTGTACGCTGGCTTTTCATGCCAGTTACCCTGTTTTTACAATCGGAGGATAAGAATAGAGGATGATATTTACGGTCGATAGTGACGCCGGTCTCTGGCTTGTGATCTTTGCTTGACACCTGCCAGATGTCGAAGGCCTCGGTGGGCGTGTCGGGAAGGAGGCGGAACATCAGGATGATGGTGTAGGCGTGGGGAAGACCGTCGGGGTGGATCTCTCTGGTCAGGGAGCAAAAAGACGACAAGTTAGATTTACTGTAAGGATCAAATGGTTGTTCTTGACACTGAGAGACTGAGTGTTGATCCAGCACAACAGAAAGTCATGGAGTTGCTGACCATAGTCTGTGTGAAAGTATATTCTTAGGAGGGTGACAAAAGTTGCTAGTTCACTGAAATCTGTTCATGCATGGAGTTACAACATCTGTACACCAGGTGAAATAACAACAACAAGTCAACCATGAATACAAATGCTTTCATACAGGACACAACTGGGGAAGAAGCCACAGTTTGTAAAAGGTTTATAAACTCTAAGCCATCGTCTATAGTTCATTATTGCTGTATTAGTTAGATTAATACTAAGAACGGCTTTTTGGCTGTCAGACTGTGGATTATCCCGTATCGTGACACTTGGTCATCTTTCGTCGCGCTTTTATTCAATAGATCGTTTAACCACTTGTCTCCTAGAAAAGAGCAGCAGGACATCTGGACCAAAACTCAATTATGAGTTGCTAATCAACGTTAATAGCTGCAGATTAAAAGACACATTTATTGAAGATGAAACGTGTTTTAATCAAGAAATTAAGAACCTATTTGTCAAAAATCCTTGACGTGGTATCAAAGCTCTCTGAGACCAGGTTTGAAATACTGGCTAAAAAAAAGCAATGTACACAAAGCCTTTTTATTTTAAATGTATATTAATTTCCAGACATGTTCTCCTCTCACCCAGAGAGACACTTTGTACTGTCATGATCCATTTTGTAGGTGTTCTGGAGCTTTTGATCGTATAAGATGATCTTTAACAGCAGAAGGTCAACCCTTCATTTTTTTGGAGCCCCTTGTTTTACGTTTTGACCACGGTTGTTTAAAATAGACCAAATCTCTTCAATGAAATATGAATAAAGGTTTCTTCATCTCCTAAAGAAGGATATGCGATATGACCAGCAGCTTGAGAACAGCTATTAAATGGACTCTGTCGTGAAAGTACTTCCTCAAATGCTGTTTCCAGAATCAACTTTGTGCCTAATTTGATTCACATATAATACTGACTGTACTTTAGCTGCAGCTCTTGATGTCTGTTAGAGGTGATTTTCATCCTTTTTCCTCCAATAGCTATTTTTTTTTTTTTTTTATGTTGTAGCAAGATGTTTCCCATTTGTCCCCCTGATGTCACTACACTTTTGGAAAGTCTTGGTAAACAGTCAAACTCAAGCTGTTTTCCACCACTCTGGTGTTGCATGTGATATTTTGGACATGGGAGGCTGGTGTTGGGTGGTGGCCAGTGTTAACACTCTAGTCTGTGGCTGCGTCTGTACACAGTGGCCTGACGGAGGCTCGTTGTGTGAAACAGCTTCAGAATTAACTGAGAAGTGGTTTTATAGGCCGGGTGAACTGTGTCATGACCTGCAGCTGAGTCTGACCTCACTGAGTGCCGTAAATGCGCTGACCCAGTTTGTACAGGGAATGAGCTCAAACGGTCCTAAATGCTGCTGGGCAGAATGTTTCATATTACTGAGGAGAACAACTTGAAGGTTCAGGAGAAATTTAGTATTAACAGACATTTTGAACAAACATTCAGACAAGTTTTGCTCTGATGATGCTGTTACAAACAAAAACAAACACATTCTGTGCACAAAGCATCACTACAATACCAGCTACAACCAGCTGATCCCAGCACTGTGCAGGAGAACCGAACTGATTATCGCAGCTAAATAGAGGTTGGTGTTTATCAGAGAAAGTGTCTCGTCGTCTTCCTGCTCTGTCAGTCCCTCAGTTGTGTATTATATTATAGTACTGGCCACATGTGTGCTCAAACACAGGCACAAAGTGATCAAAAGAGACAGATGTTGTTGTGCACAATGAGACACAACATGACTTCTGGCGTAGACAAGAAGTTCGAAAAACAAAATTACAAGGCTGAAGCATTTCCTATTTGCTGAAAGGCATAAAGTCAATAGCTAGTATCCGCCTCCAACAGCCCATCTGTTGAGTCTCGTAACGAAAGCGGAAAGCTCAATGAAAATATAACTGTTAAATGCAAGTGTGTCTTGTATTATATTTGGAATAGAGACAAAGTTTATTCTTCAATGTAATAGCAGATATCTTCTTTTTAAGTATATGTGTAGAAAAGCTTACAGTCTTTTATTAAAGCCATTTAGAAACGCATATAAATAAAAACCCTCTGAGACAGTGTTCTGAGACGAGAAAGCCAGAGGAGCAGAATCTGATCTGAAAGTGTAGAGGGACCTTGGCTCTCTGGAGCTGTGCAGCATGCAGACCTTACAGTCATGAATGATGTGTCGGTAAAATAATGAACTGCTACAACATATCCTGGTGGTTTTAACCACATTTCTTGGTTTGCCATTCAGGTTTGAGCCACTGTGTGCTGACACTGTGAGCTGAGTCTTATTCCCAAGTAAAGTAAGTGTTTCCAAGTAAAATAAAGTGAAGTTTTCCTGCTCTGCCTGCTGCTGTGCATTTTTCTATGAGAACGAATTTATGTCTTTAGAGTAGCTTCCATGTAAAATCACATGTGCTTATCATGCAACTGCGATAGCAAATGTTACTCTGGAAGACTGTGAATGCAAAGAATAAAAACACACATGCTTGATTTTCAGCCAACAGATACACTGACCCCTCATAAAGACAAAACTAAACAGTCCTGTGAGACTCACGTAGTGGGCTGACTCAGGTAGGCGTTCTTGTGAAGTCTGTATGCTGTGTAACTGTTGAAGGAGCCGGGCTCCATCGAGACGCCTTTGGTGTAACTGTAGGTCTTCTCTGTCAGGTTGAACGCTTCGAGCATCCTGAAACCTGAAACAACAAATCAGTTCTTTAACAGAAGAATTCCTGATAGAAGTGATTATTAGTTTGTGCTAAACTATGAATTTTAACATGATTCCAAAAATAATTTGCATTTACCAGGTGAAGTGAATCCATTCAGGAAAATCAAGGGACAAGCTGTGAAGAAGATGGAAGGAAAGTTACGACACCATGACCACAAATTCATCATCTGAACAAAACTGAAACCGTTCTTGGGCTAATTGTTGTTTTCATTTTCTGCTGGTGGAGACGATGCACAAACTAACATGAGGATGCGGTTTCACAGATGAAGGTAATCAGGTTTTCTTTGATGGTGTCGAAAGCGTCAAAGTCGTCCACGACGAAGACGTGTCTCTCGCTGGGTTTGCTGCCAATCTCCTGCAGCTCGACAAAATCCACATCAGCAACACCGATGGCAAAAACACTGTAACCTGAGGACAAGACGAATGAAAACAGATTGATTGGCAGGAAACAGTTCATCAGTATGATTTGTGCCTCCAGCACCACTTGATTCTTAGTCAGGGGAACAATCCAAAAACAGCAATAAAAATCATCTTCAGTTTTGTACAGGGTGGTTTCAGTAATTCAGACTGGTACAGGCTGTTTCTCTTTATTCTGTAAATACTCAGCTTTCAGCTTTTTTACTGACAAACAACATCTGCTTTGGCAGTGATCACCTAGGAAACAGGTTGGAAACATGCTGCAGATCAGCAGTTTAAAATGTGAAGCTACTAATGTACTGTGGGATGGTCTTTAGTCGCTCAGTGTCCGTTACCTGCATGCTGCAGCTTGGCGGCGCTCTTCTTCACCTCGTCCTGAGAGCGTCCGTCAGTGATAGCTACGACCACCTTGGGCACGTTCCTCCTCATCCCATTCTCAATAGAAAAGGCCTTCTCATATGTGTGTTTCAGTGCCACTCCTGTTTAACAAAAACAAAACTGTCAGAACACCAGCTGGTTCACGGCTGACTGTCACTGTGTCGAGCAGCGTGTGATCGAACCTGTCTTGGTGTTTCCTCCTCTGTAGCGAATGTGATAAAGTGAGGCCATGGCGACACCTTTGTCTTGGTAAGCGTTCAGCTTGAACTCGGTCTTTGCGTCGTCACTGTACTGCACGAACGACACCTGCAGAAATTCATGACAAGAACGCATTATCACAGTGCAGAATATGACTACGCCTTGCTTTAATAAGGAAAACACACAAAAGAACACTTAGAGTGATAAAACAACAGAGGACATATTTCTCCTAAATCAAAGACAGTAAAATGAGTAAAAGGATTACAAAATAGAGAAATAACGAAGAACTTCACAGCAGTAAACAGGGCCAAACGATTTGCGAATAATATCTGATTGTTATTATTCTGACTGAGTGCATTTGAAGTGCAATATATTTTTTTACAGTCAAGCTTCAGTTAAACATTTATTGTGTCACAGATTTAAAACGTGTGATGGAAAATTACCATGGCATGAAATCGTAAAACCACTGATTCAGAAATGTTGCATAAAACATGTCCTCAACTGCACCCCTACAATTTGGTAATTGTATTGTTTTAAATCACAATTCAGTCGATTCATTCGGTGCTAGAGGCAAAACTGCAAAACACAGGCAAAGGAAAAAAAGGAAATCCAACCAGGAACTACTGAGTAACAACATATTCATATACGTATAAAGATAATATGTATGAAAATATGCAAAAGAAAGTTTATGATTCAATATGATGAAGGTAAATAAGCAGGAGTCCATTTCTCTTCTCGTCTGTATGTTACCTGTGCATTAGGCCGCACTTAATTTATTGTATGAAAATATTAAATAATCAAACGTCACAACACTATAGATCAGTCGTGTGTAAATAATGGCTGGTGGACTGAATGTGGCCCAGACAGTTTCATTTTCTAGTTTGCCCAACAACTTTAAATGTAGGCTGTAAACTGTAAACTGACATTTGGTCACAGTATCTCTCCATTGTAATAGTCCAATGGGGACTAATTTAAATCCTTTAAAATTATTCACAAAATACATTTGGCCCCAACTATGCTAAACAATAAAAATAATTTTTAAAAAAGTGTACCACAATTAAAATAAATAAATATACTGCATAGTAAAATGTTTCACTTTAAATCTCACAAGCAGGGAGAGCATAGAGACATGTCTCTTTCCCATCTTCTTTGGATTAGGAAATTGGTTATAACTTGGGATAAATAAATGGACTAAAAATCTTTTTATTGTGCAGAAAACAATATTTTTTTTGATCCAGATGGACCAAACAGTCTTTGAGGATTCTGGAAAAATTGCCAAAACTGCCTAAAGGGATGTCAAACAAGCTAATAATATAAACCTAATAGATTTAGTTTTAAGTGAAACAGATGCTTGGCGCCGTGACTCAAAGATATTAAGAAAAGAAGCAAGTAGATTACAAAATACTATTATAAATGTATTACACCAGCGTGTACTTTTTAAAATGTTTTAAGCAGAGTGTTAAAGTGTTTGGAGAATGCCCATTTTTCACACAACAGCTGGAATACTGATGAAAGTGGATCCTCTGATTGGTAGTTAGCTTGGTATTGCAGTATAATTTATCTTTCTTTTTACCATTATAGGACTGTTTGGGATGCAACTAATCCATCCTACCTTTACGAGATGATTTTAAGTTAGGAGAAGTTCTTATAATGGGAAGCAGTTTGAATAGCTTCAGTATGAGTCATGTTTGAATCCAACTGAAAGCAGCATTATTTTTTATCATGTTTGATGGTCTCCCAAACCAAAAGCAACAAAACCTCTGCAATCAATTGTCAGACTTTGATTTATATTTTTACAGGTCAGTATCACACTTGTCAACGTCAATATACCTTTAGATATAAAGCTCCCTCTCCGGAACAGCTTAAAACTCAGTATATAATCATCTTTACATGTCTGCAAGACTCAGTTGGAAACCATTTCATTGATGTTGCCAAAAAAGCTTTTATTTCATTTTTTCATTTATTTGTATTTTTCCTTCTCCTTCCTTCTGTTTTTCTTTTACCTGCTTTTGTTGTCCTTGTTTGCTTTGTCCTATTTTCTGGTGTTACTGATTACACTTGATTGAATTTTACTTTATTTGTATCAGGGAGGATGTTTTGTAAGCCTCCTCCATTGCACGTATCCAATGAGCTTTATTATTAATGTGTCACCATGATGTTCTCGTTGTGCAAATAAGATTAAAATAGCTACAGCGTGCTATCAAAGCACACAACTGTCCTGGTCTTTCAGCACGAACCTGCATTCCGGAGGGTCCGATGACATCAAAAGCACCAATCATGCCGGAGACGAAGTGCACGACTTTGGTGAAGCTCTCCTCACCGATGCTCCACGAGCCGTCAATGAGGAACACAACATCTGCTTTGGCACCTTTGCAAACTGAGGCAGGAAAACAAGTCAATTAGCAGCTTTAAAGTCCACCGGCCAGACCTCAGGGCAGCATCACAAACACCAGCAGAGAAAATGGCATCAACACACGGCATGCTTATTGCTTGCAAGCTGGAGCGCGTAAAAAAAAAAAAGAGTCAGTGTAAAGTGTGCAACAAAACAAAACGATTGAGAAAAATGACGTGATGGGGCCATGTATAGTAATTACGGGTTTCACTGATAAAAAAGAAAAAAACTCCCAAAACTGGCAAAACAAAACAAGGAACATTTGGTCACCAGAAGGGTTTGAGTTCTCGTTAATGGGTTCCTCTCAGATGAAAATGAATTAGACAAAAAGCTTCAAATAATCTTTGCCTTATGTGATGCAGCTCACTTTGCGATCCTCCATCTTTTCCTCCTGGTAAGAGATTTATAAACAGGTTTTACACAATACCCAGCGACACAAACAGAATTCTTTGGACTGCTCTGCCTTCCTTTTTCAACACCTAAGTTGTTGGTTCTTAACGGTTGTGTTCTGCTTCGTGCACCCTGCAGGGCCAGCAGCACATGTGGCGGCTATTAATTCACTGCTGGCACGGGTCGGCTCCAGAAAGAGTCCAGCCATCGAGGAGTTTCCAATCAGAGCGGAGTGTGAATGAAAAGATCCATTCAGTGCTGGGACGATCCGTGTTTTCCTCTGAGAGTTCTTTAGGGGAATTATGGGCTGTTTTTTTCTGAATGTTCCTGGGGGGTGTTTTACACGCTCAGTTCACATCCATGATTCCATTAAAGTTGAAAATCAGCTAACTATCTGCTATAATCCACGTACTGTGGTTTAATTTACATTTGTATTGGACTGGATGTATCAAGAGTGAAGCACGCAGAATGAAAAACCGACAGATGGGAGTTTTATTAAAGCTCAGCAGAAATCTTATTTTGTCATCCATTTGCCTTGGACTGTTTGAACTGTTCATATTTTTTTAATTATAGAAAGGCAGAAAATTAGTGTTTGGAGACAGATTCCAAAGAGTTCAGTTCGCCTCCAAAGCTATGAGGGGGTCGGCAGTGCACATGACTAACAGCTGAACCAGCAGAGGCTGTGAGACACAATGTAAACTAAGTAGTTTATCATAGTCTACAAGCAAGAAGACAGAAGTGTTCTGGTGAAGGTGATGCCACAACATTTCACATCCAAACCGACTGTTGTTAACGTTTGCAGGTCGGTGTTTAAACCATTGTGTCATAAGAAGCCTGTTGGCGACGTTTGTGTATCTGATTAAGAAACGGCCTGTTCAATGAAGGACGTTCACGACACCCAGGATGGCTTTTCAGTTTCTGAACCTGGCTATGTGGGCCTGGTGTGTTCACATAAAAGTGGCAGTGTTGGCACCAGATGACTAATCGCAAAACGCAAAGCTGCAACTAAACCAGGAGGAAAAGCTTGCAAAAAAAAATTATGACTGGCAATGCGCAGGCTCATCTAAATCGATGTCCCAACCATTAAGCCACAAGTAGATCTGACTGTAATTACTGTTGTGCATTACATTAATGTGATGCTTAGATGTTGCCGTTTCTCATGGTGTTCTTTATTCTTTCAGCTGCAACCCAGACGGTGTTAAAAGGTCTTGGAAACAAGCAAAGAAGAAATACAAAAACATAATTCAAACCGGCAAGTAGGCTTACTGCAAATCTTTTAAGGTCAACAAGTACAAGCGCTTTAATCAGTCTCAGTTTTAGGATTATATCACGATACAGAGACCTATAGCACAATGAAACAGCTTTGCTTTCAGCCAACAGAAAAAAAAATAATAATCAAGGAAGACTGGAGTTCACGCCACTGAGAATCTGTATCTTATGTCTACGCTCATTAGGGAAAGAAAAGGGTTTAGGTGGTCTCTGAAAACCTTCCCCTCTCACTAGCCACGCACAGAGCTAAATTAGATTTCTTCTGGCAACAGCAATATCATTTCCCAAAAGTACTGATTAGTCAGCGGCTGGCGCTTTAACACATTTTGATTTGATATCTCAAGCATAACCAGCTCCGGCATTATAATAGTAATGCACCTTGGGAAGTATTAAACCACCGCTGTAACCTTGAAAACCCGGAGTAAACCGCAATTCAAATATTAAATTCATCTGTCTGTCTTCAGGTGCACTTACAGTCATCTGGCATGTTTAGCAGGTGCAAAATGGAAGTTTAATGTGGCTGAACTTTGGCTGCCATTCTTGAGCTTTCTAGTGACGAGTTCTAGCAGTGTGTCCATAAGGAGAGTTGGCTATTGTTCAACAATGGCATCCCATTCTATGCAAACTACCCACAGCGCAAACAGCAAAAAAAGCCAAGTGCAGCCATCCGTGGTTTAGATCCAGAGAGCATGCTCAGTAGTTGAGTCCTGTTTTGTTTAAAACCCGTTTTTTTTTATTTTTATTTTATTGCATTCCAGGTCCTATAACAGACTTACCTGCCCATGCAGGGGGGATGGTGGGTGGAGGAGTTGGAGTTGGAGGGAGTGTTGGAACTGGAGTTGGTTTCACCACTGTAAGAAACAAAAACAGTCATGAACATATTTGTAATAAATACAGAGTAACCCTAAACACGTCGCATGATGAAGTCATTGTTCTGGATTCATCCCGTGAGATGATGTAACCCACTGTTTAAATCATGCTCCATGTCTCAGACACCACAGTTCACACTCTGGCTGGTGTGTTGGAGTGATGCAGCTTGTTACTACATCATGTTCTCTTTTATACATTTTCAGCGAAAAGTGATTTTATGCCTGTTTTCTCCATCAGTGACGCAGACGCTGCTGGTTTGTGGTGAGAAAATATGGAGAGCAGATCCTTTACACTCAACAGTTGTTTTTCTTTTCATTTAGGTCTCAAACAGGTTTCATTTCATTTTGATCCACTTATTGTTGCCGAACGGACATAAACAACTTTCCAGCCAAACATTTATTTGGTTCATTTATTAACTGACACATGTGGTAGCTGCGTTATTGGACCGACTAGTCAATTAGGAAAGTCAATGTACATAGAAAAAAAAAAAAGACAAACCAAAAATGTGTAATGGCAGACATAAGTCTAGGATTTTTTTTTCTCTCCAAAGTCTGATATGTTGTATATAATACATATAATGCTGCCAAAAAAAACTAAATCAAAATAATCTGCAATGTGTTTTCATTACTGGAACTGAAAATGTAATTGTAGATGATAACCACATATACAGTATATTTGTTATCTCTAATGGATAATGTCACTTAAAATATATAGTGTATGCCATTACAATTCTACCTTCGTAATGAATGTCTGATTAAGTCTCGCCATCAGGTTGACAAGTTTAACAATATTTTGTCACAACTGGAGCAGCAATGCCAGTTTGCATTAAAAATGCTGAACTGTAGCTAACCATAAATAGAACTGCCATGAGAGCAACTGGTTTAATTTTAAACATCAGACATTGTCACAGCAACTTTCACAAACACAACTGAGTTTGGTTTTGAGGCAGATTTCATCTGAACTTTCTGCAGCAGAAATGTCAGTATAGCAGAAAAACTTGCAGTCTATTCACGTATTACAGTTGTAACACTCACAGGTTCTCTCATTGGTGCTGACTCCTGGACCTTCCAGATTGGGGGTCTGAACAAAGACAGTGGCGGTGTACAGAGCATCGGGGGACAGTCCGTCAAAGCAGTACTGAGGCAGGCCGGCAGGGATGGTGATCTCATGTTGCCCTTTACTGGAGGCTACAGAGGAATCAGAATTAAGACACCACATATTAACAGCTCTGTAAACCTTTCCTAATCCCTAACAGTCAGATTGAGTCTTCAGTTTTAAACTTTCATTTCACACAGTTTTTTAAGCAAGCCAATGACTTCAGATAAGCAAAAGACGTTCCACCGGTAAGATGCTCCATTCTCTCTTCCTTTTAACCCTATTCAGGACTTTCATGTAGAAGGTCTTTCGAATATGTGAAAATATTTGCAGGCATTGATTATAGACTTTTATACTATATTAAATAAATTTTTTGATAAGTTTACATATTTTTGGTTCCAAATGCATGACACATGTCCTTCTTTTTATGTTTAAAAAAAACAACAACCTTCAAATATAAAAAACAATACCTGTCACCCAAACCAAATGGCCTGGGGTCCAAAAGAACCCAAAAGTCCTGAATAGGGTGAAGGTACCTTTAAGCGTTTCCCCATAACATCCTTGAACAGGTGACATTACCGTGTGTGCTGATCTGCTCAAACACTCCAGTAATGCTACAATTTGATAAAACCATTGCTCAAATGCTTTCGCCTTCTAATCAGGTCCTTTAAACGTTTTCTGGGTCTCATCAGTGGGGTTGATTACAGTCAGAGGGAAACATTGACTCATGTTCTGTAAGTGTAGTCACTGAGTTCGTTCTAGATGCCTGAAAATTCGTACCCTTGTAAAACACACCCAGCGAGTTTTATATCGTTTTTAAGCCCTGAATCATCATGAAAGATTAATATCCACGGTGAAAACTAAGATATTTACTCATTATATGCATCTCCTGGGGTATGATAGCATTAATTATTATTACTAATGACTCAAAGATTACTTCCCCAGGTGCTTACATTTCTGGCTTTTAAAACTAACAGCAAGGCTCGCTGGCTTGTGACGCTGGCAACTTAAGCCTACATTTTAGCTTCACAAACGACAATTATTAGTTTTCAGCTTTTTTTCTCTTTCTTTGCTCCATTTTTAACTGTCTATGTGGATTTATGTTGATAATGGAGCAACTTGGTGTCAGAGCATCAGTGTTTTCTCTGTAGCATTGAAGTCAAAAAGGTGTTGGTTCTGTTGTTACTTCACTTGGCTGTTTTCTGTGCAGAATGATGCACACAAAGTCCAATACCTAACCTACACAATCTGATGTGGTAATTTGAAATTTCCACAAATGTGTGTACATGAATAGATTTGGGATTTTTCAAAGAGGGAGCGAACATAAATAACTTGGCAGGTGATTGAGGTAAACGGCACAGAATAAGAATTGTTCCAGGGAGAGTATTTTTATGTCTTAACACACATCTGGAGGCGATGTTTAAAAAGTCATGATGCTCAAAGCTTTAACGGCATTACCTTATCAGGATTAAGTGATCAACGTTTGATCAGACTTGATGGCTGAATAAGCAAAAAAACGTTGAACTTTTAATTCGCATGTTGCTAAATCGAGATCAGTGTGTGTGTGTGCTAAGACTTCAAACCAGTGACGGAGCTCAGAGAAAAGCTGAAATACAGAAATCTCTCATGGAATAGTCACAACTGTTCCAGTGTTGGCAGAACATGGTGTCTTTATCTAAGACAAAATTGAAAAAGGTTTGAAGTTCAGACAGATTTATTAGGAAACACTTTTTAAATTCTTGATTTGAAAAGCGCTTTATGAACAAAGCCATTATGAAACTATTTGTGTCTCTTGTGAAAATGTTAGTGCAGCTTGTGTCAATTCAAAGCCAATGGCACACAGGGAAACTGCACTTTTGCGCCTCTGGAGTTTAAATTGATAGTTCCATCTTATTTTTCTGTTTTCTGTTTAGTTAATGTTGCTCAAATTCTTGTCAACATCTCTGTGATACACAAATGCAACACACTGACCCTTCCACTGAACTGTTTACATCTCTGTTCGGCCGGGCAGTGACATATTGATAATAAGCTTTCCTATTTACACGGAGTGCTCCAGTAAGCGCAAACAAACAAAACATGTTTACTGCAGAGACAGCTGCCATAGATGACGATTGCTACTTTTCAGTGTCGTGGTTCGGCCTGTATGACTTAAGAAGGATTTCATCATCCTCTACAGCTTGGGTGATGCCATACTTTTAGACTGAGGCCTGTACTATCAACAACTTATCATCAAACTCACTTCATAAAAATCGTTGAGGGAAAACACACATGCCTCACTGTAAGATCGACTCCAGAACAGTGGCCCTCATATATCAAGATAGAAGATACACACAGATTTGCGCAGAGAGTGCTGTTGACAAAATATAATCCCTGAAACATTTCAGCTGGATATCCCATAATTGTGTGTTTTAAAAAACTGGCAGCCACATGTTCTTCTTCTCACCAGTGTTTCCATGGCTTCTAAAACATGGAGGAACTCTCGATGCAGAGGACTCGTGCTCATTGTTTTTCCACTTACTCATCTCACCACCGTCTCTGACCGCTGTGTGCATTTCCACTTGAGAACAAACAGTTGACTGATTTGTTGAATCAAGTGTCTGCAGCGTCGCACTGGGACGGACGCTCCAGCAGAGAGATCCTCTGGTAGTGGTTAAACCGCCGTCTGTCTCACGCTAGACCCATATTTGTTCTGGCAGCCCGTCACAGCAGCACAAATGGCTAATGACTACCATATAGATACTTAAATATTGATGCACCCTTTCTGCTTTTTCCTGCTCTTTTACCGCTAACCCGTGTCCGTGTGCGAATATGAACCAGATGGGAATCAAAGACCCTGAAGTAATTGAAAAGGATGTATTCTTTGCAAACAGAGACACAATTAAAGCTTGGTGGTCGAATGCTTTAAGTCCTGGCCAAAACCGGCATCTTGCTTTGAGTAATAATCACAAGGAGGAGGGCTGAACATAAACAGGCTCTGCGAGGAAAATATAAAAAAAAGTCGAGACACAATCTGAACCGACACAGTCTGCTATACGCCGTGAAGGATCTGGAGCATCAGTGGACACAGAGATGACTTCATCTGGAGATATGCCTTCAAACATCTGCTGGGAGTCTTATTGCACACATTACCACATGCATCACCTCAAACAAGTCACCCCCAATCAGGATGTGACTGTGAAACGGACCACTCCACTGTCTGTGTTCAGGTGTACTCATGAATCTAATGTATCTGCAGCAGGTCAGAAACTTCTTTCATTCTGACGAGAACCCAACTTGTGGTTCAGTTTTCTCTCCTGTGATCTATTCAAAGTTAAAGGACCGTGTTTAAGCCCATAAATCAAAAAAGCATGACAGCAAATATGATCATTAATGAACCACTGAACCACTTGTCTTGTAAAAAAATAAAACTTTGCATTCAAGCTTCTCTCATCTGAGTTGCTTCACTCGGTTTTAAGTCACCATAAACTGATTTTTTTTTTCAGTTTCAGACTGCTAGTGGGAGACAGTAACACATTTAATGTTGTTGACTATTGTTTATTGACTCTGGAAAATTGTGATGGTTGTTTTGCTTCTTTTTGCAATTTTATATTTTATAGATGTTGTGCAAACCACATATACTTTACATGACTAATAAACTACTCCAATCATGTGTCCTGCTTTAGAAATTTGCAGAAATGTGGATGTACAATATGTCGTCTGTTTTTAATGTAGCTGGTTTGTTTGTTTCAGTTTAGCAAGAAGGAGATATGTTCTGCCTACAAAGCAAATTCTCCCATGATGATCATTTAATTGTGGTAATCACTTCAGTGCTACCATGCTATAGCTCTAAATTTAACTAACTATAACGCGGAATGCAAATAAAATAAGCTTATGAAGTGTAACTATACCAACAGACAGTGCGTATGGTAAAAACTGATGAGACTTACGGTCCACTGGGTTGAGTTTAATGCGGTACGACGTGGCAGCTCTGTGAGCGGTCCATTTGATGCAGAACTTGTCGTGGCCGACGTCGAAGGTCTCGATGTTGGTGACGTTCAGGTAAACTGCACAAATCAAACACGTCAGTAAATAATGCTCATTATATACACTGCAAGATCCTGTTTGTTCAAATCTTACAGTCTATGTGTTTTTGAAAAGATTCTGGCTTACATAAATTTCAACTTCACGTGACAGAAGCATCTGGAATGCCAGTGCCTCTGAGTTTACATTCTGGGAAAGGTGCAAGTAAAAAAAACTTCATCTCATCCTTTTGCCAGGTTTCGACCACTCAGTATTTTGGTCTGATAAGATCGAATGATTACAAAGTCATAAACTCTTGTTATGACTTGGTTGAGACAGACGAATGTGAAACAGTTGTTGTGTATAATACAGGCTGTCTTGAGTGTGCGTCGCACTAGGAGGGCAGCAAACATGTTAGTTTGTCTTTTACTTGCCATGCTTACAGCTCTTTGCCACTGTGGAATACATGCTACTTACACATGTAAACACTGTCACATGATAGGAAAGAAGGTAAAAAAAAAAAAAAAGAGAGAAAAAGAGATGTTAGTCCTTTTTTGTTGGGATGATGTGAGATCCGATTGTAGATCTGTTGTAGTCAACTGTGGTACACTACAAATATCGACTCATGGTGACTTTCATTGTCTATTCCAATGTCGTACATGTTTCAGACTGAGTAGTCTGAACCAAGAGTTAGTGCTAATTACCCTACTTACAGCTGATAGTGCAACCCAAGGGGAGTTGGCTGTAGCAGTGTTTCAGTGCACCATAAACCAGAGCTGTTGATGCATCAGTTAGGGGGGGGAAAGGTCTCAAGTCAAATGAGACAAGACTCAAGTCATGTATTTACAAGTCTCGATCGGGAAATTCCAAATCAAGTTTTTACAAACCTGAGACAAAATGATTTGACTACACACAGGACAAACTTTTAGCAAATCAAAACCAACACTTGAAGGTTTTTACTTTCACATCCAAAGTCAAGTGTTAAACTTAAATCCAACCTAAGTCCACATTCTTAAGTTTCAAGACAGCTTTTCCAAAAACTAGTTCAAGATACTGGGGTGGCGTCATCATCGGTGAAGCAAAACTATCTGCTATCTGCCACCTGGCACAGATGAGAAAATGTGTTATGACTTGGAATAAGTGTTACTGTACGTACGTGTTGTTCCCTGTCCAGTGAGCGGTGCGCTCATGCCGGTGGTGTACTGAGCCAGCACTTTGACATCGTAGGTGGTTCCAGGCTGCAGGTTGTGCAGAGTGTAAGAAGTCACGTCACCCACGAAGAAATCTATGGGCTGGTTTGTCCCTGAAAAGACAATAGCACAGAAATAAGAAGTGCGGGACTGAGTCATGTATAATTACTGAGGTTGTTGTCATTGCGAAACTAAAGAGAACTGGCAGCAGACGGACATCAAAGAATGTTTGCAGAGAGATCTCAACTATCTGGTTACCAGTTTGCAGATGGAAATTTGCAGCAGAGGCCAAGATCAACATGGACTCACTCAAGCACAAACTCTTCACAATATGTGTTACAAGTAGCATCTTTGGACAACTACAGATGCTGGCCGGGATCTCTTCAGGGTTCACAAAAGACTCCTTGATACCACTTTGTATGCAATTTAACACCGTTTCCATCATCATACGGGCCGAAGTGAGATATTTATGAAAACCAGTACAGACAGTGAGGCATACCAACATTTATAGCACACTTTTGACATTACTTCCTCATTGTACAAACAGTTATTTCTAATGATATCATTGTTTAATTATGTATAAGCAGCAGAAGGGGATGGAAGTGGATGAATGGATGGATTACCCATTAAAAAATAGGTAATTAGTTCAAGGTCCATATAAGATTCAGCCAGATTTTGCTAAAATCAGATACAAAAGCTTTGTATAACTGATTTAAAACTTTGTACTACCCTTAACAAGACTTATGTTGCCTTCTAAGACTTTTCAAGGCCCACAGATATATATATTTTTTAGTTTAAAGCTTTGACATTCTGTTTCCTGTTAATTATTTATATATATATTTTTACACTCATAAAAAAACAAAAAACCCTCATTCATTAATTCACTATGTAGGAGGTAAAAAATGTGATTCCTGTTTTTGAGTTATGTTTTGTATGTTTGTTTTGCTTTCTCTCATTTAATTACTTACAAGAAAGCCGGATGAGGAATTGGGAGTTGCAAGATAAATCACACGATGATTAATAAGACACAAAAGAAGAAAAACATGTTTCTGTTTTTCTTTCATCCTGATTTCCTCTCATGTGAAAAACTGCAAAGTGTGCTTTGTTCAGTTTGACCTCTGCTAGATACAAAAAGAAGGATCCAAATAAAACAATCTGACAAGGACAAAATAAATTACTCTTTGCTTTAACTGCTCACAGCTCATCAACATTTGCAGCCAACATCCACGTTCAAGGCGAGAAGAGCATTCGTTCACTTTGCGGGTGTGTTGATGTGACACCAGCTCACCTTCAGGGGAGTAGATCAGCCTGTATCCCTGGACAGGAGCAGGTACTGCGTCCCAGGCCACCCTGAATCGGGTGTACCACTCATCTGAGACACGAAGGTTCCTGGGGCTCGACATGCCGACTGTGACAGAGAGGAGACGCGTCAATGTCATTCATTGTTTTTGTTGTACTAAAACAGGTCCTCAGTAATGAAATAACATTTATTTTAAAGCTAATAAAGCAAAGAGTTGGGAATCTGCCACTTGTTTCTGATATGTCAAGGAATGCAGTGGAAGTGTTTTGTGTTCTAATACTATTCTTAATTCATAAATTACATTTTTTTTCTTTGCAGCATTGATTCATTCATTTAACTAAAGCTCTGTGTCATCTATTCATTTGGTAAAAAGTATCATTAATGTTTCCAAATGTCTCAAACTTTGTCTCGAAAAAGCTCAAGACAATAGCTTTAATCAGATTTTACACTCCTTTATGTAATGCTTAACAATTTGTAATGTCCATAATTGCCTTAGAGTAAAGAAGTCACCTGTAGCACTGAATTTATGAAAATGAATTACACATCATTCAAATATCCTCATGAAAACAGAGGACACTGAACACACCATGAATTGTTATTATGTGCTATGTTTTAACAGAAGCACACTAAGTGTTAGAGTTGTGGTACCAATAACTCTGTTGGTTTTTCTAAGCTGTCGTAGCGTCTTGCTGCCGTGAAAAACACAAAAACAACCTGCCAACCAATAGGCTGCATTATCAATTAAACTGATCGCTGTAGCTCTCATTTAAAACTACTGTCTATAACTAACGGATAGTTGTTATAGCATGTATTCTCAGTTAGTTAATAGTAATAACCTTATACCCGTTTATAAAATGTATTTTTCATAATACACGTGTTTAGCTTTGGGACGTTTCTCAGCCTTGTGAACAAGCCGGGTGGTGAGAGTTGGACTTGGATTGATGCCTGAAAGTGGCAGGCACACACTCTTTCTCTGAGCTTCTATTGTTTATACACCTAATGTTGCTGTTCACCAGTCAAGTGCTCTCCCAGTTCAGCTCCTGTGAGCTCCCAGTGGTCCCAACTGTTCACGCTAACATGTGTTGGCACTGTTGACTAATGCAAGTCTACTCTATTTATTTTCACTGTCTCCTACTTTCTTGAGCTGCTGGCCAGCAGAGCTGGAAGCTGTTGGCCTGTTTAACTCAACAGTTGCATCAGCAGCGGGAGGCTCAATGAGAGCAACACATAACACTGAGTTCACAGGTTCAGTGCCTGAAGCGCACTGAATGACCAAAGAAACACACTGATGCTAATATTCCAGTGAGAATCTAAGATACCGTTTTCAAAATTGCTGAACTATATACACAACTTTTTGTTGCACTATTGAAGTCAGAACCTCATTAACAAAATGTCAACTGTTTGCAACATGCTGATTGTGTGGTGGAGAAGTGGATTATGCAATGAAAGCAGTTTGTAACGTTTCAGTGGTTGTTTTGATCCCTTATTTGCATCGACTGAGTAGCTGGGTTGGGAAACAACAGATTTCTAGCAGAGTATCATTTAAAGTATTAAAGAGCCGCAGACAATCAATATGTAACTTTGCGATCCTAAAATAATTATATATAGCAAAAAGGTGTTTATCTGCTGTTTGACTGTAAGCTAATAGTTTCTCTCTGATAAGACTGATTTAAATCTTGTTTGTTACCTAACCTTTGTACACGATATGGAGCCACCATTGTATTGTTAACTCTCAAAACTTTACTACCTTCTCGACACGCAAAAGCTAATTAAAATTATGTTTGAACACAACCAAAGATAGCAAAGTTACATTTGAAGTTTAACTGAAGCCTGCTGTTTACCAAATCAGTGACATTATGAGGTGTAATCTGCAGATACATGCCAAGACAGTCACAGTGAAAAGTGCAGACTTTCATCTGCCTGTACTCGAAAATATGTCAATAACTGTTGGCCTTACGTGTGCGTCCGTTTCCGTTGAGCGACCCTCCAGGCCCCTCGGCGTAGACGGCCTCCACAGTGATGTTGTACGGGGTGTCTGGGAGCAGATTCTGCAGCCTGGCATTGTTTCTGTTTCCTGGAACCACAGTCTGAACAGCCAAACACCACAGAGTCAGAGATTTTCAGAAGCAGAAGAAACAATTTAAACAAAAATGTGTGTTCACACTCAGAGAATCCTGAGTAGCAGAGCATTTACACAGTGACCTTCCCCTGTTTGCAGGTACATGTAATTGGTAGGTGGAGCCAAACACTGAGACTGACTGGGACCTGGCCTTATGCTCTTATGTTGCATTTGGTTTCTTTGTGTTGCCATGCTGCTAGCAGTGCATGCTAAATGCTTTTTTGGGAGAGGTTTTCCATCTAAGAATCTCAAGGGTCTGAGGACAAACGGTATCATGTGCTGCACAGACTGAGACTAACTTGCGATTAGTGATAAAAAAAAAAACAATTAAAGTAAAAAAAAAAAACTGACTTGAAACCACATCTCCAACACAACCACTCACTGACAGCACTGATATTTCTGACATCCACATCCTATCTTTTCTACATTTTAATGAATGCTTTTGTACCTGAAGCAGTGAATTTAAGTGCACTTTTGCTATCACTCCTTTCATTTGCTTCAGTCATCACACAGACTTGGATGTAATTTTGAAGTAAGAAAAACTTTAGAAGAATGATCTCTAATAAATATGAAGGAATCGTGTTTTTTTGTGTCCTGGTGTAGAAAAGTGCTTCTCATTTAGATTACAGGACCTGCAGCAACACAAACCCTCTCCATGAGTTACATTTGCTAAATTGCATGCATATCTAATGGTTCTAAGTTTCCTGGTCAGTTGGAGAAATTCTTCCATCAAGCTTCTCTGCTGCAGTTAGTTGACTCATACAGAACAGGTGCATCACTAACAAGCAGAGGGGAACCACAGCTGGGCCGTATCCACCCTTCATGACTGGTCCAACTCATTATTCACAACTATTAATAACATTATTATGCCCCAAATTATGCTGTTTATTTAACTGAGTCTGTAATTAGTCTCGCTAATCGGAAATTTATAACCTAAATGATGCAAGGGAATCCTAAGATTTGACTTCATCACATAGTTTGAGGGGTACATCACAGCAAAAAGGGAACAATGGGAGTTTATTGAAAACGTTTTTCCAAAACCTCACACATCATTGCCTGAAATCAATCTCATATTACTGCATGAAACAGGCTTGAGATATGTGATTCTGATGCATTTCCTTTTCACGAAAAAGGGTTTTTTTTACAGTAGAAATTTTTTGAAACAGGGGTAAATGTTTTTGGGTTGTTTTAATGTGCGACTTTTAATTTCTGTAGACATAAGACCAGATTTTCTTCACCAGCAAATACTTTGTCTATTCAGGTGATAATAACACAAAGATTAGCCTTTTCCCCCAATCAAGAGGCAAAAGCATATCGTGTGAGCAACAACTACCCTAAAATCAAACACTCAATCAACAACATATCTATACCTGAACATCGAGGACTTTGTGTTTTGCCTCCTGGATGCATTTAAGTCATCACAAATACCCATTTTGAAATACTGATACTCTTCAAAAGTGTGTCTCTAAAATGCCCCTTGTGATCGATGTAAATGAGCCTCAAGGTGCACTTACAAATTCGGTGATAGGGTCTCCAGTCATGGGAGCGTAAGCGATCTTGTACTGCCTCACGGGTCCCTCGGCGTGGTCCCAGGCGATGGTCAGGGTGCTGGTGGTGGCGCCATACACTCGCATGTTCCTGGGACCAGCACGGGGCACTGCGACCAAAACAAAACCACAAATAGACCATTGAGGCAATAAACACATGTGAAAGTTGACGGGAAAATCAATAGGCCACCATTGAAACTATCACAAAACATCTCTAAAATTTTTTAAATTACATCTTATATTTTACTTTTTTTAAAACTCATATATTCCCCCTTTAATTAATGTATAGTTGGCATTATGTAATTATGTTAACATGTTTTAGTACAGTCTGCAATAATTGGACAGAAATGTTATTTTTATTTTTTTAACTGGCTGCAACAGAAACAGATGTTATGTGGATGTAGGAAGGCTGTAAAGGACCAGAAAAAGAAACAAAACATATAACACTTTAAACTAATGCTTGACATTACAGGACATTAAGTAATGAAATAAAGTGTTTTGTATTCTGTGAAACTATGCTACTCTGGTTCTGTTTGTTTATTGAAGTTGGTGTTTGTTTTAAGATATCATCATTTGTTAAGAGCAGCGGCGCTAACAACCACATTTTACCAACTTGCATGTAAAGATATACTTCACACTGTTACACATCATTGCCTGTGACTCAACACAGATGTAAACCATGGAGAGCCTGAGTCATTGTTTTAATTCTGTACACTGTCAGCATGTGAAAATGTTGGTGTGCTTACATGTCTTGCCGGTGTCCTTCACTGGCTCTCCCACGCCGTCAGCATACAGAGCAGAGACACTGACGGAGTACGGAGTATCTGGGATCAGGTTGTCCAGGAAGGCATTGTTAGTATTCCCTGGAACCAGGACCTTTATGGAAAAGAAACACAAGGGTCCAAAAATACATAATCATTATAAATAATCAATCCAGCAGCCACAGTGAGCCTATTGAAATGAGCCTCTTCATGCATTACATAAAGATCTGGCAGGTTTAATGTACATAATGACCTCACTGCTCATCCCCCTTTCAGTTATCTCCCAGGCACCCAGCTGCCAAAGCTTTCCTCAAACACTAACAAAGGCCTGGGAGGTTATAAGCCAAACAAATCATTCATTCAGTAAGAGGACTGACAGATAAACAGTTTCTGCTAAAAAGGAACTGAGAGCTGCATCCGTCAGCAGGTTTAGATGTGTAGCTCCACAAGCTTTCCAACGACAAGCGTGACTGCAGACCATCTCTTGTCACTGGGATTATTACAGCATCTATGTTCAGCTGTTTAGCCAGTTTGTGGGCCATACAAATTAGTGCCATTACATCATAGGAAATATATCTGCTGGTTGAACTCGAGTCCACCCTCATCTAAAGCTTTTGTTTTGGTTAAAGCAAATACCTCAAAGAGGTTTGGACCCAAAGGTTTTGGCATGTCGGACCTTGAAATAGGTTCCTCAGTGATGATGTAGTGGCTGAGATCCCACAACTGGAAGCACATATACGCCTAATGGCCTGGGTTTAAATCCCACCAGTAAACTCAACAATAAGACCAGTGGATTGGACACTGCCCTTTTAAAACATTAGGAATTAGACTGGAGGTTTAGTCATACAGTCATTTCCTGAAAGTAGCACTGCTCTCAAGGGTTGAGATGAACCGCACTGGTTGAGGTGGAGCCAAACAATGCAGTTGTTCTGGATAATTAAGAGGCTTTTGAGTCAGGTTGCATTCAGCATATTAAAGAGAAGACTTGAACTGTGATGCTGCATTCAGAACTTAGTAAGGAGTTATACAAGTTTATTTTTAACAAAGCCCATGAAAGCAGGACGTTTACACAACTGACTAAAAGTTGGTGGACAGTGTTCCTGAGGTTGTTGATGCTCCAGCAGTTTGTTTCAGACAGTAGCATGCTTCTATAGGTCAACAACGTGTGTTTGTCCCTTTCAAGATGACAACACCTTTGTGCTAAAGACATAATTCCAGTTCTGGTGTGGGAGACTGGCCTGTTCCAACACTTTTGGGATGAACTAGAATCTCACCCAACATCAGTGCTAATCTTTACAAATGCTCATATGGCTGCTATGTGAGCGGATTCCTGCAACACCAGATTCATGACCATGGCTCTGGGATATTAACTTAAACAATCACATCTGAAATGTTCAGGTGTCCACACACTTTTGGCCAAATAGGTTTACTAATTTAGATTTCTACTATAAAGGGCTGTTTTTAGTTTTCAGTTCCACCACCTAAGTTTAATTAGGAGCACTGTTGCCTTGCAGCAAGAAGGTTGCCGGTTTGCGTCCCGGTGGGGGCACCGGAATCTTTCTGCGTGGAGTTTGCATGTTCTCCCCGTGCAGCGTGGGTTCTCTCCGGGTTCTCCGGCTTCCTCCCACACAGTCCAAAAACATGTTGAGGTTGATTGGTGATTCTAAATTGTCCGTAGGTGTGAATGTGAGTGTGCTTGGTTGTCTGTCTCTAAGTGTGGCCCTGCGATGGACTGGCGACCTGTCCAGGGTGTCCCCTGCCTTCGCCCTAAGTCGGCTGGGATAGGCTCCAGCCCCCCCGCGACCCTAATGAGGATTAAGCGGTGTATAGAAAATGGATGGATGGATGGAAGTTTAATTAGGGAAAAAAAAGACTCATCAAGAACTTCTTCTGCTTCTTCAGTATCCTCTATCAGAAAAAAATTAGTCTCTTTGTAGGTTAAAATACTCAAATCAACTTCTGAAAGAATAAACCTCTAATGTCAAATTCGCCCATAATGAGCTTATTTATACTAAAGTCATTCATAAAGAGATGGTGAATCTTTGTACTTGGTGTCTTCTCTGCTTTTTGCCAAACCAGCTTCCTGTCAGACCAACGCAAAATCAAAGTTCATTGAACTAAAATGCAACAAAAGTGAAAATAGACAAAGGAAACGACGACTGCAGGGGATAATAAACTATACAACACTGTACGCTTTACAGCATCATCAAAGCAGATCCTAATCATCAGTACAGCCTCATTAGATTACAACCTTATGGCCCCAGAACGTCAACCATAGGAGCTTTTCACTGATGTCAGTCACAGATGTGTCCGGCGTGCAGTATTTCCAAATCAGTCACAGAGTTCAAACTCTTTGTGGGGAAGTAAAGCCCCCTTTTCTCTCCCTGAGATCGGATATTTGCACTGGTGCATGAAATCAGTGCTCATGGAGACACACAAAAGCTGACAAGTCATGGTTTCCATATTAGAGAGCATTACTATAATTACTGCTGTGCAAACATCTGTGGAACATCAACACAAACACTTGGTGAAACAAATAGGGTCGACCAAAAGGGACCACCTGTTGTTTCCGTGAAATAGACCAACCTGATGAAAGAAATGAACCCGCTTTGATTTCACTGGTTTAATCAGATGTGCAGAGGAAGATAGACAAAAAATATTTAAACCACCAAAGTTGTTTAATGTGGTGCAAAAACTTAAGTAATGTAGTCCACATTCAGTACACAGCTGTAGTGCACGGTGTTGAGGGGCAAACAAAGCCAGATGTGGAGTAAGAAAGACATTGGTTTGCACAAGTCTTAAGGCTTAGGCTACTAGTTTCCAGTAAAGAAACATGAAGTCAACAAGTCTCAAGTCAAGAACAAGGACCAAGAAAAGCCTAAAGTCAAGATCTCTCAAGTCTCATGTCAGAAATGAAGACCCCAAAAGCCATAGACAAGAGCTAAAAGTCTCAAGTCAAGACCCCAGAATTCTGAGTCAAAGCCAAATTTCTCTGGCCAAGAGCTAAAACTGTCAAGTCAAGACATTAAAGTGTCAAGTCAAGATCCAAAAGTCCCAAATGAAGGCATAAACATTCCTAATCAATACCTACAAACCTCAAATAAAGACATAATTAATTCCAAGTCAAGACCCAAAAGTCCCAAATGAAGGCATAAACATTCCTAATCAATACCTACAAACCTCAAATAAAGACATAATTAATTCCAAGTCAAGACCCAAAGTCCCAAATGAAGACAGAAACTTTCCAAATCAAAAAATAAGTCTTAAATTAAGACCCAATATTTCAAGACAAGAATAAAAGTCCCAAGTCCAAGTTAAGACTTAAAAGTCCTTAAGACCCAAAATCCTACATCAAGGCCTTGAAGCCTCAAATCAAGGCCACAAATTGCAGAGTCAAGACCCAAAAGTCTCAAGTCAAAACCCATGTTAGGTCCCAATTCAAGGCCATTAGTTGCAAGTCAAGTCAAGAACTACAAGTCCCAAGTCAAAAGCAGCAAGCACCAAAAGTCTCAAGAGAAAACCTGTACCAAGACTGAAGTCCACACCAAGATAAGTCCAAAGCCATCACCTGAACATCTGAAGTGATAAACCCAATCACTACGAAAACATCTCAAGTCAAGGATCAAGTCGAGAACTACAAAGTCCAGGTCAAAAACAAAGTCAAGTACCAAGTCTGAAATCATGTCTAAGTCCTAACTTCAATAAACCGAACAAAGGTTTTACATCTGGATTTGATCATGTGGATCATCGTTTGTCTGTCTGCTGGTACATAAACTTTATCATCTGCTCACACAGCATGACTGGCTGCTGTTGAATCAGCGGCATTACCCAGAAAATGACGACTTGATTTGCTGCACACTTTAAAGCCTGGATGGGATATCAAGTCATTTGAAGTCCAAGTGAAGCAACAAGTCACTGGTGGAAAAGCCATGTCTTCTGTGACTGTGTTGAAGTTAAAAATGATCAGCTCATGGCTCAAGCCTGACTTAAGTCTGAGTTATGTGACTTAAGTCTACACCTCATTAAAAACCCTCTCATTGAACTCATCTGTAATTCTTTCTCAATCAGTCAATTAGTCATCAGCAGAAGATCAATAAATAACTCTGTGCATGAGGATCTTTCTCTGTTTTCTATCACTGTAAAGTTTGGTTTTGGACAGTTGGTCAGACAAAGTAAGATATCCGAAGGGGTCATCTTGCGCTCAGGGAAAACTGACATTTTATAGATATCATAAACAACTGATTAAAAGCAAAAATATCCACCAGATTAGTTGGTGATGAAAATATAATAGGTTGTATCCCTATCTGTTATAATATCTTCTTTATCTTAAAACAAAAAAGACAATAACTGTGATGACATAATTCCAATTTTTTTCAACTTCCCTTATCTTAACGATTTCCTGGAGGCACATCATATCTAACAAAACAGAAAATAAAATAATTGTCTGACCCCACTGGCATATTTTTATAATTCTTGAATATAAAATCACATACCAGAGTTTGTTTTGTCTTGATATTCTTTGCTCTAATCCTTATCCTCTATGAACACACAGTGATCTCAGAGGAAACCACCTCCTCCTGCCCCTGAGGCAATTTCTGCCCCTAATGACAGTTTGTGTTTTAACAGCCTGCAGAGAGTTACTCACCGACTCGCTGGGTTTGACGCCGCTCAGGGGGGCATAAACCACCCGGTACTGCTGAACCTGGCCTGAGGCGGGCTCCCAGCGCACGTTCAGGCTGTTGGGGGTGGGGTTGTACACCTGGATGTTCTTGGGTGGCGTGCGTGGGACTGCAAAGGCCAGAGAGGTTAAGAGAAAGTGAAGTGAGAAAGATGGGAGTGTTAACTTTCTTCACTTAGCAACAAAACATCAACACCAAGGGCTCGTTCCAAGTGCGTACCACTTCAAACCTAAAAACTGACAGCTATTGTTGATGGATGTACAAACACAGAAGATTAAATTCCTGAAGTAAGTAAAGTGCTAAACAGAACAGGAGTAAATGTCAAGCCAAGGATTAGACTAATAGTTTAGTTTTGGCATTTTAAAAAAAGCTACAGAGCTAATCTTACAGCTGCTCAGAAACCCAGCAAATGTACATTTATATTGATTCTGTTATTACTGCTAATTAAACTATATGCTGATTTGTGTTGGAACAGCTGTTTCAATGTGATAAAATCTCTTGAGGTTGAACTCCAATGCTGAGCAGGGCAAAAGTCTCCTGCAGGATAGTCATTTTACAATGTATGTAGAGAATGTGTAGAGAGAAGTAGCACAGTTTGGGGTTTATGCAAAAGCCCTTAACTTCCCTTTTAAACCAAACCAGATGTGCATATTCCCCTGGTATCTGGAGCTTTACCCAATAAAAAGAAAACTAGATGCAGTAGGCAGACACAAAAGGAGCCTCCTCCTCGATAAGGAAAAAACCTCCAGAGCAAAATATTTTCTCTATTGTTGTATAACCACATTTAATCCTGTCTTCCAGGGACACACTCACTCTCTGTCCTTCAGAGAAATTATATAATCTCTAAGTGTATTTTTTGTTTTCTGAATTTGGCCTGATATGCTGTTTCTGTCCAGACCAAATGTGACAAATTCCTCTTGGGAGCAAAACACTACAACTGGACTGAGTTACTGGTAATAAAATTTGATTAACGTCACACACAGGCTCATATTCATTGACAGACTGACTCACTCCGAGGACCAGTAGGTCAGTGCTGCTGTGATGGAGAGGTGGCCTAATGTGCCAACAGACAAACCGCTACTGGTTCACTTCTCACTGCAGTGAATATGTGATACAAGTCGATTAAGTAGCCTCGCTGTCACTCTGCATAAACTAACTGCTTGAGATGTAAATAATTAAAGCAATAACTCAGCTGTTTCAAACTGGTGTCCGTTTTCCTCTTAGTTCATGAACGACTTTATGTTTGCTGCACTTAGCACTCAGTGTCAAATACTGTCTCATATTTCAGGCAGCGCAAACAAAAGCGGACAAACTGTGTATTTAGTATGAGCGGTAATCGTCTCAGTTGATGAATTAACTGGAATTCTAACCAAAAACAACGCTGCTTAAGAACACAGTGTGGGGTTTGGTAGTATCTCACTGAAATCTCTTTAAAGTTATGATGGCAACAATTACGTTATCCTCGAAACTATGCCTACAAGACATAAAATGTTCAGTTGAAAATTGCCCGCTGGACTCGTCTGTGGAATCGTTTTTGTGCCTCACGCCAGTGGCATCACAGCTTTCCAATTACAGCAAAAACCCCAGGATGCTTTTCTGCTGACTGAGCGTGGCATGCCGTCTGGGCAGAAACAAAACCAATGCACACAACGGGGCATCAAACCACAGAGACACAGAGCAACCAGCGAGTCAACAGCCCTCCAGAACATGAAGGATCCAATCTGTGAGAATGTTTCTTCATCCAAACTCTTCAGATACCAACAATAGCTTTTAAGTTCCACATTATCTTTATTTTATTTGGTGCCATAAATTACTCCGAAAGAACTCTTGAACCTCTCTTTTATGCCATCAGCTCCTTTAAAGGGGGTCTCGAGGCTTTTTGTGATTTAGCGGTTTTGGCTAATTCTGCAGACAACAATAGCTTTTCCACAAAGGTTTAGTGTTTACCTGGGAGATCCAGTTTCTCTACAAAGATATGCCAAACTGACAAACAAGAAGCTAAAAATGAAGAGTGACTTCAGTTTCAGGTTCATGTGAGGACAACAAGTGCACTAAACCTGTGTCTCCGTTGCATCACTTTGGAGACACAATAACATTTTGACATCGTCCTTCATTTATCTCAGCAAAGTCATGAATGTTCTGTGCTTTTTCAGCTTCACTGGCAACTGCTCATCAACACCATGACCTCTGACCTTTGTCCACTGCTGCAGGTGATGGATAAAAGTCTTGCTCAAGGGGAGCTCAACAGACTTCTTCTCTTGTATGTCCCGCCTCCGTTCATACTGCAGACTTTCAGCTGTGACTTGCAGCTCAGATCAGATTTCTGAGGATGGCTGTCATTTTTGAACCACTAAATTGTTTTGACATCAAGAAACAGATGTTGAAAACTTGACATTTGGTGTTTCTCCCTGTTCAAGCTTTATTTGGACACGGGGGGGTTATTTATCTCGTGCAAGGATCTAGGGACAGAGAGTGTTGTCGGCTAATTGGGCTACATTAAACATAGTGACATGACTCAACGAGAGTCAGTTTGTCCCCAAAAAAAAAAAAACACAATATTGTTTTGTGTTGCATTTAAAAAACTGGGGTTCTAGTATATCACGTGATCCTGTTACATCAGGATGATGCTTTGTTATGTGATCTTTGTAGCCTGGCTTTTTCATTTGCTCTACAATAATTATTGCTCCGTTATGTGTTAACCTCCACGTGCAGCACTATGAATGTCCTCAAGGACAGACTGTTACGAAATGTGGTGACGTTATTCCGGTTTTTTTAATAATATTACTTCTCCCCACTGACTCATAGTTCCTTTAACTTTCTTCAGAACAAATACAAAGAATTTTGATTGTCGGTGTCACCACATAAAATGTCTCCTGGTCTGGTAGAGTTTAAAGTAGAACTGAATGCTGATTGGCCACCAACCTATTTTAAGTCCCTAACTAGGGCGTCTTTTAGTGTTTATCTAACAGGGGTTTCTAATGGCTTGTGTTTTGCTGCCACAGAGGAGACAGAAGCCTGACAGAAGCCTGTGAGTATACAGGTATCAAAGAAATGAAAAGTTTCATTTAGAAATGAGCCAAATGTTTTTTATGTTTCAGTTTTCTGTGAAAATAAAATGCGTCAAGATAAGGACTACCCTATCTTTGGACAACTGGTCTCTCAGGGTAGTTTTTCTAACAAGACTAGTCTGAATCTTTAATATCCTTAAAAGATATTTAGAAATTGACTGTACTGTCTGTTAGTCAGGACTGCAGTCTGGGTGGTTTGTAGCCTTTCTGTTGCTGGAATTGTGAGTTTCTGTCCTTGTAATTCTGTCTGCTGTCTGCTACTCATTTAAAAGACTTACGTGTCTTTCCCTTGTCGGACTGGCGCAGACCTTCTCCCTCTGGGTAAACTGGAACCACGGTCACTGTGTAGGGAGTGTCTGACAGCAGGCTCCTGAGGATGGTGTTGGTAGTGCCGCCAGACACCTGCTCCTGTTCACACAAAGAGAAACAAAGCTATCAGTAATATTTAATAAAACGTGGTCATCATACACACAGCTGAACAGAGTGGTGGGTCCGTATAGCAGCAGGTAACCAAAGCAGTCCTATGGGGCAGAGTCTCACATTTCAGGCTGTACCAGGGCAGATGAGGAGCTGTAATGTCTGGGGCTTTGGTGAAAAATCAGCAGTGTGTCATTTTGTTACTGTTTTACTAAATTTAGAAACTATGAAAGGAACACACACAAAAGAAAACCATCAGGCAGGCAGCAGAAGGAAAAAAATATGCCATTAAAAAGTCTGTTACTGTTCATGAAGGGCAATTCCAAAACTAAATCAGAAAAAAACAACAACAGAAGGTTAAAGCTTCAGTAAGCAAAGCTTGTTTCTGACGTTTTGGTAATAAAAAAACAATACTTTTAAAGATGTCAAAGGGCATGACACACATGTTCACCTACTACAACATCGTTTGTTAATCTTTTTACCATTTATTATGTTATATACCAAAAACTAGAGGTAGAAACAAAAGTCAGCATACAGTCTGAAGCCTTTTATGCATGTCAGTAACCAGAAATAAACATGAAAATAACAAAAGGAACTGAGCGGATGCAAGAATCCTAAATAATCTTGGACTGAACTAGGACACCACTGCCAATATTGGCTAGCCGTAACCTTTTATTGACACAAATGATAAGTTTGATGAGAAAGTCAGCCTGACATCTCACCATGTCCTCGGCGCCTCCGGATGCAGGGACATAGAAGATGCGGTACTGGCGGACGTTGCCCTCCGCAGGCTCCCAGCGCACCTTGAGAGAGTTGGTGGTGGGATCAGTGACTTGGAGATTCTTCACGCCACCCAGAGCCTCTGTCAACACAACAGAAGAGCCATTACATGACTGTCAATTTTCTGTTTATGTTACAGCCAGTCAGGCCAGACTGAGCGCTGTAAATTATTCTTAACGTTTTAACCTTGTCAGAGCAACAGATGGGTGAGGTTTACCGCTTCAGGGTGGCTTCATCCAGTCTGCTGTCAAGCCTCAATCACAGGAAAGTCACATCTGCTGACTTTCAAATACTTTTCTTTGTTGATCTAAGCTGTTGCTGCCAAATTACCTTGTTGGTGCTTTCGAAAGCTGGACTGGACTGGAATGAACTTTTCTCTTAAACAAGTTTCTTTTAAACAGCTGTCAGATATCGCTGGTCGTAATCTTGAATTTTCGATTTGATTATTGGGATCGCTTCTGAAAATGGGCCCTTTCTGCAGTGGTTCAAACTAATTGGGACAAGTTTTGGCAAAGCTCTTTGTGAACCAGATGTGGACACAGCTGCTCCACCTCAGCTGAACTCACTTGTCTTTCCGTTCTCCGACATGCGTTTTCCCTCCGCGTCGGAGTAGATGGGCACCAGTGTCACTTTGTACTCAGTGTCCGGACGTAATTCTCTCAGCACAGTGTTGGTCGTCATCCCAGACACCTGCGTCTGTAAAGAACAAAATAAATGTATACAAAAATTCATTTCATTTATCTCATTCACCACAGAGATTAGAAAGCCTCAAGACCTCCACATAGACTTTCACTTGGTGGAGAAGTTCAAACAGGAATATTCTAGATGTCCTGTGTGCATTTTATAGACATTTTCCCAAAAATCAAACTGACATGTTTGGTATCTTTGGAAAGTTCACAAATTTCCAATAAAGCTCTGTGCATTTGAACAATGCTAGGCTGCAGAGGAAGGGTCAGTGAAGTTTGAGGGTAAGAATGAAGACATAAACTTCAATCTTTCTCTTACTTATGGTTCTCGATTCAAGCCTCCCCTGGTTTAGATTTAGGGGCACGTTATGTAATAATATTCTAGATTTTTGGCTGCTCTGCTTGAACCTTACATCTTGTCTCAACACTCCTTAAAACCCCTTAAACCATAAAGACTTAAACCTCCTTACATTTCAATGCAAATACTTTACTTCCCACCACGTCCATCATTCACTCTGTCTGTCTCCTGTTACTTCACTGACTGCCGTAGTTTTCAGTTAATCATAACAGCAAAGCCACTCCACTGTTCCAACGTTCCAGTATCCAAGGACTCTTGAAACAGGCCCACATTTACAGGGTTCAGCAGGAGAATGAAAGTCACATGAGTATCGTTAAGTCGAATTTGTAAAGTGAGCTTTAGGCTTTTATACTGTAGAAAAAAACAACAATATGATTGTTTTATGATCTTAGACATAAATGAAGTTAACTTAGTGAGTAAACAGACTAATAGAGTGAGCAAACACACGACATGAGCTCATCCCAGTCTCTAACTCTCCACTAATGTTTGACAATGAGCGCACAACTAAAGAAACTGTGGAAGAATTCAATGTTTTGTGGCACATGAAACAATTTGTAGCACATAAAATATGTTTTGCTGTATAATAATAATAAGCACTCTCAGTGACTTGTGTGTGCAACCATTCCCTCTGTCATAAACAGAATTATGATTGTGATTATGTTGTTTGTGTCATGAAACAGTCAAGCAAGATATAAGACTTCAGCTTAATGAAGCACGCTCATGTGCTGTTCTGTCATCCCGCTAAGAAAAGTTACACTGAAATGAATTTTGTCAGCTTTGATTCAGTTTATTTGGACCACCGGCTGCCAGAGCAGATGCGGGAATTCATGCAGCAAAATATTTGAATTCACGATCAAACGTCAGCAAAACATAAATAAAATGGAAACCACTGCAGCTGTAACAGGTATAGAAACTTGAACTGTCTTTTTTGACAGGAGACAAAGTTCCACTGTCATCCCCAGGATAATATCTGGACATGTAAACTAACCATGGTGTCGGTTCCTCCGGCAGCGGGGACGTAGATGATTTGGTACTGCCTGACGTCGCCCTCGGCCGGCTCCCAGCGAACCCTCAGGGAGTTAATGGTGGGGTCAGTCACCTGGAGATTCTTCACTCCACCCAGAGGTTCTGAAAGAGACAGAACACATCACAGCCTGACACAAGCCTCGCTGCTGGCTTCATCCTGCAGGGTGCACCGGATGGGTGGGGTTCACCTCATCAGGATGAAACAGATGTCTCCAAGTCGGGGAGGTTGTCAATCACAGAGTCTTTATTCCTTCTTTTGACAGTCTAAACTGTCTGCGATTCAATGGGGACATAGCATCTGTATTAATTTTTTTTGGACTTAAAAGAATTCCTCAAAGAAAAAAAAAACAGTACCAATAACTGCTGCAAATATTCCTTAGCATTTGTTTTATCCTGCAGGGCGCACCAGATGGGTGGGTTTACCACATCAGGAGTGTCCAGATGTATGGGAGTCGGGGAAGTTTCCTGAACTTTCCGGCATTCATTACGTTCCTATGTGAGCCGCAGACATTCATATAAACAAGAACTGTATCCTCATTGTCTGTTATATCATACGTTTAAGATGGATTTTCATATTTCAGGGCATTAACTAGACACTGAGTTTACTTTACATTACTGGCAGGTTTTGCAGGCAGCCAGTGGTTTCGGTTCATGCCAGTCCTCTAATAAAATCCACTTTCTTTGGCTAAAAGTATGTTATTTCAAACACCATTTTAAAAACCGTACTTTTGGTGATGTGTGCATGCATACTGCTCCAACTACCAGTCAGCTGCTGAAAAGATCACCAGATTTACCATCTGTGGCAAGACTCCTTGTTCCTTCTTGTGGTTGCAGATAGTTCTTTATGACTGTGGTGTGGATATTTTGGCTTGCTGTTGTGCGGTAGAACGTAATAAATGATGGTACTGGTGCTGCACGATAGATACAAATGTAAAAATCTCAGGTCCCTACAGTGCAAGCTATTCTGTTAGGAATATATGATTCAAGTTTTCTGTGAAGAATATGGTCTCTGAATTTAAAAGTCTGACAACAGTCTCCTGTTTAAAGCCAAAACAGAAACAGTAAAGTGGGTTTAGATCAGAGCAGCATGATCAAGATGTTTACCTCTGCTGGCATCACAACAAAGAATTACATTTTACGAACTGAAATATGAGACTTCTTAAAGTAAGTAGTTGTGTTACATCATGCAGCCAAGACCACATATTTAAGGAGTCTTCTGACTGCTTAAACTGTCATCTACAAAGTTACTACATTGGCTGTGCTTCATTTGCCATCTTGTTATGTAGCGCCAAGGGTAGAGAAAGCCAGAATACTGGACTGTGAGATTTATGTAAGACTGCAGGTATGAAACACTGACGTGAGACAGGGACATGAGATGTTTCTAAAAAGATGGACAGGAGGTGTGTGTGCAGATCTGACGTTAACAGCACCTCTGTTTAATTTTCTGTTTTGTTCTGTTCTCTGTAAAATTCATCTCCTCTGTGTCTGAGAGTTGTTCTGAGCTGCAATAAAAAATAAAGTTCAAATAAAAACAAAGATCCAGTAAATAAATAAATCTTGCAAACAATAGCGTGAAAAGAATAATGGGAGTTTTATAGTTGCTGAGTCTTGCAATAAAATATGGGTTCTTTGGATGTCATAGTTTTTGAATGCATCATCAGGGAGAGCTTTCCAAAGCAGTCCAAACTAATAACTGCAGGAAATAAATCTGAAAACACACAGTATCATTTGGAAAATGTTTGGCGAGGTCGGGGTCGCTCGCTTAAATGGAAGTAGCTGGTGCGATGTTGAATCTCTGTGAGCTGATGGTCTAAATGGCAGCAGGTGGTGGAACTGCTGCGCTAAACATGTTTTGTACAGATTTTAACTGTTGTCAGAGAGGAAACAGAACCCCATCTATGTGACTACAGACAAACTGAAATCTGTTTGGTTCATGATGACGTTGGTGTTTTGTTTGCAGACTTAAATCAAAGTGACTCTTTAACCGTAACTCCATCTCAGGAAATCCCACCAGTGAGATCCGTCGTAAGTATTAAAGAAGTTCTGTCCTTTTAATGTCTCCTAAATTACATCCCATTATTAGTTTCCAGTCTCTGTTATCTCCCACATCCTGGTACTTTGAATCAAGCAGTTGGTGCCGTGTACAGGGTTTAATGGTCTTAAACTAGCAGAAATCCTTTTAAAATGTATTTTACTGAGTAAAAAAAAAAATACAAAAAGTTCAACATAATTCTCAGTGTTCAGTTCTGCAGAGTGCACCAGATTTGAAGAGCATCAGCGTCAGAGTAAAGAAAACTTCACTCTTGGACTCCTTCCTGTCTTGGTTCATCTGCTAAAGTCCCATCTGACATAAACAATCCAACACAAAGCATGAGGAGTATTTGCACATTTGATTATTCGACTCTCTCTGGAACAAGACACACATGCCTGCAGGAATGTGAGCCGTGTCCACTGCTGCACTCACTGTGCGTCAACGTGGACAAGAACTGAATGTCTTGAATCTTTCACTCACTTGTCTTTCCCTTCTCAGCCTGCCTGATGCCCTCCACATCCGGGTACACGGGAACAACGGCCACGTTGTAGAGAGTGTCGGAGTCCAGGTTCCTCAGGATGGTGGTGGTGGTGCCGCCTGACACCTCCTCCTGTTCACGAAATGTTTAAACCTCCGTCAGCACATTAACAGTTGATGTGATTACGGTGAGAATGTGTCCACAATGAATCCAGCAAATAGAGGCTGCTCCCTGGTCTTTACAGGGTAAGTAAGTGGTAACTGAACCTGGATATAAACCCTCAAATAAGTCTGTATAAACAGTCTCTTTTTCATTGTAAACAGTTGCTACCATTCGTTCTTCTCCTCCTGGCTGGGCAGCGTAGAAGACTTTGTAGCTTCGGACGTTCCCCACTGCTGGTTCCCAGCGGACCGTCAGGGTGCTGATGGTTGGGTCGATCACCTGCAGGTTCTTCACTCCACCCAAAGGATCTGAGGAAAACGAGCAGGTTTGAATTAGAGCTCTCAGGGAAAAATGATGACACCTCATTGTCTTGTGTTTCTCTCTCTTCTCAGATAGTCGTTTAAATAACAGCCCACTTCAAAACCAGAACCCAAACCCAGACCTGCGTCCAGCCCTGGTTGGAAGGCAGGCTGAGAAGGAGGGCTACATCATGTTCAAACCTCAGTGCTGACAGCTTTGAAAATCCACAGTCATGCTGCTGTTCCAAAAGAAAGGAAATCTTTTCTTTCCCTCAAAGTTTTGAATTGGTTCTTAAAGCAAACACACCTGGCATTTTTAACAAACACGATAAATCACATCAGTGTGAGGATAGGTCTTTCATTACCACGAAACTGCTGATTAATGCAGTTTGAAAAGCACTGGTGCTGCATCACTGACATTTTTTGTCTTTCATTCTTAGTTTTTTCCTCTTTTTTCCTTGTGTTTTAATAATTTACAGTGTCCTATCAATCAGTACGTCATACATGCGTCCATGTGGACAAGTAAGTACTCAATGTTATTCTATTGTTTTTCTATATAAACAAGACAAACACATTCAGTGAGCTGATTTCTGGAGGCCATAAGGTTTGGCAGCAAATCAACCAGCAGACTCACTTGTCTTCCCGTTTTCAGACAGGGGCTTCCCCTCCATCTCAGGGTAGACGGGCACCACAGTGACGGTGTACTCTGTGTTTGGCTCCAGGTTCTTCAGGACGGTGGAGGTAGTGGTTCCAGACACTGAGTCCTGGTTGAGGAGGAAATAAGCAACTTTGAACTGGGTGAACTCTGAGATTTGGAGAAATCATAAAAAGGCCACAGCCAAGAAAAGAAGGCTTTGGCAAACTCAGAAAGACTCTCAGAATGAACGATGTCACATTTTCGTGTGTTGTGAGCCCAGTTTTCTTGGATGCAGCTTCAGTCAGTAACTGTCTTTGTGCAGCTCAGTATCAGGAACAGTAAAAGCTCCGAGATAAAGATGGATTTCAGCAGAAAGCTACCACTTCAAAAACTGTCCCGGCACAGACTGGGACTTTAAACAAAGCTCCAAACTGTCAGCAAGAAGGACTGTTTGCCTTCGTCTGCATGCACTCCTGCTGCAAATATAAATTTGCTCTGTGTCCACTTAATCTAATAGTAAGCCTCATAAAATCTGCCAACAGGCTGAGATAATTTTAGTTGTTTCCAAATCAAATTATCTTATTTCACGACATTTTTGGAACCAAGTGACATAATCTTGAGGGTACTGAAATGGAACCTGTCAAGATAATGTCACTGCTTTATAGTAAACAATTGAAACTTAACTACAAATAAGTTAAACAATCCCTCTTCACTGTCAAATGTTTTCCATTACTTGTAAGACAATGTAGATTTTAAAGGAAACAACATTATCCAGTGGTTTTACTCGTTTGATATCTCGATATTGCAACTTTGCCAGAACAAGAAATGAGAGCTCTTGCATGAAACGGCCTTGGAAACAAGTGCAATCATCTCACACCACTGGCACCTCTCCACTTGTGTTGAGAAAACCTGAATTTGAGGCCAAAAACTAAGATTTGGTCATGCAGTACAGTACCTGCTCTTACTTAAAAACTGTCTTTGTACCTTCTTTGTAATGCAGTCATGACCTGCACAAAAAAGCTTCTAACGTAAAACATTTAACTTCTGTCATTACTGACATCAAATCAACAGAAACAAGCAAACTTTCCATCTTCAGTGAGAAAAAACTGGAACACTGTGACCATAAACAGCCTGACAACGAAACAGTAAACAATACAGGGGAGGAGCAGCCTTTTTTTCTCTACTGTTTGTAGTATTGAATAGTTTATATTAATCTCTGATGACATGCTGATCTTCTATCAGATTACTGAACATTGCATCAGTTGTATGAGCCATTGCATTTGACATCAAGCCTGCCATAATTAGTGAGTGTACAGATCTTGATCAAGCCTTCATTAACCCCTCTACTGGGTCCTGGCACAGCAGTGAGTTCTAGATACCGACCGATCCCTTGGATCCTCAGACACCATGCATTACATACATTATGTATTGGTTGCAGCACATACTGAAGACTACACTTGGCAACTTCAAAATACTTTGGCTAGAATCCTGTAGCAGGTCATCTGCCTCAAGGCATAAATTCAGGACCAGTCAGTTCAGCATATGCTGCGCTCTAGTTGTTCCTATTCCCTGAAACATTTGCAGTTAATTCATTTACTACAATTGATGATATGGGGCCACAGGGGCAATTTCCCGTAATGTGTCCCGTTCGAACAATTACTGCAAAATCATACAGTAAATAGTGGGAACGGAAAACTGCTCAGAATACTAGAAGCAATGCAAATAAAATCTGAAACACTAATATTATGGATGCAAATTCACAGGCAAAGTCTTTTTAAATGCATTACAGAAACATCTAAAAACCAAACTTTATTCACAAGAGGCTGATGAAATACAAATTTGACCACAATAAAAAAATAAATAATGGTCGGTTACAGAGAGACAGAGAGAGGATTGTTAATTTTAGTAGGCACAAGTGGTTTAAATTACAATAAATATATCTCATGTCACATTTCAGGCTGTCATGAATGAAGCACTCAGCCTCTGGTGAAAATCCAACATCTGGAACTGTCAAATTTTGACAAATTGAAGTGGCAGATTTCCATCTCCAGCATCTCCTGGTTTATAGCAAAGTTCACCTCATCCTGCAAATGCGCCAAAACTGGTGAAAGAATATCAGATGAGGGCTTACCACGTCCTGGTCTCCTCCAGCAGTTGGCACCCAGATCACGATGTACTCGCGGACGTTTCCCTCAGGGGGCTCCCAGCGTACGTTCAAGGTGCTGGTGGTGGGATCTGTAACCTGCAGGTTCCTCACAAAACCCAGCGGCTCTGAGCAGAGACACAAAACAGGAAGACCAAGTCAGCACTTGGACCTGAGCATCACACAGCTGCTGTCTGGACAGAGGTTACTGGTATCCAGGGGACAGTCTATTCAGATGCTGGTTGCCAAGAAAACAGTTGTTTTCTAGTTTACTTTACTTGTAGGTCTGCTGGCTCAGACTCAGTTTTATTCAGCTGTTACTGAGATTGACGCTTTTGTATATTTGTGTTACAACTGGGAGGTAATTTTCTGGGCCTGTCACTAAAATGACTCCCTGCTAAAGTCATCAGTAGCAGTGTTATCTATAAAAGACTTCCTTACTTTTATTAATAAAACACATTTGACACTGTTAGCTTTGTTAATTTTATATTACTTCATTTTATGTTAATTTTTAATTTAATTTTATGATATCTTACATGGTTTACGTCTCCTTTTTATTGCTTTCAATTTTGATAGTTGTCCAATGCTTTTCATTAGCTGCGTAAAACACTTTGAACTGTGTTCGGGTGTGAAATGTCATACATAAATAAAGTTGTCTTCACTCCTTTAATTATTTTTTATTTGGAGAATAAAAATAAGAAAAAAATCTGACACAACTGATAAGGAACAACTTCACAGAGGAAGTAACAGCTACAAGACAAAATCAGGAACAAATTAGACAATTAACTACATCATAAAAGACGCTACAAGAGAAAACAAAAATAAGAGCCACACAGAGAAAGAAATAAGACTCTGCACTTGGGATGTAAATGATTAATCATTAATCCATTAATTGCCAAGTAAGTGATGAAAAATAGATTAACTGATAATGCAGAAGATGAGGGACGTGCTGTCAGACGATGTATCACAGCTGCACCACAAATGAGACAGAGTTAGAGGCGTGTACGCTAACTGATTGTACAACCTGCACAATCTGGAAAACAAGCGCACCTTACACTCATCCAAGAAAGAAAAAAGTCACCGCCCGCCTGGCTGTGCTAACTGCGGCAGTATTGTTGATGAACTCTGCAGCATAAAGTTGTGAAAATTGTCCTGTGTTGTTGTCGTGTTGCTGTCTGGTTCGGCTAGCAACTGGGGCACATGGTAATGCTAAACTATCGCTATGCTAACCATCATGAAACACTAGCGCAAACTGGGAGCCGAGTGTCAGTGCTGTAGCTGCTAACATTCAGGATCTGCAGGACTCTGACTGCATGTGCTTCAATGTGCTTATTTTTACTGACTACTGATTGTTAACATGTCCAACTATTAGTTGAGGAAACTGTGAAAATTATTCCTGGCTCTGCACAGTAGCAGAGACGAATGGTGATGTTGGACTCACAGGCCAAAATGTACCCATAACCAACATTTGCCGAAGAATATTTCCCACAGAAAGTGTACTTTCTACTGGACGTCTGCATTTGAAAGGTAATTGAAACAATGAAACCTGATTCTGATTCTGATTCTGATCAGTGCATTTTATTCATCTTCATCAGTTGCAAAGCATTGTAATCAGTCTTCTTCCATAAGCAGCCCTGAAGCAGCCCTTGCTCATTAAGAATCTGAGAAAAAATTCTTTCTTTCTTGAAGGTTCAGATGGAAGCAGGTTACCTTTAGCAGCATGCTGCCCGTAGCCACGGATACTCACTTGTCTTGCCAGTGTCAGAAATGGTTGGTCCGTCTCCCTCTGCGTAGACGGGCACCACGGTGACGGTGTATCGGGTGTCTGGCAGGAGTTTCTCCAGGACGGTCGAGGTGGTGCTCTCTGACACTTGCTCCTACAAAAGACACACGTGGTGAAATCAACACTCCATGAAACTGCCCTTTACCAAGAGGCTAAATTCCTACCAGCCCCAAAAGCTGTGACCTCTGACCTCCAGCAAATGAAAAGACAAACGTCCCCCAAAGGAATCAGCTGGGTCTCACAAAAACTGCATATCAGTTTACTGCACTGAAATTACTTAACAGCTAAAAGAGTGTATTTTGTTGAATTACAAAATTTTTCTACCGAATATCTGCACTTTTTTTTTTTTTGTCTTAAAGTCATAAAAAGTTTTTATTTAAATTTCAAAATAGTTTGGCTACAGCCCACTAACTAATTGGGAAGGCAAGTTAATTGAACTTTGACAAAAGTAAACATACTGAAAGACATTTCATATTATTTATTTTACATATTGTATGTGCAGCTTTTGTAGTTTTCTGTATGAAAACAATGCAAATTTAAGTTTACCTGAAATAATTCCAAATATTTCAGGATGCGTATTGTTTGCTGTTTTTCTTTTTAACTGAAAAGGCAACACATGGACCCATATGAACAGCGCGAACGTTCTTCTGGCAAGGGAGTTAAAATTCTTCTGTAAAATTCACTCTGACACACTAATTGGGGGGTAAAAGTTGTGTAATCGGCAGAGACAAATGAACCACTTCTAAACAGACAACCCCGAGCAGCCAAATCATCAGTCAGCTGCATTTACAGATGTTATTTCAGGGCTCTTTATAGCCTGAACCTCACTGATGGAAGGATTTACACATACTTGTTCGGTACAAGATGCACTCCAGAAAAATTAGCCCCACACATATGCCATACAACAATGACGAATCCACTTTGCCAGAAAGATTTATAAGCTATTGTGTGGCAACTGCGTGATGGGATTATTCTGTCAAAAAGCATGACATCACTAAATCCCTGCTGAAACCTTTGATCATTCTGTTTCTTTTGAGGCGCGACGGTTCAGACAGAGTCTGACAGCTTTTTTATTAACTTCTGCTGTAAAGTGCATTCGACATGTCAAAACTGACTAACTCTCCAACCAATATATTTTTTTATTATTATTATTTTGTTTTACAGTTCCTTCTGACATTTGACAAGATTTTTACTACAAGCATTAAAAGGTTTCCCCAGAATTTCTTTAAGTACAAAACCCCTGGGAGGCACAGTTTACATAACTAGCCTGTCAGAGTCACATTATGTCTTTATGTTTATTGTTTCAACAAGCAGCGGGCGCGTCACAGAGAAATGCAGATAGTAATGGTTAATGTGTGCTGATATAATGATGCAACAGTCCAGGAAAACTAGCTTTCTTTCTTCTTCTTTTTCTTCCTATTTTTATTATGATCATTACTGCCTCATTTTGTTTTCTCACACAAAAATCAAATTCAATTTCCAGTTTACTGAATTGGCCTCATGTTATCTTCAGCAGACTTGACTTGAGTTAACTTAACTCAAGATATCTTAGCTTGACTAAACTAAAGTTAACTTTTTGTGACTCAGCTGAAGCGGACTCTGGTTGACTTTTACAACTTCATTTAAGTTGCCTGATTTAAGTTGGCTTTGCTAAGACTGACTAAAGTTAATCCAACTTAAGTCAACTTTGATTGACTTGACTTAAATTGATCCAATTCTGCTCAAGTTTACTTAACTGGACTTGACATCTTAACTAGACTCGACTTCTGCTAACCCAACTAACTTAGCTTGACATATACAACTTGATTCAAGGTAAATTAGCTTGACTAGACTCAGCTCAACTTAACTAGACTTGACTCCGACTAAAGCAACTCAAAATGATTCAATTCAACTTGACTGGATTGAAACTAATTCAGTTTAACTTGATCTGACTAAAGTTAACCTCAATTCAAGCTAACTTGATTTAATTTAACATAACTAAAAACAAGTTCTTTTGTTTTGACCCTAGTTAACTTAACTAGACTTTACTTCAAATAACTTACCTTTACCAGACCTTTATGTGTAACTTTGCATGTTCTGAATTGGATCCTATTTTAAGATAAAAGTCTTGGTTTTCTGATCTGTTTCTCTCTGTTTTGCTAATTTAACATTTGCTGCTGTTTGCTATTGAACAAGTTGAATCCATCAGAATTATTCAGTGAGTGAGAAGAAAATATCTGTTGCGGTTTTTGCAGATTCTGATGAAATAATCATCAGAGTTGTTACAGTACAAAGAGCAGTGATTTAGCTTCCCCTCCCCCCTCTGGTTGTGTTCTTACAGAGCACGTAGAGAAAACAGGGCATTATTCAGTACCACATTTTATATATGAACTCTGTATGAAGAGTGGGAGGATCTTACCACAATCTCCAGTCCACCATCTACAGGAACATAGATCACTTTGTAGCCCTGAACGTTGCCATCAGCAGGATCCCAGTTTACAGTGAGTGTGGTAATGGTCGGGTTGGTCACCCTCATTCCACCCACTCCACCCAAAGGCACTAAGAGCAGAAAAATGGTGAGCCATTTGGTGAGGATGTGTTTCTGTCAATATTCTACATATAAATGTTGCAGCACCCCAGTAACTTACATGTCTTTCCATCCTCAGATAGGCGTTTTCCTTCCCTGGCAGGGTACACCGGTAGCACTGACACTGTGTACTGTGTATCAGGCAACAAGTTCCTGAGGATGATGGAGTTGGTGCCTGCAGGAACTTGTTCCTGTTTAGCAAGATTAAAAATACAAAAAAAAAAAAACATTTAAATGCTTAGCCTCATAACTGGCTACCTCTTAATTAACCTCCTGAAAGATGTAGAGTCTCACCATCTCCTCTCGCCCACCAGCAGTCGGCACATAGAAGACCTTGTAGAGGCGAACAGCTCCGTCAGCTGGTTGCCAGTCCACAGTCAGAGACGTCATCGTGGGGTCCTTCACAATCAAGCTCTTCACTCCTCCCAAAGGCCCTAAACAAGACAGCAGTTCGGGTTTCTCATGATGTTTTTTGGACCTGAAGACCCTGAATAAACCATTTCAATCTGTTGTGTTGACATCATGATCCAATTATGTTTATCCTGGGAAACCTTGAGGAGTAACGAGCCTATTTATGGATCAATAAAATGAAGGTGTTGTTAATTTGTGCAAGCCAGTTTAATTTAATTCTCAAACTTTTATGACATCCCCTTTTTAATGAACACAACTAACATGTTTTGAAGTAAGGTTCCTCTTGTGTTTAGGTCAAAATGTGTTGTGTGTTATTCGTTATCTCTTGTTTGCAAAAGACACATATTAAATAGATATTTAAGGTCATATTATTTAGCAAACTTGTGTTGCAAACAATTCCCAGGGAGCTCCTTGAACAAATAGCATAACATAACTCTTCATACAAAGCTACATTTCCCCTGTCCTCTAACTAATTTACTGGAAAGAAAATAGGCTGCATAACAGAGAGTTTACTTCACATAGATCTTCATGACTTTAGAAGCATCCTGATTGCTACAAGAACTAGCTGTTTTAGGATTCAGCCTTACTTGTCTTTCCATTTTCAGACATCATCTTTCCATCTCCTGCAGCGTAAACTGGCACCAGAGAGACAGTGTAGAGGGTGTCGGGCTGCAGGCCTCTCAGGATGGTTGTGGTTGTGCCTGCTGACACCGTTTCCTGAGTTGAACGAGAAATTGCACAAATTAGCTTCTTCCAGGCCAAGAAATAAAGATGCAACTAGAAATAACAATGAAAAACTGTTTAGAGGTAGTTCAATTAAGCCCGGTTAGCCCCCAAATGCTCCAGGCCATTCATTTGTATGGATAGGAGACAAGACGGGATTAGCACATGTGATTAGCATACAAGAGTGTTGTGAAATACATCATATTTATAATCGGCTGTTGACAATATGCGCTAATCAGTAGCAGCTAATATTTTGGCTTTGTTACACAATATACTGGAATCAAGTAACAGGGTAAAATATTAGCGAGAGGTTCTGAGATTCAGACAGAGGAAATTATGAGTCCAGTTTGGGAAATCTTCACAAACATTAATGGAAGAGCATGTTTTGGATTATATAGAGACTTTAGATTTCACTGAGATTTTATAGTGTCAGCATTGTCAAACACACAGGTGAAAAATTCAGCTTCAGATTTATCTCTGCACAGTCCCGACTGACAGGAAGCTGACGGTGTTCCTACCAGTCCTACCATGCTCTCAGCTCCTCCGGCGGCGGGAACATAGATGACTTTGTACTCCTTCACTCTGCCCTCAGCCGGCTCCCAGCGTACGTTCAGGGTGGTCATGGTCGGGTTCAACACCTGCAGGTTCCTCACTCCGCCCAGAGGTTCTGAAGGAACACAAATATGTACTTCACCCACAAGCAACAACAGAAACTATTTACATAAACTATTTAATTGACTGCAGCACAGTATCAACTGTGTTCTTAAGATGCTCTGTGTTTGGATGTGAATCAGATTCGTACTCGTTTTTCCTTCTGCGGAGATGTCTCTGCTGACCGCAGTGGCGTATACAGCTGCAACGCTGACGGTGTACGGAGTGTCGGGCTCCAGCTTCGGCAGGACAGCGCTCGTCTTCTTCCCTCCAACCTGCGTCTGTTCACAGGAAACATGTCAGCAGTGAGAGTCGGCAGAGGAACATTTCCACATCAGAGCAGCAAAGCAGTTCATCAAAGCTAAGTGACGGGTGGCTGACTCATGAACAAGAATGTCAAAGCCAGCACACACGTCTCTGGCAAAGAATAACATGACAATATTAACATATGGTAGTGGTAATGGAGTCTGTGTCTATGTCTGGAAATATAGGGCTGTTCTGCTTGAACAAGGAAGTTATAAGTTACAAGATCACATTAAAAATATATTCGCTCCTCCAAGGTAGAAAGGAGGATACTTGTAAACATATTTTACCTGTTTTAACCCTTTGTGGTGTTTTTAGTGACCATGTTTGGTAACTTCCTTGGACGTTCAACATGTCCACCCTGTGCCTCTCCTGGAGCTTGAAGAACCATGTGCACTTTGATTTAGTTTTTATATTATTGCCAGTATCACAACCTTACAAAAACGTCACTAAACAAACGTTCCAGGTGCTTTATAAACACTTTGTTACTGGTTTGCATTGAACTCCACTTTGATTTATTGTTTGAGATGAGTGCCAATAACACTAACCCAAGAAAAATGGTACTAAATGAACTTGCCAAGCACTTTATAAATACTTTGTTACTGGTTGTGTAAGTATCATTACCTCAAACTAAAATATTTCTAAATAAATGTTTTTTTGCAGTTTGTTACTTTATCTTTTATTTATTAGAAATTCCCTTTTTTTTTTTTTTTTTACCGTAGACGGGCAAGTTACCACATATGATAACTTTATTAATCATCATTTGCAGCATTTTCTTTTAAAGTCACAAAAGTCAAAATATCATGAAATATCCTTTAATAACACCCTAGGGTTGACATTTTCATTTTCCAAGTATTTTAAGAAGTGCTCTATAAAAGGTTAATGCAAGTATTTTTTAAATGTATTTGTTGGTTTAAATCCGTGAGTCCGACAGACAGGGAACAGACTACAGAGAGCTATTCACAGGGGAAACATATCTGTTTGTGATGATGCCTTCAGGAATGCATCCCCAGCTTGTAAAACAAATAATACTAAGGTTGGTTTTATTTAAAACTATTACGCAGAGACTATTAAATGGATGGGATATGCCCTTTTTTATTTCCCCCCATTATGTTTACTTTTTATGTCTGTACTGGATGTTGTATTGTGTGCTGACTGTTGAATGTGTTTCTGCTGTCACTTGCCCCGAATCGCACCTTGAAGGAAAGTATTTGAGGGATTGCTTGATTAAAACATGAAGTTCTTCTCCTGTTGTCTAATCATCAACTTAATCTAGTTTTTTCCAACTAATGGTGTGAACTAAAGTAAGTACATTTACAGCAAGTAAGTGAGTTTTCGCTCAGCTAATACTTCATCTGAGCAGAAAGTGACATTGCATTTAAAATGGAAGCTATTTATTTGTACGTTTTCCACAATTAGATAATACAAGACCAAAACATAAGGAAGCGTGTAACAAAATACAGTCTATTACATTTATGAAATCTACAAAAACAGCAAGGTAACCTTGTAATCTTTAGGATTTTCATGATATGCTGATTTTTATTTATGATCTGCTTTTGTTTTTGCAGTGACTTTTGTCCACCACTCACAGGCTTAGTTCAAAGTCAGAGGAAACAATGCATACATCCAATGCTGCTATTACTACTTTATCTAACTGATACAAGCCCCACTGTGTTTTTTCCATTCAACTCCAGTCGTATCAGAGCTGTGTTAAGTTACTGCTAATGCTAGTATTTCCTACTGCCGCTACTTGTCATTATAAGTTTTCACTTGTAGAAATATGGGCTTTTTTGTGACTCAATCACATGAAACTCAAATGCCAAGATCAGAGCTGATTGTTTAACAGTGCACCAGTAAAACACGTCATTGTGTTCATTCTTCCCCAAGGATCCGTTTTAGGTATTGGTGGGAGTAATGAACATTCAGGAGCAGCTTTAGTAAGCAGTGAGACAAAGAGTTACACAACGACAGGCTGCACACCTCCGAGTCTTTAGCAGCCTTATTGCATTTTGCTGTTGTCTGGAAATCTACTTGCTTTGTGTGCAGCATGAATCTAATCACTCGTGACATGTTAAAACAACAGGAGCTTGCTTGGCTGCACAGTAATCAGAAGTTGATCTTTTTGTGGCTGCTCAGTGAGTGTTTGATGTGCTTTAGAACCGCACATGTTGTTTCCAGCAGTAACCGCGAGTGTCGCCACGTCAACCAGGACTCAAACCGTCGGGAGGTTAATGTCTCTAAGCCTGTAGTCACTGATCCCTGCACTCATCTCTTAGCCTTCCAAAAACTACACCAAAGCTCTACAATACCTAGTAATTCAGTGTGTATCATGCTTTGTCGTGTGATCTGCTGTGTCTACGGACAAGGTCAGCAAACTATTTACATTACTTATACATGAGTAAGTAAAGTACTTCTCTTGATGGGAATCCAAACAGCTCTTTGGGAAATCCCGAGCAAACAACTCTGCAGTATATCATGAAATGGATACAACACCGTAAACACATTCACAGAGGGCATAAACAGTTTGTGTGGAAGTTAGGAGACAAACGACAGAGGCTACCACTTCCCATTTACATCAGCACGTAAGGCATGTGGGTGGTTTTAAAGTCTGACATACACGCATCAAACCAGTGTCACGCTCAGCAATTCTTACCTATTTCTGTGTTTTCACAAGAAATCAAGGAGATTATCTACTTATTCCCTTATTGCAACAACATAGATGTGGCTTCTGTTTTCAGTTTTCTCCTTATTTTTGTCTTCAGTTCTAATTTTAGTAGCAGTTTGTTATCTGAGCTGAATTTCACCAACCAAAACCCTCCAGGTCTATTTTCCTCTGTTCTGGAAAGGGCTTTGCAACTTGTGTTTTGATAATGACCATTTAAATATACATTTTTTTAAACTCTTTTCATCGTTGAAAGTTAAAATATATTGGATACAGTTCACTACTAAAGGGTAAGTCTCTCTAAACACTAATAAAGATATGCGTAATGTACGTAAGTATAACAAACAATATAGCCAACAGTAGTGTTAACACAGACTGGACTTAAAAAGCAGACCCACTTTTTTCACACAATTCCCAAGCTGGACATTTTCCTCTTGTTTGAGAGCAGTGAGGAAACCCTGAGCTCATCTATAAAACAAACAAACATCTTGTCCTGTATCATATGACTGATGTTAGAGACAACAAGCCTGCAGACGACAACACGACACCAGATGCTCTCAGTCTCCTGGTATACACATCTGACGTCGCGAGGGGATCAGAGACACATTAGGCAGATTCGTACCGCTGACATCATGATTCGACCCTGACACGTTGTTTGGGGGAACACTGTCATAACATCTCAGAGACACAATGAAATCCGTAACCCTCTCAGATTCTTGTCATACTACCCACAGCTCCTTTTCATGTTATTTCCAAAGCTCATCACTTGTTAAGTCACCGTGCAGGAATGTGATCTTGGCGGTCAGACGTAGGACTCCTTGAACTCGCCACCGCACTGCAGGACGCTGTCATAAACCACACGTCAGAATACAGTACAACAATGGATCTCAGAAATGTCTCTCGCAGAGCTCTGGCGGAGGTTTACTGACCTCCTCTAGGCTGTCTGTGCATCTCAAGAGAGAAGTGAGATTCAAAAACTAAATCCAGCTTGCACTGTAAATGCAGCAAGTTTCTGGCAGCTCCTGCTCCCAAAAAAACTCCTCTACTGTGAGTCAGATTTCAGTTTAAGTTGATAAATGCAGTGTTCATTTTCTCGAGTTCACTTCAGTATGTTTTATTACTTTACTTTAGGAGACCATTAACTTTTGCATAAGAATATTTTTACTGTTTATGTTGTCTGTAGATGAATAATTATCAGATGAAAGTGGTTGTTTATTCAGTAAAAACCTTCTCATATATCTGGAGCTCCAAAAAAACAATTAGACATTATGTACAGAAGATTGTAGCTCTGTTAAATAGTTTACCAGGTACAGCTAGCTGAAACTAGTGTTAAAACTGCCCATTTAACTCCAAAATCATCAGACTGTGGTCCTGTTGAACTGTAGTTCATTATACTGAAAGGTGTTTTTGCCCCCCTATTTATAACCAGCGCATCTACAGGCTTATGGAGGACACGTTTAGAGGGTCCATTTTTACGACATGTATTCTTTTTTTCTTAAAGCATTTTTTTTGTAAGCCATTTCATTGTCTGCTGCACAGTTTCTGTAACTATGATTTGATCTATATGCCTTCCACTGTGAAGACAGTCTATACAGGGGCTTTTAATTGATCTCATCTGGGATTCCTTTAGTCTTTTTCCTGTTTTACACCCACACACGTGAAGTTCATTTGTGTCAAGTCATCTTTTATTTAAGCGTCGGTGTCCATATATCACAACAATATGATCTAAGGACAGGCCAAAAAAATGAGAATTTCTCACAATAAATGCTTTACCGCTTATATTTATGTACTTCATATGAATAATAGTTTGATTTTACTCCTTTAAGCTGGAATGGATTTGTTTTTTAAGGCTTGTGTTAGGTTATGAGCACGTACAGGAAACAGTTATTTTTTGACAGTGTCAAGCCCTGATTTATTTAACTTTTGTTGCAGACATCTCTAAATACCTGCAGGTTCCTAGAGTCAAATGACTTGTTTTATAACAATGCCTGAGAATAACACAGCATTTCCCTTTTTTAGTGCTTTTAGCTGCTTTTCTTGCAGAGCAATATGTCTTTTTTCCATTCTAGAGATCCTAAAATTGAATCTCAAGAGGGACAGACAACATCTCACCAAATCCAGACATTCATAATTGATTTGTTTCTATATGAGCTTTGGGACTCATACTGCTCACTCCTCTGACAGATTTAAACCTCTCCATCACATTGAGATATTCACCAATCTGTCATCGAGTGGCTAAAGCAGACTGAAGATTTTCCCAAAAGCAGCACAGCTGGGAACCGCCGCAACTCAACAAGAGCAGGACAAAACCTCAGTTTGTAAGAACATATACGGAAAATACACCCGAAAAAGGAATGCAGTCACATTGTTCTTTGTAAACAGATGACAACCAGAGTGGGCCCACAAGACGGCAGAGAGGGATTCATTTTCTGGTAAATCTCAAATTTACAAAACAATCCTTGAACTGAAGCCGTGTTGGGTGTAAAAACTTAAGCAAACATCTCTGAGATCTCAGAAGTTGTCCAATTGTTCGGTGTCAGTGGAGCAGCTCCAGTTCTTGTCTCTTGATAAAATGAAGAGCCAAGTGGTTATGTATGTGTTTTCTTTCTGTGTTTTTTGTGAATTCTGCTGCTCTGTGCGGTAGGCTGACAGCAGAAAATGTTACATGGAGGTCAGATGGATAAATTATAATGCGGTTTCACTTTCCAAGAAACTTATCTGACAGAGGATAAATCCTGCTGTGATCTAAAATAAGGGATGCACAGTACTGAAGATTCATTGATATCCGTCATGTTAGCTAAAAAATGTATCAATGCCCATGCATGTTCAGTTCTATTGGCAAAAACCTTTGTTCATTTAACTTTTACTTTCTCTCTTTTAATGATTCATTCAAAATATCTTGGGAATTGGAGCTGCCATCTTGAACTAGTGATGCCGTTTGTACCACAGTCAGAACTGACCTAATGACATCCAATTCTGACTTCACTTTTTTTACTCACATGAGCGAATCTTTTATCATTTAGTTCCATTATAGTTTTTTTTTAGTTTTCTCTCAGCTTGTATATTTTTATACCTCATACAGAGTTCTTTGTGTGAATGAAAACAACAAAGAAACACATTGTGACTTAACATAACAGCAATAAACAGCAGAAACAATAACTACATGCCTCAAGAGAATATTTTCTTTAAAAAGATTTGCATACTCGGAAAGCCGCAGCACCTATGATGAACAGTATAATTCAAGCAGAACCAGGAATATTGTCTGTTTTATTGACCACACTCTTCTTTCCTGTGAACAACTTGCTGCTTTCAATACCAACAATAAAAACTTTACACTGATAATTCAAGTCTGTTGTGCTCTTGGCGGCTAATGTAGCCTCTAACCTGCAGCAGAGACGTGGAGCAGCTGCAGAGGTCTAGTAAGCTCATTTCCTTCTAACTCCACACCAACAGGTATTCTGGACTTTTTATTCATCACTTGAGGATGTTTATCAAACTTATGGAACATATGCAGTAGTGCTCTGGTACACTCTGATGTGTAAAAATTATGAGACAATGAAAGTTTCTCTTTCATTTTTTTTCCAAACCAGAATATAATTGGTGCACATTAAAGAAGTCTAAGGTGTCTGATTTTCATAATGTATGTATGCTGAAGATGTTGCTGCATTCTTATCTGAGAACTTACCGTAAGAGGCTCGCCTCCAGCGACAGGCCTGTAAGTGATCTTGTAGTTCTGGACGGCGCCGGGGGCGTGTTCCCACTTGGCGGTCAGACTGGTGGTGGTGGCGTTGATGACCCTCAGGTTTCGTGGAGGCTCAGATTCCACTGGAAGCAAACAGATACAGCCAGTGAGATAAACGATACAATCAGTGCATCCTGAGAATGATGAGGATGATGTGGATGATGAGGATGAGGATGATGGCGAAATGATGATGCTCGGACAATCCGGGGGGTCACGGAGCTGAAAGGGTCAATTTTAGGATGAAAGCAGCAGAGTGATGAGGTATAAAACAGGAGCAGTGATGTGGTTGATGGAGATGTTCAGAGCAGAGCTGGAGTTCAGTCACTTTACATTCAAGTCAATTATCTCAGTTCAGTTTGTTGATATCAGTAACTATGGAGCTGTTTTCTGGGTTACAGTTAGAGCCTCGTAAACCTAACCCTAACCCTATAATCATATATTTGTGGACTATGACCAGTAAAAAGGCGGCTCTGCGACAAAAGGATTCTCTAAAAATTCATGAGCACTCTCACTTTTGGGAATTATATCTCATAACTTAGGGGGAAACTAGAAGAAAGTTAAGGATCACTCAAATATGTTCTTTGATAAGGGGCATTCTAAAATAAGTTATGGTACAAAATGAATTTGGGTAAAGATAGACCAGAACTCAGAGACAGAGTTATTCCACTGACTCCCAACCCTACAGCAGAACTGCTGAACAATAATGCCACAACATGCAACAACATTAACTGAATGGTTGAGGTGAACATGTGATGACATGATTGAATGACGTTACAATGTGAGATGAATGTGACAAAATGGGAGAAGGATGGAACCAAAACGACGACGATGGTCTGTGGAGGATGACGTGTTACGGTCAGTTGTCACACTTCTTGCATTTGAAGCTCTAAATCTACGTTCACACCACGATCTAATGCACGTCTGCAGATCAAGGCAACAATTTGCAAATGTAAATTTTCTTGAATCTAAGTTGTAGTGTAATCTAAATATTACAGTAAAGGCCCTACAGTTTCATTTACCTTACTAAATCAAATAATCACGTTAGGACTCTACAGTATCATATATTATAACAATAAACCTGATTAACTTAAATATTGATGTTAAGTGCACACAGTCCTACAGGCTCTAACAACTTACCTAACTAATGTTACACTTTGTAATCCCTTTGTTTGTTAGTCAGAGGCTCGCTGAAGACGAAGAAAGAACTTTTTTCATTGTGAAAAGAAGATGCTTGGCTTATTTTTGATGACGGCCAGGTTCAGTCCTTTACTCGGAAAACCATAGTTGTCTGTATCAGAACACTTCACAGCATTCCATTTTTAATCCATGGCCCAAACAAAATAAATCAAGGAATTTAAATTCATGATTGTGACTTTGTTAAACTTCTTTTGGCTAATTTCAATTATTTTAACTTTTCATGTATGTTAGAAAAAACTGTAGAGTAAGACTACGTTTGTAAAGGTAAATGTAAAGTTCTACATGATAGTAAAACAAGTGTATTCTGTAACAAATTCCTTATCAGCTGAGCCTACAGTAAAGCTAAAATTATTACTTTAAAAAACCTAGTAAAAAGGTAGCTGTGACGATCGTTTCTTTGGTCGTAGAAAATGATCAAATATCAATCAGCTGAGTTCTGAGGTTGCCAGTGGTGTGAACGCACAGTGAAGCACTGAAATGCACATACATGCAATTAAGAGAGAAGAAGTGTGTTCCGTTTAACATCGTGCTTCATGGACCACACAAAATCATGAACAATACAATGAAATGGAAGCTGTCCTTTTCTTATGACATACCCACTGCACTCCTTGACACTAGAAAGAGATGTTGAGAAGACAACGACGTTATTTTAATGCTGGATACATCTTTGATTGTAAATTATCATGGAGGCTTGTCGGGAGCTGATGAGGTGAAAGGAGGGGGGGAGGGCTTGCTTACGTGTACGCTCGTTTCCCATCAAGTCTTCGCTCTCAGATTCGTCTGGGTAGATAGCTGTGACGGTGACGGTGTATTCAGTGTCGGGGTCCAAGTTCTGCAGAACGTTGGAGGTCTCATCATTGTTCAGGATGGCCTGGAGGTGGACAAACACAAGAGAGAAAGATGTCAACAGTCTAAAAGAACACTTAGGAAAATATGTTTTTGAGTAATCTCACTCATCCAGGCTGTAAAGGGACAAAGAATGAACATATATTGTGTGGTTTAAAATGTTTTGCTGTTTGTCAAATTCGGTTCTTTTACCACAATCGGCTATTCTCTGAAACCAGATACTTGAGCCCACACGGCACCAAAGGCAAGTGCTTGGAGAGCTTGTTACCCTGTGTTGAGATGATGTTCAACTTTGTCCTGGATAGCATAAATATATATATGGTGGAGAAGGACTTTGGAGTTGTTGGAAGGTGTATTTTTTTTCATTTTTCACAAGTTATCCATCAGGCTAACAGATCTTTCTGTACCCTGTGTCAGTGCTAAGTAAGGCTAAGCTAATGCTAGATCTATGTCTGCATGGTTTAAAAAGTAGTCCAATCATAGAAAAAATGCAAAATATCAGCTCCAGTAATTGTTTGACCTCTAACATTTAGCCTGTCTTGTGTCTCGGGCACGTAACGACAAGAATTTATGACTTATAATCACTTGATTTGATGCCGAGATGGTCTTATCAGACAGAAATGTTTTGTGGTCTGTGTTGCCGTTGGCCTCGTACCCTTGTGGAGGAGTGCAGTTCACTTCTGCTGTTGCTTTGACCAGTTTTCAAATATGTCCACTCCTCAAAGCTTTTACATCCAGTCAGATGAGAAATGTTTTTAAAATGAGAAACACTTGAATTTGAAGACAAACAGCAGCCTTCGTGTTTTGAGTCCAGGTGTTCCGGTGCAAAACCACATGATCCTAATTTCTTTCTTAAGCCTTTTTTGTGCTCAGTCACCTGTTAATGAAACAAGCGCTCTTGGTGGCAAACTGTTAAATACAAAGATATGCACTTGTATATTCATCACAAAAGGTAGAAAAAACTGCAACTCTGGATCTTGTTTTGTCTCAGTGGCACGCAATGTCTTTTATCTTTGGACTTTCTGTTGAATCTGCTTTTCTTTACAAGTGGCTCTGTTCTGTTACAGCCAAAGAAGGACGCCCTGACAAAGTAATTTCTTCAGCAAAATCAATAACACAAAACATTCACATTCTTCTTTCAAAAGGTAGTTTGCAACACTTTCGCACACAGCAAGACCAACGGCTCTTTCAAAACTTGATCGTGCAGATTTTAATTCACATTATTAGAGAAGCATTCCACATTATTCTGTTTTAAATGGTCCATAAATAAAGTCTCATACTGTGGCACTCAAATATAAACTAAGAATTTGGGATGGTTTTAATTTCATCACGGATTCTTGTGCTAAACTATGTGTCGGGTGAGGAGGGCCAAAGCATAACCAGAAGAAAACAAAGAGAGCATTATTGTTGCTTTTGTTGAACTGGATGTTTTTACTTAAGTCTTGGCTCACACAGTAAGTAAGTTTTGCGAGGCATAGCAGTTTTAAGGCATCTGTGAAACGAGAAAGAATCGTTCGTAAGATCTTTTTCACTTCTGTAATCAGAAAAATCTCAAGTGACAGTTCTACAGACAGACGGATTTACTTTGCATTTAAACAATGCAATCCTCAGTTTCATAATCTTTTATAAACTCAATTAACCGTCGCTGGGGAGCAGTCCACATGTTAGAGGGGCAGGATTGTTACGGGAAGGTTTAAACTTGAAGTGCCTCCGAAAATCGGGACAATTAACTCAGCAACTGCAGGTGTGCCTGAATGCTCCTCAACTGAACTCAGAGCTTTGCTGCTGTATTCGATTTTAAGGCTCCAATTTTAATCGGAGGAAGGAAACACTGCTGAGCTACAGGCTACAAGCTCATTCAGTGGTTTGCTATGGACGAGGCAACTGGAACCAGATGTCACTGCAGACAGACGGTTCTGTCCAAAGCAAAGCTCATTTGCATATTTAAGAGAAAACTCTTAGATGGATTATTTATCCAGCTGTTGAAAATTTATTTTTTGAGAACAAACAGAAATGTGAAGTGGACAAAACAAATCCAAGTTGCCAGGTGTTTGCCAGGGTCTTAGTCAGTTTGAGGCATTGTGCCCTTTTTCCAAGCGCTGAATGTCACTTTTAGGCAAAACTCGTCTGGACACACAAAAAAATCTGCTTTTTTTTTTTTTTTTTTGCATTAATTGGTCAATATTCAACTGATGAATCCACTGATGAACGATTCACACAAAGCTCTTTTTTTTTTGAGGCCTAAACTGATTTTTAAACTGATTTCCAACCTTCACAACAGAAATTGGTTTCAGTTCATTTTAATAAGCTACAAATAGAAACTTACAAGGGTGGGAAACAGATATGAGAGATAATTTGCTGCAATAAACACATGTAATTCTTAGATTTTCTTTTTGTAAAAAAATGGCATCTTGTGCATTAGAGTGGTTGTGTTGAATTAGAGTTGAAAGCCAAACGGCACAAGTACAAGCTGTGATGTTGAATAACTACAACTGGTAGATAAACAATATGCCAAGATTGGAGTCTTGAGAAAGATGCTAAAAATATATATTTGTTCTTTTTTTAATAAACTGATGTTCAAGCAGCTGACTCCAGAAATGGCTGTCAGCACTGAATATGTGTAAACACAGGTGATCTTTCCAATACCACACAGCAATATAATGTCTGTAGGACAAGCTTACCGCTGAGACAATGAAGTTTACTCCACTAACACTGGCAACATGATGAAAAAATGTAAAGAAAAGAGACTCCTCATTCATTGTTTCTTCGATTTAATGAGGCGTAAAATGAAAGGGACCCTATCTGTTTTTATCTTTGTCTTGACTGGGAAAGATTGCATTGAAAACAGGCTGTAGGTGAAAAGGAGCATTTAGTAAGCAGCCTCTCTGGTCCCACACTTGCTAACTTACAAACTGGTAGTTGTTCTCGCCCCTCTTGGTCCAGCCGATGCGGTAGAGGGCCACATCTGGGGCTCCATGCTCCCAGGTGGCTCTGAAGGAGCTCTGGGTCACCTCAGAGAACTGCAGGTTCTTGGGAGCAGGAACAACATCTGTTCACAGAAACCAGAGAGAAGACAGAGGTGTTTACGAGGATGCTTTCCTGTAGCTAACTGCCATTTGTAGGTCAGTGTGTGTTGTCAAATAGGTGTGTTCGAGTTACATGAAAGTGTATATTTTGAATGCTCGTGTGCTTGTGTCAGTGAGGAGAAGATTTTAAACCTTGACAGAAAACGTTTGAGGACATTGTATTTAGCCCTTATTTCTTCATAGGGCTGTTTAGAGAACACTTGGCTTAAAGTTAATGGTAGAGGATCCTTAAAATCAGACTGTGATTTTGTTCCACTTCATACATTCAGTTGAACTGATGTTCAACCTCATCAACTTCTTGTTAAAATAACTTTTTTTGTATTTGGCCATAAACCAGTGGCAACAACAAGATCGACAAAACAAATTAGACAAAAACATCACACTTTCTCATTTATAATTTGAGGAAAACAATTCAACAATATGACATATCAGTGAGCAGCAATACTATGTAAAGCTGTTTTCAGTTCTTCAAATGAAGCTTGCAGGAACTTTGGCCCTCTCCTATGTACAGAGCAACTTGAGCTCTGTGATGTTAGTGGGTTTCTTCACATGATCTGCTCACTACAGCTCATTATACAACATTTCTATTGGATGAGGGTTGGGACTTCGTCGTTCCAAAGCGCTAACTTTCTTCTTCTTCTTCTTCTCCTTCTTCTTCGGTGGAACAACTTGTGTAGTGTAGTGTACTTGTCTTGCTGCATGGCTCACTTTCTCTTGAGATTCAATTCCCAGACAGATCCTGACATTTTCCTCTCGAACTGGCTGATAGAATTGGGAATTCATTGTTCCATCAATGATGGCAAGCCGTCCTGGCACAAATGCAGCAGAGCAGGCCCAAACCAAGATATTACCACCACCCTGTTATACAGATGGGATAAGACTCTGATTCTGGAATGCAGTGTTTTTCTTTCTTCAAACATAGTGCTTGTTATTTTGATCTCATCCATCCACAAAATATTTTTCCAGTAGCCTTGTGGCTTCTCCGCGTGATCTTCAGCAAACTGCAGAAAGGCAGCAATGTTCTTTGTGGTGTGCAGTGACTTTCTTGTTCCAACCCTGCCATGTAAACCATTATTGTTGCTCATTGCTCTCCTTATGGTTGACTCATAAACATTGACTTTAGCCAGTCTATGAGAGGTTTTCAGCTGGTTAGAAGTCACGCCGGGTTCCTTTGGGACCTCGAGGACCTTTGTTGGTCAACTTCTCTTGGAGAGATCGACAGAGGTCTTACATTTCCTCCAACTGCTCACAGTCTTGTCTGTGAATTGGTGGAGTCAAAATACTTGCTCAGGAATCTCCTTTGTTCATGCCATAATGTACTTCCACAGATGTGTAGTGAAGATCAGACTTTCTTTCAATAAAACACAGTGCCAACTCAAACCTGACTGTCATCCCATTGACTGAAAATACCTGACTCTAATTTACTTTCAACATCACTGCTCATCTTGGAGGTTCACATATGTTTTGCCACTCTCAGATATGTAATATTAGATCATTTTCCTCAAACAACCAAGCATAACAGTTGGGTCTCAAATTATTTACCTGGGTTCCCTTTATCTACTTTTAGGACCTTGGTGAAAAACAGGTGATGATTGAGGTTATAAAATTACAGAAAGTAGAAAAAAAGCCTCACATACTTTCAAGCACCACTGCGACCAGGGTCACAAACGGTCTGTCTTTCTTTTGCTGTTAAGCTGCTGTAAACATAACTAAATGCTGCCAACAAATTCCTACCAGTGATGGCGGTTCCAAGCATCGGGGCTCCGGGTCCCTCGTCGTATATCGGGGTCACGGCCACGTCGTACTCAGTCTGGGAAATGAGGCTGGTCAGCACTAGGGTGGTGATGTCACCCTCGACCTCAGCCTGCCAGTGCCAAATTTAATTGTTAGTAACTGAAAATCATTCCCACAGTGCACACCTGCATTAAGGCCCACAATTCCACAAACTGCAACTGCAAAAATGGACTCAAAAATTTGTAACTAATAACAGAAAAACCTACCCCTTACTCCAATTTTGCTATTTCTCTTGTTGTATAAAGTGGGCAGTGAAAATGAGCAGGTGTCCATTAATTTCTAGTAACCAGACAGTACCATTGGACACCTATAATGCAGCTATTTGCAGTTCTATGCTGCCACAACTAAAGAGCTTCTTGGTAAGAACTGAGCAAAGTTATTTTTGAATCTGGACAATAACTACTGTCATTTCAATTCCTCGAAAAGAGGTCTTTTAAAGTGCTCACAAAGACCCAAAATTCAAGCACCTATCCATCCACAACAGGGCAACTGCATCTGCTGAGGAAGATCATGTCATACGTAACCCCACAACAGCTACTAAGGTAAAAAGGTTTGGTTGACTGATTGTTACAAGGTCAATAATGAATCTTGAACCTCCATATTAGGCAGACAAAACCAAAGTGAATCAATATTTATTTGATTCCATGTGGCCTTTTGTTTTCACGGGGCCACTGCTTTAGCTCTATCAAAAGTTATTATGTGATTTGGAGGTTTTTGAAAGTAATCTTTGATTCTATATGAGGAATTATAATCCTAACCAAATGAAGTGAAGGTAAAGAAAGTAAAATATGAGTATTTATAGGGTTGGAGGGTGGCAGGTATCAGGGCAAAGCTTTGGTGTCTAAAACGCTGAGACATGTCTCCTCAGTCAGGTATTCTATTTCAGAGAAGAGTTGAGTGGAGTAAGCAGCAGCAGAGTAAAAAAACTCAGCAGGCATACATCCAATGTGTGTGCTCTGCTCCTTCCACAGAAACAACAAGCCTTTAGCGGTAATCTTTGAGAGGAGTTGAGCTGGTGCGTGTCATCTATTAGAACTTTCTGGAAACATCTCACAGGTGTCCACCGACAGCACCTTCGGTTGCCGATTTATCCGAGACTGTTTGTCCTCTGCTGACATCCAAGTGAGAAATTATGAGGACAGAGAGGAGCTGGGCTGACGGCCTGAGTCAGCGTTCCTCTGCCAGCTGACTGCTTTTCTCATAACGACGCGCCAGAAGAGTGGAGCTGCTGCTCCGCCCCAAGGTCGGCTGTAACTCATGGTCTTTGTTTTTGTCACTTTCCCAGAACGAAGATATCATGGCTGACTAAAATTTGACCCTTATGAAGCTCTCAGTGAGGTTTTATTGTTTAAAGCCAACTCTGAAAGACCTTTTTCAGTCACAAACTCTAAAAAAAGTATAGTTTCAGAGTTTGAACTGTTTGATCCAATGACATTCAGAAAGGCTACATGAGCCATAATAAATTATATTAGACCATTAATGTGTGCAGGGAGCCATCGGGCTTTGGTGAGCATTTTCTATGGGCTGTGAGGCTGCAGAAATATGACTTAATATTAATAGGATTTTTCAGTTTGTGTGCTCAGGGCTGCAATTTTTGAATACGTATGAACTTTTCCTTAACACACCCATGATTTTATTTTACATGCCACCGATTTTTCCATGGAGTTTTCAATGCTGTAACACCCAGTTAGCTCAAATTACATCTCCATGTTTATTCATTATGGTTAGAAGCCAGAAAACCGCTCTCAGGCTCCTATTAACAGTTTTCAGAAAGCTACATTTTTTCAGAACATTACTGTCGACAAAGATCCAAAACTAAAGAAAAACATTAAATATGGCAAAATCTAAAGATATTCTGTTTCTGATGTTAAACACAGAAAAGCGCAAAATCCTCATGTCTGAGACATTAGAACCACAGAATATTTTGTGTTTTTGCTTCAAAGACACTACTTGACAATTAATAAATTAGCTGTCTTTCAACTAATCAATTGTTTGACAAATTGTCCACACCTGCACCTATTAGACTTCTAAATTCTTTTGTCACAACAATGTGTAATAACCTCTGACATATTTCATATTTTATTTTAGAAACCCCACATTTGGTGTTACGTAGCTACTCGTCAGATGGAGGTAAAACAGAGAGATAAAACTGCAGTTTTACCTCTTTCAGGTCTCCCTCCTCTGGTTTGTAGGTGATCATGTATTTGCGGACCGCTCCAGGAGCAGCATCCCAGTTGAGCCTCATGGTGCTGTGAGTAACATCAGTGATTCTCAGGACTCCAGCAGGAGGTATGGGCACTGAGGGAGGACATGGAAACTACATCTGTTAAAACTTTATCCATCCTAACCAAAGTACAAAAACATTTCTGAGCCCAACCTCACTGTCAATATGAAGACATTAAAAGACACTGACTGACGTGGTGGGACCAAAACTTACTCAACAGCTGAAATGCAGACAGCAGATTCTTTTAGATTAGCTATGCATCTGTTTTCTATCTATAAGTTCCAAATCCAAAATATAAACTCAAGTATGTGGGAGATGTGATCCAGCCCTTTTAAAACACCATGGCAATAGTACAACATATGTCACATTTTCATCTTTCTGATGGTCCTTGAGCTGCTCATTTATGAAATGCTCTTCTATCAATAAAATGTACCAAATTTAAGCTTAAAAACTTGATCGTTTGTCAAAATTACTGTGTTCTACATGTCTCGTTTTAAAAACACCAAAAGAACCGATTTGCACCAGATTCTGTAATAAGTTCTGTGGTGGTTGGTGTAACCATGAAGCCATTAGTGGCTCGATCACATGACAAAAATTCAGGGACATTTCAGCTGAACTGAGATGAACTGCAGGCTGTGTTTACACAGAGCAAAGAGGAGACAAGTATAGAAACAAATTAAAAACTGGTAACACCTGAGGGCACCTGGAAAAATGTACATGCTGGTTCGTTTTTTTTTTTTAGATAAATTAAATAATGACTAAGCATCTCACTAACTGCTAAATGAGCTTCAGTCTAATGACTACTGCCCTGTAAAACAATGCTCCTTTAGCCCTGCAAATAAGGCTCATTCAACCACATTGTTTCAGCCTCAATTAAACATCTGCAGAGCTCATGTTCTGAACAGTACAGAATCCTTATTGTATTACGTACAGGTGACTCCTCTTCCCTCCAGAGGTTCGCTGGCAGCTTCACCGTACAGGGCGTAAATTGTGATGGCGTACGCTGTGTTGGGTATCAGTTGCACCAGCTGGGTGCTTGTTACATCTCCGCCAACACGAGCCTAAAGAGGGATAAAAAGGAGGGAAAGAGAAAGGGTTGGAGGGCAGACAGGAGAGAGAGGAACACAGGTGGAGGTCGGACAGCAGAGGAGAGAGAACATATGGTCTTATTTGTTTGGTTTGTTTTCTTTACTTAACACCTGGTGAACAGGCCTGATTCTTGTCCCTGCTCTCCTCTTGGAAACACACACTGGTTCTGTGTAAGAAAACTGCACTAACACTGCTGATGAGACTTCACAAACTGAGCATGAGCACCACAATGTTCAGATGTAATGCCGTCACCAGATTCAATCCAGTGCAATTTATCTCACATTCCCTACAGCATATAATATGACCAGAGAGACATACATATACACATGCACACATACTTTTTGGCTTGCAGATATTTTTCCCAGTTTCGGCCCCTTAGCTACAGTATACAGTGAGACTTAACAGTTATCTTCCAAGTTTGTGTCAACAGTTTGTGGTTGTCCTCGTTTGGTGTGGATCCAATACCCTTAAGATGAACTGGCACATAATGCGAGCCAAATGTTATTACCCAGCTTCACTGTTGAGTCTCATTAATGTTTCTGTAGCAGAAAGGGAGCCCGTTACTGCAGCCAGGTTCCAAAATCTTTACATAATGTATACAGCCAAAAGCATGTCAATACCAAATCACATTACTGACTTCTATTGTCCAAAGTAGAGCAGTTTGTTAAACCTTTGAATAAGTTTGTACTTCTTTGCAACCGCACAAAAAAATGTGCAAACACTAGCATGAATAAGTCATTTAACTGGTCTTTTGTTGTATTTCATGTAAAATAGTTTATTTTGCAATGTAAATTAATGCTCTGCTTCATTTTAGAGTCTTGATCTAGACTTCAGGTTCAAGTATTTTGCAGTAAAGACCACCTCGCTGCAGATTAAACCATCCCTTAAATTGTCCTCGGGTGTATAATTGCACATTTAACACAACAGAGGTGCTCAGCTCCATCCGTCCAGCATCTGTTCTGTTTATATCATCTTGATGACTTCAGGCCATGAGCTAATCCTTCCCATTACCCAGCGTGTCTGAGGGCTCTGCTTTTTGTAGGCCTGGTCTAAGTCGGGCAGCTGAGGTCCACTTCCTGCTCTGTGAAGTGCTCATCATATCAACATCTGGAAGCAGTAAAACGACGCAAGCAGAAGCCGGCTCTTATAAAATAGATGTGGAAATGCTGAGCACACAAATTAAGATTTCTGTGGGTCCTTGTGTGAGTGTTTCTATCCTAAGCGTTGTGGTTTATTGCTCACATTGTAGAGACATTTGTTTCTTCACTCTCTCACATGAAGGGGACTCTATGCTAGTCCTCCCACTTAGCCCATTTAGTTGGAACGTGCTAGTTTCAGCTAACAGAGCTGATGTTAGTTTAACTAAGCTGCAGGCAAACCAAGGTAGCAAAGCTGACATAGCCTAACAATACACAGCTACTAACACACCAAACTAAAGAGGCACACGGCTAACAGAACTTAGCTTCAAGTGAAACAATATTAGGTAACAGGAACTAAAGCCAACACAACATTTGCAAAACTTAGTTACAATTCGTCCACCAAAAGCTAACAGACCATAAAGCTAACAACTCTTTAGTGGGACGAAGCAATCTGTTTATTGTTTGAGTTAATCAGTTGGTTTGTTAAGCTTTTACTTCCGCTATTTTAGGTATATGTTTTCATTATTTAGTATAAATAAGAAGTTACGCAAACATGAAATTCAGCTAGTTTCATAACATTTACTGTTTATATTCATTTAAAATTTTGTAGTTAATTGAGGGTTTGTTTCAGCTAGCTTGATTTTTTTTGTTTTTGTTAAAGTTTGAATTTGTTTGTCTGGTTAAGCTGAGCTAACATAACAGTTCTTCAACCTTAGCAATGATCCTAACATAGAACTATACATGTGATTGTTTAAGGAGAATACTGGCTAACCAATGTCAGGGGCATGTCTGTGAAGCTTCTCAGTCATCCAGGTCATGGTTATTCTCGTAGATTAATCGTAGATTAATCGTACTCCTCCCCCTCATAGTAACAACTTCCAATTGAAACTGAAACTCAGGTGTTAATGGCTCCTTCAGGATATAAGTATCTGGAACTCCCAACTAGTCAGTCAGAACGGATGAAGCCTCTTGGATGAGAGGTGAAACGTCTTCAAAGAACTCAAGCAAGTCCAGTTGTTACGATTAATCTACAAGAATAAAAATGTCAGGGGCAGTTTCTGCAGCTGAAACATGCACAAAGGCTCAGACTGCCCTCAAACTGCCCCCAAGTTCTTGTTGTGGAAAACAGCCTTTTAGTTTTACTTTATAAAGTAATTAAATATAATTACTGGTGTTTAAGAAGACATCTTGTAAATTCTGAACTAGTTCTACATCAACAACTCAACCTTTGATGGTAGCATCACTTCACCTCTCTCTCCAGCTGATCCTCTGTGGCGTTGATGGGTCTGTACCGCAACATGTAGCCTGAAGCCCCAGCAGCTGCCTCCCAGCTCACCCTCATGGTGCTTGTGGTCTCATCATAGACATTCATGTTCTTCACAGCTGACAGCGGCACTGGGAGGACAAGAACAAACAGTTAGAGCAAAGAATGGCTCTGTGTAATACTAAGTATGTCTACATAAGTTTTCAGCGTGTATCGTGGCAGGATGGTGCTCTCAAATTCAATAATTTGATGTATTGTGAAGTGTCTCAAGAAGACTGAGAGAAACAATAGGAGATTTTTTTTGATGAAATATCCAACTGAAGGAAATCTTTTTTTCTTTTCTTTTTTTTAATGCAATATTTGACAGAGGTTTTGGCACAGTGAAGGGATAACGATACAAACAGGCAAGAAACATCAAGGTCATATTTTTTAAAATTCCAGCGCGTCCCAAAGGGATCATAAAGTTTTGTGCTTTGATGTGGAGAATATTTGGTATCAAATGTGCTCTCTTTCATTACAGAGTTTGCACAGAAATACATTTACATCCTATACATGTGCAATTAAGTTATAAACTAGATGTAATAGATGAATAATTAATCTTTTTGTGTGTGTTTGTGTGTGTGACAGTGAAAGAGATGTGGGGGGGGGGGGAACCTACAGCACCAACGAGGGCACCAGGCCAATGGAATATTTTGCAGACTTTAACTTTGAAACAGGATGCACCATTTTAAGCACCCATAAACGAGATTTTTGGCTTTTTAATAGAGTGGGTTTTTTTATAGTAAGTTCTGTCTCTTGACTGTTTAGCACCAAGTCAGATCAGTACCGGACACCCCCACCCAAACCCACAGCCCCCAGCCTTTACAGACTTTAGGTTGAAGCCACAGTGACAGTCCGCAGAGAGTGTTTCAAGATAAACATTATGGCCTAACTGAGTGTTAGCTTAAAAAATGAAAGTAAATAAAGCCACAATGATCAAACAGCTGCTGGCTGCCATTCAAGTCAATGACAACAGAACATTCACTTGTTGTTTTATGACAGTGGGAAACAGCTCATTGTAAAAATCAGTTGCACATTTAAGAACAAATAAAATGAACATTAAAGGACAAACGAGTGAATAAAAGCATATAGAGCTGTGCACTTAACAGGTCATTAAATTATATCAGTTTATTTAAGATATACACAAAGACCGCAGCCCTGATAAATAGCTTTTTAACTGTTGTCTTTATGACTCATTGTGATTCCCACTTCCCCCACGACAGACTATCATCAAATCACGACACCATGTGAAGCTGTTTGTGCTAAACCATTCTCCGCCTCAGATCAGATGCTAAATATATGTAGCATAAACAGAGATGTTGGACCAGATATGAAGGCAAGTAAACAAATTCCATCAATGTGTGTGAAACAGGATAACGAGCAGAGAAATCAAGTTGTTTATCTCACAAGCCATATGGAAGAAACAGAAAGCTTTCCCACAACAGTAAAACGCCACAGAGCGATGATGCTATCCGCCTTCAAACGTCCTCTTTAATCACGTCTGTCGACCCAAAGGGCAACTAGTGTCTTGTGAAAAAGCCATCGAGAGTGGAAACCGAGCGCTTCTCCCGTTAGGCAAAGAGGAAGTGAGTTTGAAGTCAAGAGGAGAGGGGGAAACAAAGTAAGAGGAAGGCAAAGAGGCGAGGAGGAAACACTCACAGGTGGTCTCGGTGCCCTTCAGAGGCTCGCTGCTCTCCTCACCAACCACGGAGTAAACATTGACGAGGTACTCGGTCAGAGGGGTCAGGTTTTCCAGGACTACGCTGGTCACCGTCCCATCAACTATCAGCTGAAATGATAAAAGATTTGGTTATCGTTCTGAGGCTGGTACTTGTCAGTTTCAATCCAAACAGGTAAAAATTATTTTATCAGTTCTTGCACATCAAGAAGTCTTACTGACAGATCAGTGGGATCAAGCCACATTGTCAATAAACCAAAGAACTCTGCACACTGCCAACCGTTGCACTTTTTGGATCTCACAACAATTATTATTTACTACCAGAACTCAGAAAATGGTGTCAAGTGCAAGAGTAGAATTTTTTCTTCAAGTTGCATGATCAGAGGACAAGCTGACCAAATGCCAGAATGCAAGTGAGTTCACAAAGGAGGAAACACATCAACATAACTCAGACATCCAGATCTGTTCACAGAATTGAGAGAGTTTCAGTTGTTCCTTTCTATTAGCAGCATGTCGTCGTGCTGTATGTTCAAATCTTGAAATGTTACCGTCACTGTTTCTGCAAACATTTACAATGGCTAAGACTGGCTTGTTTAGACTTGTTTAGGTAGTAATAGCACATAAGGTGAGCTGGGTGCTGCTGAAAATATTAGTTTCTTAGTTCATCATTTGTTCTGGTGCTATGAAACGCTGTGTGTGCATGTGTTTTTATATTTTCATAAAAGAATTTATAGTAAAATACTTCACAGATTTTTAAGTATCAAATTTGGCATGAAGACTTGTGAAGTTTTACTAGTATTAGTACTGACTATCAAATTTACAGTATCATGACATCCCTGCATGCTACATTTGCAAGATTTTAGGATACACATATCGTCATCCATTGTACCCTGAGAAAAATCTACTACATACAAAACTTATTCTGTAGCTATTCAGTAGCAGTGTGCAATTCTATCTGAAGAAATTTTGGTTGTTTTCAAAAAGCACAACATTTCATTAAAAAAAATAAATAAATCATTGACTGAATTCCTCCAAACCAACCAAATAAAATGACTGTAGCCTGAGTTCTCTGTATATTGTATAAGAAAAGGATGAATGTTGAACAAACTGAGAATAAAATGTTCTCTCTCATGCACTCATCAAAATGTCAAAGCTGAGCCTTGGAGAACTGAGCATGTTTTGTTTCAGAAAACTGGTCATGAATGTGATTTGCAGAGCCCATCTGAAAGGACACACGGCAGGTTAAAGTACGTGGTACTTGTCAGACCTCTGATATACTCAGGTTCTTAAAAATGAAAAAGACAGTTATCTATCTAAAGAGTACAAGAGCAGACCAGCATTTTTCTTAGGTCAGTGGTCATTTTTTTTCTCCTTCTCCTTTTCTTCCTCTGTTAACTTTGGCTGAACGTCCTTGTCAGGCATCAGTTTGACTCAGCTAATTGTACAGTACAACATTTAGGTGACATCAAATGATGGACACGAACACACTAGGACAAGTTTGCAAGTTAATGATGATTTAAATTGGACATCTGAAGATTCAGATGATTCTCTGGGATCTGTCAGTACGAGTTTGGTGGTGGTCCATCTGTTGTATTGTCAACATTAGATGGTTATTATCTGTTAAGCTGAAACTATAGTGGTGCATTCATGAGCTGCTGGGAAAGTCCTCCCATCCAACTTGGCTACTACTTGGTGTCACATTCCTGTGCTATTCTGCTGGAAAAATCAAATCCAGCAGAGAAATGACAACCAAACCTAAAGAAGCTGCAGCTTCACAGGCTGGTGGAGTGTTCAGCTGTGTGATCTGGAAAAAAAGCTCCTTCTTATCAAGTCATTTACGTCTGTAATTGATTAACTTCAACCTGTTTCCAATTGAAATCAAGTTCGAGCAACCATCGTTAATCTTTGCTGAATCAGGACATACAGACACTCAAGATTCTCAAAACAAGTTGATTTCTGTTGGAAACTAGTTGAAATGTTTTTATATAATTCAATTGTTTTCAGGGGAAAAAAAACATTTTGTGTAGCCAATTTTATATATAATTTACTGAATGAGATAAAGAGATCAGTTTTGGCCGTGTGCTTTGTGAAGCAGGGTGAGAAGCAACATAAGAAGCAGAATAAGAAGCAGAATAAGAAGCATAATAGCTGAGCTACCGAACACAAAGCAGCTCTTCTTAGTTCAATTCACATTCCAGATTAAACTGACCTTAACAGTGGTTTTGCATGTGTCAGTTAAATATGCTTACACCTTAACTTTCCAGATATTTTTCAAAACATGCAGCTGCATTTTACCTTTTATAGCATTTTATTCAACTATAAATGAATTTTAAATTCTCAAACATGTTACTGTTCACCTATAAGTCATGGTAGCTGTCTTTTTTCTTTTCTCTTGTTGGATCTGTGAGCAGGAGAGATGTGCATCAACAAATTGGTGACAAATTAATGGTGTTTCACACTGTTTTAAACTGTACTGAAAGTTTAAAAAAAAAAAAAGACTTTTAAGTCAAGCAAGTTTCTGATATGAGGTGAAAACCAGCATCTCTTATATTGTCTGTCAACTGACTCTGGATAAGTGGAAGAAACTGGATGGATGGATGGATGGATGGATGGATGGATGGATGGATGGACGGATGGACGAATGGACGGATGGATGGACGGATGGATGGATTCATAACTTTACTTGGACATTTGTCTTGTAATCAGTTAATATTCTCTCAAAGGCCAAAGATGTAAAACTATGTTCTAAAATATGTGTGTACACTTTACCAAGTGAAGTGACAGACTTAAGCTGAGCTGGAAGGACCTATAAGTGTAATGTTACCAACAACCGCTAGTCGCTGGTTTCAAAGAAAAAATCTCGGACTCTAATGAACTCAAGAAGCATTAACTTCTCATTAGAAATACTCTGTCAGTTGTGTTCTTTCAAATAGTTATTATGGTCTTCATCAAGACGTGATAGAGTGTTTGTTGTTAAGAACGATACCTGCTCCGACATTAGCCCAATGTGGACCGGTCGCTGTTGGTGTAAGTAAGCTATTGTTTTGCTTCAGTCAGAGAGGGGAGTGTTTCTACAGCAAGAAAGATAACATCTCAAACTCCCTATGTGGACGGTTCATGCTCCAAAAGGAAAATACAGAATGGGATGATGAAAAGCTGCAACTCTTATTTTCAAACGCCAAAAGTTCAAAACCACTCATGCAGCTCTTCAATGGGTTTGACTGAAGGTTTTCTAGATGACTCCTTATGATTTGAAAAACCAAGAATAACACCAACCGCCAAGTTGTTTGGAACTATTTACTGTATTTACATGTGTGCTTCGTCAAAATGCATAAATATCCCATATATACAGCGATATGTGTTTCCCCTGTGTTCAGCTTGCCATGGCCTCATCGCTGACTCTTCTCCTTACCGATTGTTTAATTTAGGAATTCACTCTCTTCTTGCACTGGTTGTAAATCACAGAAGATAAGACCTGCACTAAATACCCAGGATGTAAATATCACGTATCTCATGTTATATTCCTCGATGCTTTCCAGTCCAACGTAAACACGTGAAAGAAGAGAAAGAAGCTGTACAGTGAAGCGTCTCAGCCCACTGTGAGGTCTATAACATTAAACTAAGTGGATCCAGTGGAAACTCTGCTGGATTTCAGACGAGCCGGATTATAATCACACAGGCTCCATCTGACAAGAGCCAATAAAAGCACAAAGGATGGAAAAGGCCCAGTGCTCTGTTTTTAAAGACGGCACTGACAGGAGGTTAAGTGTAAACTAAATGCAGGCTCATCAAAGCAACTGGGATCCAGATTTCACATCCTTAGGGCCAAATAAACTGGGACTTTGAATAAAAGCCAGACCTGGGCATTTGGAAACACACCCAAGAGTCAGGTTTTGTGAGGTTTACCAGATAGGACGACAAATGCCTGAAAATGAAACAACAGGGGGCGATTTAAGTGTCAATTAGTCTGTTTTTGTGTGACTGACAACCTGTCATTATCTAAATTAACTGAAAGTCGTAAATCTCACCTGAATGGTGCCGTTCACAGGTAAACAAACAAAAGAGCTATCTGTTACAGTTTAGGGTCTAATGGGAGCCAAAGGGAATTAATAAGCAAACAAGATGCCAATTGATATCCAGGACCTTGTCCAACACTAACACATGGTAAACATAAAGGTTACCGTCAGAGGAAACACATTTGGGCAGATTCTAAGGAAGTTCTGTGAAATGGACCAATTATCTAAGTCTTTGGACCATTTAAACCTGAAACAACAGATTAAAATAGATCCCAAACAACAATGATATAACCAGCACTTTATATCAAACCCAGGTGGAGGAAGTGAGAAGACAAAATAGAGTACTTGGAGAGACGTGAGAAAGGACTGTTTGCATTTTCATTTTAGATTATTTTCTCTAGTAATTGATTATTTGTTTGGGTTATAAATTTTTGAGTGTTTTTTTTTTCTGTGTGTTTCATACATGGCTGCAGGCTTAGTTAGTGTTCTGCTGAGTATTGTTGTTTTTTATTTGAATTTCCCGAATGACATTGTAAACACGTTGAGATATACTAAACTGAAAAGCTTTATCTCACCTCCATGGTGGGTCCTCCAGCCACCATCATGTAAGTGATGCGATACTTCTCCACGGGACCGTCGGGTGCCGTCCAGGTGGCACGGAAGGAGCGGTGGGTCACCTCCGAGGTCACCAGGTTGGTGGCCGCCTCGACTCCACCACCTAAAACGGAACAAACACGACCCTGAATGTGATCCGACATGTCAAATATTTCACACTGTGAACTCTGCCGCAACAAATCTGCCCTCTGACAGTGAAGCTGTTGGCTGGCTGTATATTTCAGCTCTTCTGTGAAAGGCTTCATTTAAAACAGTTTCTCTCCTGCTGTGCTGTAAATCGTTTTTATATTTCCACGTAAAACTGATTTACAGACAAAAAGTAGTTCCAGTGTTAAACTTTCCATCTGTGTTGCAACATTCTTTGATGATCTGAAATATTCGAGATTGTCAGCGAGACCTTATTTAAATACTTCTACGAATTTGTTCCTGCACTTTCTTGCTTTTATCTTTTCAGTCAAGTCAAGCTGATCTTCTGCTTTTGCATTTTTAAGGTCACTGGATTTAATAATAAAACACTCGGCATAATTTCTACTCTCTACTTGTCAAGATTCATTCGTTTTATTATTCAAACAGGGTAAAAGCAGCTGTAACAAGGAAGCTAATATTCATGTCTATAACTTGGACGAAAGAGTTTATGTCGTCCTTCATAAGCAGAGTAACTCTAATGCCCTCAAGTGCCTGTAAAACCCGCTGAAAGCCTGTAGTAAAATTCTAAAAATTTATGGTTGTCAGTTTTAAAAACCATGGTTTTGTAAATTCCGGAAAAGCAGAACTTTCTGAAGCTACAAAGTTTCCATCTGACCTCCACCACCAGTAATTACTAAAAGGTGTAAATCTGACTCAGCGGTATTTAAAGAATATGCTGCATGTACAGCTGCAAGCAGCGGCCGAGCTCCATCACAGCTTTAAAAATTCAAACAGTAAGGACTCGCAGCTTCCAGGTGTCACAATCATGGAGTCATCATCAGTCATTCTGGATGAAAACTGGACCGTTTCACTAAGTTTGGTGCATTTCCATTATTGGGAATGGGAACTTCTTTTGGCCTCTCTTTTCAAACCTTGGGCCACGTATCTTAAAATGGACAGCATAACTCTTTTCCTACCTGGGCCCTTGACGCTGTTACACAGGTTAACAGTGAGGTCATCAACAATGTCCAGCAGGAACTGGAAGTCGTTGACGTTGTACATGTGAATCTCATCTGGGTCGGTGGCGATGGACCTCAGCTCATTCTCATCAGCGTTCTTCACACCTGAGAGAGAAACGTACCATTAGAACTCAGAATCAAAGATAACATTAAATATCTGCTTTGTGAGAGGTGACATGAATCTTAAACATGAGTCACCCCCTCATCCACCAGAGTTCGTGTTGTCAGCACATGTTGATAATCAGCTTTAACATATTTGGAACAAAAACTGAAAAACTTGTCGACTGAAACATGTTAAATCAATCACAAGAAACTATGTTCAGTGTATTATTTTCATCTAATCCTTTGTTAAAGTCAAATATTGTTTTTAATAACCACTTGCAGGTAACATTTTAGAGTTTGTCATTGCTAAATATTTCTTTTGGTTTTCTGCTATTGAAAGTTCACACACCGATAGCGTAGAGCTCGATGCCGCTGTCTCTCAGGTTCTGGGAGTTGAAGACGATTTCATCCTGGGACTTTCCGTCAGTGATCAGAACACCAATTTTTCGAGAGTCTGAACGCATCCCGACGTTGGCTTTGAAGTTGTTCTGGAGGATGTAGTTCAGAGCCATTCCTGCACGACAGCAATGAAGAGGTTTTACATCGTATTCAGCCAGTGAGCTCTCAAAAAGAGCATGTGTAGATTCTGTAAGATGAGGAAGAAGGACTTGAGAGTTTCTAATTAAATCACCTGTCATGGTGTTTCCTCCTTTATATGGCAGGTTGGCGATGGCGTTAAGCAGAGAGTCCTTGGTCGGGTGGGCGTTCAGGTGCCATTCGGTCTTTGGGTCTCCACTGTACTGAGCCAGACCTGCAGAAAACAGGCAGCAGCGAATTTAACCTAAGACAGACCGACTCTGACCGTCATCGCAAACCCACGCAACGGTGCCAGAAAAAACAAGTCAAGTAAAATAAACAGCAGTAAGCAAACATAAACGTGTAGTACAGAAATATCACAGTGCTGCAAAATCTACATCATCAAACTCATTTAATGTTAATGTTTAAACACCCCAGCAGCAGTAAAATGACTAAAGCAGCAACTGTCTGACAATATGTGACAGAAAACTAATCCTCTATATGACGGACTTGCTGCAATAACGGTAGTGAAAATATTACCAATCTGGACTCTGTCAGGGCCGATGTCAAACACGCTGACCATGCGAGCGATGAAGTTGCGGATGGTTTTAAAGTTGATGCGACCGATGCTCCAGGAACCATCGACCAGCAGCACGATGTCGGCCCTCGCTGTGGTCTTACACTGAGTGTCTGCAGAGAGACAGCGGGGAGGGGGAAGTTAGCGAGACACCTGAAACACAACAGACACCACCAAAAGTGTCTGTCCAGCCTTATGTTAACTGTTTGTGTATACGAAAGGTGAAAAAGTGAGAGGAAGGACTGTGGGGCACATCGGAAACAGAGAGAGAACTGAGGACAAGGAGTACGTCACAAAACTCAGACAATCTCAAGATGTTTATACAGCAGAATGTTTTTACACAGCATTATGCAACACAAATATTTCACACTCATAACATATTGTGCAACAGCTGTCACACTTCTGGATTATCTGCTGTCTTCAGGGGCTTTTTTTTTTTTTCCTTTTTCTTCCAGTGAATCGTTGATGGTTTTTTTATCCGGCAGCGAATCAGCCCTGTGGTCTTTTCTGGCTGACACTGAGGCTGCCCCCTCAGCAGGAGTCAGCCACTCTGACACTGTGATATACGAGGCCTCCTGATCCCCCGAGTTACTGCACATTCCTGCTCCAGGCACCTGCGGGGGTGAAAAATGGCCGCTCGTCCTTGTTTTTAGGACGACACGCCCAGCGGACGCCCAGCGATTAAAAATTGGGCCCCTGTGTGTGCAATTGAAAACAGGTTAGGAGACAATCAATTAAATTTTTTAGTTCTTACTCAGCAGGCTGCAGAGACAGATGCTTGATGCTAAAAGGAACTGAGTCGGATGCTTGGCCGCAGTCTGTTTGAGTTATACCACCGCCGGTAAACAACATGCTCATGTGTCCCTCCGATGTTCATTAATAAAAACAGATGTCATAAACAGAGGCAGCTCTGAGAGGCATCTAATAAGCTTCAGACGACTGCTGGATCCAGTGTCTCTGAGTGAGAGCAAAGAAAATATCCAGCTCGATGTGACTGTGGGATATAAATCACTAGTGGCATGCAGAATCCTGCAGAGATTAGTAATTTTTGTTGTTTTTGTGCTCAGGCCCGCGGCTGCTAAAGCTCCAAACCCTGAAATGGAGTAATTATTCACTTCGAAATCAAAAATCTGACAGAAAACTCCAGCAGACACTGTGTCAACACGGGGTTTGCTTTTTGTTTCTCGAAATGAGATACAAATCATTGGGGTAGGAGTATCTTTAGTTTCAAGCCTGATGAGGATTTATATGAGCTCTTGTTGGTATAATATATATATATATATATTAATGACCTTAGTGGCATGTTGAGAAAACGTCGTAGAAAAACTTAAAAAGCTAAGCACCAAAGGCTACTCCCAACTCAAGGTCCACCTAATAGCATCTCTACAAGCTTCCAATTGTTGAGGGTGTTGAGCGGTAACTCTGTCACCACAGACAAGACGAGCTCCATCTTGTGACAGCTCAGCAAACTCTGTTGCATACGGGTGAAAGCTCCAGATAAAGCTGGTAAGTGTGTCTTGAGTTGGGATTATTTGGTTTAACGTTAGAAACCTTTTAATGACCTCTATGTGTTTATGCAAAAAAAAATATTTAGATTCATAACGACAATTTAGAGAATAAATGAATAAATGTTTGCTTCCTTCCATAAGATTAGAAAAGTATCGTTGCTCATTAGGCTCCCTGTGAGGTTTAAATGAATGTCATTTCAAAAATGTCCAAACGGTGCTAGAAAAAAGTTTTGCCACTTCACTGTCAAGTTTTTCTTACTTCGTTTAAAAAGACATTCTTTTTAAGGAACAAAGAATTTAATGGGATGGAAAAAATCATGTTTTTGCTGTGTATAAAAGACGCCTCAGATCAGCTCAGCCCGACCATATGGCCTTGTCAGAGAGGCTGGAATAAAGCCTCCAGTAAGCAGCCTGCCATTTCAGAGCTGCAAATCTCAGAGTGGAACCTCGGAGGACCGTCCCAGCCTATTCCCTCCTCGGTGGGCAGTCGGTCACCGTGTCTGCTCTCCATTACAGCAGGAATTTGTGCCCAGGGTCAGCACCTCCTCGGGGTCTTATGAGAAGCATAACATTTTCCTAGCTGCATGCATCCCTGCAGCAGCTAAAAGCTCTGTAATTGCAAACAGAGCCCTTTTCCACTCTTCAGACAACATAAAAATGGGAAGTATCTACTTTTGCATGACTAAAGAAACATTTGGCCAGCAGATACTGAGCACAGTAGTAAGTTGTGTAAGCTAATGAAGATATGTGTTTGTGGCAACGGCATTACAGGTCACCACATTGTAGGGTGGCTGCTCACACACTGACTAAAAATCTAACATGTGAGGTGGTCAGGGAACACGTCCAACTGGGCAGGTTATAAATGGCAGTGTCAACACTTGTCTGTTAAAGAGCATGTCATTTTGCTCCATATGAGATAGGAGGGAGGTGACGAAACACGAGCCAAGCAGCTCAAAATGATTTAAACTAATCATAATCATTTCCACCAAGTTTTGGTAAGCAATCCCAAAGTGAGAGTGATAGTAATTCCCTTCGACAATGAATAATTCAGCCTTCTGGCACTAATCTAGGCCATAATTCCAAGTGAGACCACTCCTGTTCTGAAATGACTTGGATCACAGAGCGTCTGGACTGCAGGCCTGCTTTTTAGGGCAGCTAATGGAAAGCAGTGTGTAGTGTGCTGGAGTTATCAGATTTTACCAGAAGGATCGAGAGGAGGAGGTTCAGCATCGTCAATGAGGGTTGTCTTCTCCTCTCCTGCAAGAGGCAAACTCTCCCCTCCATCAAACATCCCAAAAACAGCAACAGAGTACTTTGTTCCTTGCCTGAGGATAAGAAGGAAATGACAGAAACAGTTGAGTCCAATCAGTTGTTCATAATCTCCATTAGAAGACTTTAATGTCAGACTGAGGTTTCAAAATCTAGCTCCTGGTCTTTCAAGTTATTGTTTTAAAATGTGTAAAACAAGGAATGTCGATTTTATTCACTTCTATTCAACAGTTAGACCTTGGCGTGTGAAAAAACTACAGGCTGTGATGACCCAATGACTCGCAGCAAGTAGCATGAAATTGCATTAGGAAAAAGTGTAAGCTAAAGCTACTAAGATCAACAGCAAATAAATCAGGAACTATTTTCATAATTGGTAAGTCATTTATTATTCGTTATATTTTTAACAATAATGCCAACATTTTCCTGAGTCATGCCTTCTTACTGGTGAAGATTAACTGCTTTTCTTTGGCTCAAGTACAGTAAATGTAACTTCTTTGGATTTTGGAGTGTTGGTTGGACAAAATAAGCCATCAGACATCATCTTTGGGTTCAGAAGCTTGTGTTAACGCACATCATTAGACCATTCTGGCTGCAGACAGTCAGGAATTCAAGGATAAATGATAGTCTAAAACCATATCAAACCTTTATTTGATTTATTTAAGATTAAATCCTAAACTTAATGTGACATTACATCACATCTTCAGTGTGTGTTCCTCCTTGACAGTGGTATTAAATGTATATTGTGATAACTGATTTCAATTAATATAAAAGAAAACACTGTGCTAATATTTTTGTATGAGGTCCCAAAGGATGACAAAGGATAAATGTTTTGTTTGTACAAATCTCACCTGAGTTCCTCCAGAACAACTGTGTTATCATAGGGTCCAACCAGGAGCTCCCCCAGGTCAAAATCCTTCCCTGTGGGGTGAAAGGTCACTTTATAGCCTCTAACCTCCCCGGGTGCTGGATCCCAGGAGACTCTGAAACTGGTCTTGGTGGGCTCTGAGGTCTGGAGGTTCCTGGGAGCCTTAAAGGGTGACACTGAAATAGAAGAACCCAGAAGGAACTTCAGGACAAACGCACCCGGCGGTAAATTCAACACGACTTCAACTCTTGGCAAAGCTTTGAAAGTTCAGCCACACCACATTCAAGCCAGTTTCTCATTAGTCCATAATACAATTCCTTGAACCCGGTGTCAATTGTTAAAAAGCCCGTGTCATGCTGTGTGTTAGTACCGCTAGCGTGTGATTGAGCATGTGTTTAACTGTGACTTTAGAGTTCTGGTAAAAGGCGTGCTCCTCTGTGCTGCAGCACCTGTGGTGTGAGGAATACTCATCTTAACAAGTGGTTTAAACTTGAAGTCAGTCCCTAAATCATATTTCTGCTGGGACAATCAAAAAATATCTGCAACTTGGATGATAGAATCTCTTTTGTTTCCAAGGAGGCAGGACTTGCAGTAACGTTCTTCTTCAAACGAGTGACAAAATCATCAAACAAGCCAGGTCTTTCCATTTTTTTTTTTTTTTTTCAATCCTGACAACTAATTGGAGAACATTCTGGAAGCTAGCTGAAACAAACGTCAACACATCCTTATCCTGGCCTTAAAAGGATAGTGCTGTTTTGGGAAGATTTTTTATGTTTTTTCCTTCAAATCCAGAGATCCAAATTAGGTCATAGTTGTTTGGGGTTTTTTTCTCGTTGTGCAGAAGCTACTTTCAAAATTGCAGAAATATACTTTCAATACTTTGTATATGTTGACCTAGTGATAGAATTTTTAAAACTGTCTTTATACGTGTCAGAAATATGCAGATTCACATACTTGTGGAAGCATGACAGGGTATTTCAAATTTATACTTAGAGTTAAGTTTAATCTGTGGCAGTTTGCATAAAAATGTTATACTATATCACCACTTTTTTCAGACTATATGAATCTATGATCAGTCATATTCTGTGACAGTAAATAAAGTGTCAACAATTAAAAAAAAGACTAATTTGGCAGGTGGTATACCAACATAACTAGACACTAATTTGAGATTTTAATTTTATGCTGAAATTTTAACATCCAGCTTGTGGAGCCTTTTACAGGACACCACGTAATTTTGATGGAAGTGGAAATGTCCTCAGCAGCAGGCTTTGTAATAATTTATCTCGACTCCTCTTTTTAGACTGAGCACAGGTTTAAACGTCTTGGTTAAGATGGACATGTTTCTGCAGTGTACTGTCTCTCAGAGGGTTGAATTATGGACCAACGTACGTGTCGTTCCTACTCCTTGCCTTGCTTTTCCTTCCCTGCGCTTGTAGATGGGCAGAACAGTGATGTCGTAAGTGGTCATGGGCTGCAGGTTTTTCATGATGGTGGAAGTGACAGCCCCAGGGATCTTCAGGACCACTTCTTTGCCTCCACCCCTGGGACTATACTTCAGCCGGTAGTTGACCACCTTGCCCGGTGCAGGCATCCATGTGACGTTCATGGTTCGTTCGGTCTCATCCGACACTGTCAGGCTTTTAGCAGCAGCAGTGGCTAAGAACAAAGAATTAAACACTCAATAACTTGAAAGAGAAACATTAGCTCTGTAAGGTAACTGTTCTCACTAAAATAAGGAAAGCAGTGTTCTTAAGAGTATCTGTGGCTATCCTGGGGCTTGTTTTAAACCTATCATCTTGTGAATGTTGCTGCATTGGAGTTATTTTTTTGCCAAGTCCCGTTGTTCCAAGATCACAGAATTTACAGCTGAGAGGTTTTAGTACATCATTGACTAAAGGTTACAGCCTTTACAGCAATATAACATTTTGATTAGGCAGACAAAAAGTGTCCACATTTAACACACAACTAATTGAACACTTATGACTGACTTTCATATTGACATTTAAAACACTCTGCTTATGTAGGTCAAATCATTTGGTTTCACCTCAGGTTGATCTGACATAAGAACACTTTATTTCCTTCACTTCCAAGTCATTTTTCATCAAACACATGCCTGAGTTGCTGCACTACAGTAACTGAGTGGAGACTCTTCTGACAGAAGGCTTCTCTGTGCACAGCCAGTGAGCTATCGCCTACTGTAGCCTGGATGTGAGGCATTTAGGAAACATCAGTAAACTGCAGGGTTTTATTGTTAAGCAAACGTTGAGCAAGTGAGGCACTTTGGCGACATTTTCATTTTTATGTTGCTTTTAAGAGATTCACTGAATTGAGGTGAAGAGGACTTATTTTGATGCATATTTGCACATTAGTAAGACTGTAGTACAACATGGAGGTGAAAGCAGAGCGCCATTCATTTAAACATGAAAGTCCAGTAAAAATATTTATTCTCTAAAATCAATAAATAAGCTGAATAAATAACTGTGATCTCAATAAGAATCTAAATTATCGTGATTAGCATTTTGGCCATCATTGTGCAGAAAAGCCCAAAAATAGCTTAAACTTAGGGGATTATGTAGAAAGAAAATTAAATAGAGTTTCAATGTAGTGTCTTCATCAGTATTGATCATTTCCAATAAACAAACAAATTGCATCTTAGGGAGGTGGATGCCACTGACTGTATGATGGAAGCAAAATTTTCTAGATTAAGAAACAAATGACAAAGAAATGCACATTTGTCTTCAAAACTCAGAGCTATTTCCTGTCTGACATCTGATATAAACATGCACTGTGTCACCTCTTCCCCTTGAATTGCATATTTGTCATCATACTTAGCAAGATTTTATGACCTCAATGCACCAAATTGTACACACTCAGAATTCTTGCTATGATGCCTCCTCACAGCAATTATTATTTTGTTATTTTCCATTTAAACTTTTATTACCACAATGTCTCCCTCTCTGTTTTGAGGCCAGGTGCCCTATCCCTAAGCATTCCTTTGGTAATTGGTATGTAATAATAACTGCAGGCATAAATGTTGAGTAATGCCATAAGCTCGATGCCAAATCTAATAGGTTATGAATTAGGCTTTTACCCAGAAGTGATCAACTGTGAGGAAATGGTAACCACATTTTCCTTTTACCCCGAAACAACCAAAGCCCTGTAAAATAAAATGTAATTCTTCCGATGATTCTGCAAGTGATTTAAAAAACTATAAGGGAATAATATGTGTACTTAATGAGCCCCAGGAAAGTTTTTCAAACTACTTGATTTTGCTCTGGAGGATTTTTATTGTTGGAAAAAAAATATGGCATCCAACTTTTTAACATGTTGATAGATTTTAACAAATCTACAAAGCAGGAGATGCAATAGTTGTGGAAAGGTGCATCGAGAAACGATAAGATGTGGTAGTTTATCTAAACGCTGCTTTGTTTAGGGTGGCCAAAATGTGTGCATTTGATTTCCCATGTGTGCAAAAAGAATGAGAAATGTGTTGACATTTTTAGAGAGTGCCACGTCTCTGATGCAATAAGTTAGCCTGCAGTTTGCAGGACACCCACATTGTACCAGTATTCCCCTCAGCTATGAGTTGTGTTGTTTTTGAGAACACAACCCAACAAAACTGTCACCACGTTGATGTTTCCCTCTCAGTCACAGTTTGACAAGAATCTGAAGTGAAAATCTTAATCTAAACTTGGACTATTTCCATAAGCTAGGAGCCAGAAACCTTTGGAGAATGCCAACTGAGAATTATGTAAGAAATACATTTTGTTTTTCTGACAAAAGGAAGCATTGAATCTATTCTGGCTGATATTCATGTGGCGTGTTGCCGTGCAATCAAAACTAACTCAGTACTGAAGCCAAGCACCTAACACTGAGAACAATACCAACGTCCTTACCTTCCCTCTGAGAATGAAAGACATGGGTTCATGACCCGAACACTGACTTTTAACACCTGGACTGACTGTAACCAGGCTGCAGGGAAAATCTCAAAGTAACCAGGCACTGTGCTCTTGAGGAAAGGCACTTTAACCATTAAATAAAAACCATCTATTCAAAGATTGTTTATTGGAATGATAATGATTATTTGTTAAATGGATAAATGCTAATATTATTGTAATCAATTAAAAATATATCAGCTAATAAGGCAGAAGACAAAAGAGATTGTTGCATTAAACAAATGCACCTCCATGTTGTCAAACTGCTAAATGTGGTCGTGGTAAAGAACTTTGTAGCATCGAGTTGTGACAAAGGCATCAGTTGACTGTCTGCGGCTCATGCTAACGCTAAACCAAGATTTCAAAATGCGAACACAGGCAGAAGACTGAGAGTCTGTCAGTAGAGAGCAGCTCTAGCTGCTAACACATGCTTTCAACAGCATTTAAACTGAAGCAATGAGGTGTATGTGCGACACTCTGCTCAGAGTATAAACACGTTTTGTGGTGGCAGTAAATCCTGACAGATTTCCTGGACTGATAATGTTGAAGTCACAGTATTTATGGAAATCTGTTCCATCTAAGAAGTTGTTTTGAGCAGCTGGACTAATCCTAAGTGGTTCCATCACTTAGATCAGCTATGAGGATAAGCTTGATATCAAACTTTTGTTGTTTGATGGATTTTTTTCAGAGTTTTCAAGCTGAAACTTGCTCCTGTCTTGTTGAGGGTCAGTAAGTGTCTTTTTTTTTGCGTATGTTTTCTTTATTGGTAAAACTGACTCATTTTGTCACTTAAGCGTGCCGTATTATCAAAGTATTTACTTAATAATACTAGGTCGGTAATTACACGAGTCTGATTCTATCCCCAGAGTTGATTAGAGTTCAGAATGCAGTTTCTTACCATCAGTGGTTTCCTGTCCAGTGAGTGGGTCGCTGTCTTTGTAACCGTAGGCGGCGACCACAGAGACTTGGTAAAGCGTCTCGGGACTCAGACCTTCCAGCACGGTGTTTGTTACATGTCCTGGCACTGTTTTCTCTCCAGCCTCCTCAGAAAACAGTGACTTCCACCGAACTCGATATGTCTCCACGTTTCCAGGAGCAGCCGTCCAGGAAACCGCAAAGCTGCTGTCAGTTACATCGCTGGTGACGAGGTCTTTGGGAGGGCCCACCTCTGGAAACAACAAGTGAGCGTATGGATTAATGAAAGATACAGTAACCAAGAACACATACTGTATAAAAACATAGAATGCAGTATGTCATTCATTTCTTATGGAGTTTACATTAAATGGCTGGTGAAAGAAATACATATTTTCCCCCAAAGTTTCTTCCCGGATCACAGCAGATGTTTTGAAACTCAACTGTAAGTAATTCTTTTATTGTATAAAGTCATACTGGCTGGGTTACTCAAATGTTCCTTCCAGTTTTTGTCAGTTTTTTCTCAATTCATCTTCCGTTTAAAACAAAGGAACCATTTGGATGTGCTGGCAGATTAAATTATTTTTTTAAATGGAAACCATTAAAAGGCCATTGAGTGGACAGCAGAGATGAACAGCTCACCACAGCTATAAAGGCCAGAGAGGCCTGGATAAACACGTGTGAAGAGCTGTCCAGGCTGAATGATTTATTTCTTTCATATTTCGGAGGATATTTTAAGATGCTTCAGCTTCATTAGTGAGTGAAGAGCACTGGGAGACATGGAGGAGGAAAGACATAAAACACGTCAGGAACCGGATGAACTCGAAGTGTCTACTGAGCCAACAGGAGAGAGGAAATCTCTTCACTGTAGTTTAGCAGACATCTTTACTTCATTATACCATTACCATAGTCCTCCTTCTATAGGACGATCGTAAACTGCAAACTTTGATATTCAACATTTCTAGCTTTTAGCTAGCGAGTCTCCAATTAGGTTTGTGGGAGACTGAATGTCTGTCTGTCTGTACTGTGGGTTTTATGAACGTTGACTATTATGGATTAAAAACCTCAGAGTTGAAGGAAAAAGCTTTTACATCCTATTTTTGTAATATTGTCTCTAGTTAAACCAGGAGTCGCCTTGTGATGAATCTTAAAAATTGACATTTTGACAACTTTCCTGTTGCAGGATTTTTCCTGTTCTATGTTCATTTGGCTAACCTGCAGATTTATGTTCAGTCTGCACGATCATCTGATTGTTTGGTCTCTCCATCCAACTAGCTAAGATCTAATCTATTCATGTATTTGTTATGTTTATTGTCAAAATATTCTAAGATGCATTGCTTTATTCTATTTTTTGGTTCAGGAGGACAGATGAAACTTCACCTTTCTGATAAACTTAAGCTAATTTACACTTCTTTTATATATTGATCAACAAGCATTGTTCCTGTCATGCAGAGTAGACATAATCAATAAGTAAAATGGACTTATTATAATTAGACCTCTCTGAATGTTGCAATACTAATTGTCTCATCAAAGCCATATCAGATTTAATGACCAGATTCATGACCACCAGAGGATGTACTTTTTTTGTACAGTCCACAGCATTATACTGCTTCACCTTAAGAACAAACATATATTTACTTCTACGATGTTTAACTAAACTTAACATTTAGCTGCAGTAGTGAGGTGCACATGCAGTTTGCAGGAGCTGCTAACAATACTTAATTCACTAACCCTAAACATTTGCAAATTACTTTAAATTGTTGGCTTTTCAACTTTCTGATCAGTGAGATTTTTGTCAATATCTATGATGATATCAGGCCAAATTCTCCACTTGGTCTCAATTCATGCTCCTCAGAGGATTCATGTTTGGGTTTTTGGTTATGTTACAAACATGATATTTACTTTCCGGAGCACGAACAACTTCAGCACTAGTGAAAGCTCAACACCATAAGCTGCAGTAGATCGAGTGATTAGGCTCAAAGACAGTTCATCAGTATTCTGAGTGTCCCATCTGACGCTCGGATTTTGGGCTTTGATAAAATTGTAGGAGCTGCTACAAGGACTTTAGACACATGTCTCGCCTCAACTCAACCTGTGGACTGCTCAGGCACTCAGAAGCCAAAATCCACATCTATAAATCCAAATATAGCTTTTAAAAACAACACACAGTGGCTCATGTTGCTTCACACAGTCACAAGATCACTTTCCTACAGAGACACTGCAGACGGCTGGAAGTATTTGTGAATGATGGAGGAAAACGAGACGAAGGAGGATCGATATCAAAATCTAATACTTCTTCAATGTGGAGAAGGTGACAGCATGTAGAGAGGAGGCGCTGGAAAGACAGAGTGGCCGTTTCCACAATGTGATAATTATCACAAAATATTAGATCCAGCTATATAATCAAGAAAGCGCGCATGAAATAAATCACTTTCTAGCTTTCACCAGCTGATACAGATCTTTGGAGAGAGTGGGAGAAAAGGAAAACACCGGAGTTTCCAAATGTTTATAGTCGGAAAAACTGATTCTGGTCTGTATTCATATCAACAATATTCTGAATATTTAATTTTCAAAAAAATATTTGTGCTCACAGGGCAGAGAGTCAAAATATGTGTTTGTGTGCACTGATGATAAACAGAGAAAAAAATTAATAGATCAAATGAGATAAGCCTCAATGTTGTTGCGAGCAGCTCACTGATTTCCTGCCAATTGATAGAGGAAATGTCATTTAAATCAAACGTCTGAATGTGTTAAACATGTGGCCAGACATGGGGATGAGCTCTATTAGTGAGTCAGGGTAAAACAGGGTCACAAACATGTAATGACAGAGACAGTAAATTTAAAAAGACCCATTTCTTCAGCAGCTCCCTCAGTCTTTAGTGGCATTGTGCGAAGAAAAAAAAAGTCTTTAAAGTTGGGGATCGACAGTCAGTTATTTCCAACAAATAAACACAATGTTGCTATGAAGCTCAACTTGCAATCCCCAGTGTATTGTTTTATTAATGCATATATATTTAACAGTTTATTTGTGTCTGTTACTGCACATCTGCTGCTCAGTTGCCATCACTCAATCATCACTGCACAGAATACAGCTGCCATCAGAGGGGAGCTACCATTTGCTGCCATGTATTTTTTTTTTTTATCTCTTTCAATAAGCGCTGTCTCTCAAAGCTGGAAGCCGAGTCTGGAGGCTTTAAAAGAATAACAGCCATCAGATGGAGTGTGGAATATCTGGCACTCTGCAGAGGCTGCTTGAAACGCACTCAGACCTGTTTTTCCACAGTCCATCACAAAGCAAATCTGAGTAAAACCACATGAAATTTAATGCACTTTTGAAGATATTTCCACTGCTCGACTCTATCTATCTATCTATCTATCTATCTATCTATCTATCTATCTATCTATCTATCTATCTATCCATCCATCCACCCATCCATCCATCCATCCATCCATCTATCCATCTATCTTTTCTTTTTTTTGTAATGGTGGAAAGTCTTTTTCTCCATTTTTTCAGTTTGTTTTAAATATGTTTCATCAGGTAATTGTCATTTTTTAAAGTTGGAAATTATTTCTAGCTTCTAAACTTAGACTTTGTTGTGACTCTCTTGTGGTGTCTAAACAACAACAAAACAAAAGTCAAAATTCTTGCTCAAAAAAAAGAAAAGAAAAACATCTGCAATTCAGTGATGACTGGGGAAACTACTGGCATCTACTGAGGAATATTGCGTGACAGGACTGAACGTTCCAGAACAGCTAGTAAAATGACTGGTAGGATTATTTTGTCAACAACAAAAAAAAAAAAAAAAGTTTGGAGTCAAATTCTTTGATGCTACGTCTCTACGGCCAAGTTAAACTAAATTATCTTAATCTTGAATAAATTGAAATCAGGTTGTAAATTCAGGAGCGTACAAAGTCCTGCAGAAAACAGATGAGTCGTAGTTGCACAGTCCATTTATCAACATCTATCTCGAGGCAGAAAAGATCTGACTGATGTACTTTGACATCGGTTAACAGATCAAAAGATCCAGACGCAGCAGGTTGTGTATTGAAGAGCAGCTCCACCTCTGAGAAACAGCGCTGCGACTCCAGCTTGCTCACCGCTTAACCGTCTGAAGGGCGCGTGACTGAAACAGTCAGCTCTGCCTTCTGTATGCTCTCTGGTTTTGTGGGTTTCTGAGAGGCAGTGTGTCACGCCTCAGTGTGGGACTCCCTGCTGCTGAAGCCTCGCAGTCACAGTGGAAAGTCTCTTGGCTGATGACTTTGTATAAACTTGGCTACTTGACATGTTCCATCCACTGACAGCTATTTAAAGCACCTTGAAGTGACTAAAGTTTTCGTGCGGGTGGCCCGGATTGAGGAGAAGAATTTCACTGCGGTGGTGTTGTTGGTGCTTCTGCACATCAGAGGAGAACGCTTTGTCTTGGTCAGTGAGCAAAGAGCTGATACTGCTTTAGTTTTCCAGTGTTTAGGCTCATTTGTGTGGGACCGCTGCTCCCGCTGAGTGGCGGGTCTGACACAACACTGAGGTCATCAAGCAAAAAAAAGCTCAAGCTCATTGCTGCCATGACTGACAAGTTTGTAGACTGAACGGTATATCTCACCTGCATGTAAAACCAACTAGCTTCAGCTACGTTCTTGCTCTCTAGTGTCTTTTTTTGGTTTTTCTTACTGGTATTTATCAAGCTAATTTCTGGACTGTATATCCTGCACACAGCTCAACGGTGCACTTAAAATCCTTTTGCATTTTCTATTATATATTTGTCTGCATGTTGTTGTATGTGCACCGAACACATTGACCCCTGTGGGACTAAAATCCTGTTCCCTGATATTATAAAGCACTGTGCAGGGTTTTGGCACCTGATGACCTTTTAAACTCTTGGATTTATTTCTCAGGCCGGCCTCTCTCATTTTACTATAGCTGAAACAACACACCCATACCAAGCCTGACACCCACTAACAGTATCTATAAGCTCCTTTGCAATGGGGGGATGTGTCTGATCATTTTTGGCCAGATGTGCAGAGGTGTGAAACTCGGCAGAGTTTTAACTCCACTCTCTTTTTTATTATTAACACAGCCGCTTTTGTTTCTTTTTATGCACACAACTAAGTGCAGCACTGCCTTCAAAGACATGCCGTCCAAAAGAGCAGGATATGTTTCCAAAACACACAAAAGTCATAGAACTGTTAAAAAGAAATCAGAGAGGGAGTGGTGACTATAGAGGAGGAGACTGAAGGCCGGCATTTCACCTCACCTTT